CCCGCGTCGAAGTCGAGGTCCGGGCCGCCCGGGAGGATCGCCGGCAGCGCGAGGTTCGACGCCTGGTGCGCCGACGGCGCGATGACGGGCAGGTCGTCGGGCGCGAAGGCGACGTCCGCGATGTCCGGCAGCGGGAGGTTCGCCGGCAGGTCGAGCCGCGCGAGGTCGCCGAGCTCGGGCTTGTACTGGTAGTCGAGCTGGGCGACGTCCGGCAGGGCGACGCCCGTGAGGATCGTGTCCGGCGCGTCGTGGAGCGCGTCGTCCTCGGGCGTCGACGCCGCGCGGCGCCGGTGGTCCTCGCCGTGGAGCGCGTCGAAGGCCCCGAGGTACTTGCGGTAGGGCGCGCGGTCGCTGTTGAAGAGCAGCAGCGCGGCGGCGGACGCCGTGCGCGGCGGCGGCTTGCCGAGGCCCTCGTCCTCCATGCGGAGCTCCGGCCGGTCCGGCGCGCAGCCGTGCGGGTTCAGCCGGCTCCAGAGCTCGAGCGCGCCCGCGTGGAGCTCCGGGTTCGCCACGGGGCTCGCTCGGAGCGCGTCGCCGCCCCCGGGCAGCGCGCAGGGCTCCGACGCGCCGCACTCGGCGTGCACGGACTCCTCGGCCGCGCCGGCGCCGAGCCTGGGCGGGAAAAGAGTGCGACATGTTCAACCTCGGAGGCTCCTCTCTCGGTCGTTTTCCACTCGTTTCGGCTCATTTTTGGACGAGCGATCATCTCTCGGAGCGCTCTCGACGCGTGGATGCTTTTTTTCCGGAACGCGCGCGCGCGGAACACTCACGTTGAAGCGACGTTGAATCACTCGTTTCCCGCTCCGCGCCCGGCTCCGCGACGAGGCTCACGACGTCCGCGTCCTCGCCCGCGCCGCGGTCGTCGGGGTAGCGGCTCGTCGACATGACCGTCGTCGCCCGGTTCCTCATGGCGCCGATGGCCGCGACCTTGGCCTCGCAGCTCAGGACGCGCTCGTTGATGGCGGCGACGCGCAGCCGCTCCGCCTCGGCGCGCGACGAGATGCGGTCGAGGACCGCGCCGATGGTCCCGTCGAGCGCCTCGAGCGCGTGGGCGATGTCGAGGTAGCAGCGCCCCGCCGTCAGGTCCCGCGACACGAGGGGCGTCGAGAGCATGGCGGCGGCGGCGGCGGCGTCGCAGCCCTCGGTCTCTCCTTCGAATTAGAGAGCGCGCTTCTTGAACCCGAACACAAAAACCTCGCACTTTCGCGGCTCCCGGCGGCTTGTCGAGAACTCCGCCGAGCTTTCATCCACTTCATCAAAAGTGGAGATACATTAACTTCTTCAAACAACATTGATTCTTGAATTAATCGATCAATACTAACCCTGATTTCGGCAGCATTTCGCACGTCGATGTCGATGGACGGACAACTTTCGACACGGCATTCGGCATGTTCCAGCCCACAGGGGGAGAAAACGAGCCTACATCGCCGTAGGAACTCGGGGGCGGAGATTCCAAAACCCCAGTCTGATCCTCGCGGGGACGCGCAGAAGCTGAGATCATTAGGGCCCGCGCAGCGCGCAGGACGTGGAGCCCGCCGCGCTCGAGAACCACAATGCGCTATGGCAACTCCTTCGAGATGGAGCCGCGTCGTGAGGGTCCGCCGCAGCTGCCAGGAGGAGTTGCTATAGGGTTGCCCATGTGCTGCGGACGCGCGACGCGGAGGCAGCCCGCAGTGTGAGATCTAGTGTCCGCAGTTGGGCGGACGAAAGATCAATCGGCAGCCGTCGATAGATATGTTTTCGCGCGCTCGTTGGGGTAACTTTTTTGATAAAGTGGATGAAGAGCTCGTCGACTGTTCCAACCAACCATGGCCTCGCTCGTGGACAACATGGACGGCCTCGCCGTCGCGGACGCCGTGGTCGTCGCCGGCGGCGTCTCCGGCACGGTCGCCGGGACGAGCGCGGAGCACATGATGAACCCCGGCACGCTCGAGATCGAGGTGATCCAGGGCCGCGACCTCGTCATCAAGGACCGGGGCACCTTCCGGTCGAACAAGTCGGACCCGTTCTGCGTCGTCGCCGTCGACGGCGCCAAGGTCGGCAAGACGAAGACCGTCGACCGGAACCTGAGCCCCGTCTGGAACTTCTCGACGGCCGCCAAGGTGAAGCGCGGCGCGCAGAAGCGGCTCGTCGTCAACTGCTTCGACAAGGACAAGCTGTCGAGCTCCGACCCCATGGGCACCGTGGTCATCGAGGTCCTCGAGGCGCTCCGAGGCGCGGACGTCGCGACGCGCGTTCGTCGGTGGTACGACGTGGAAAACTGCGAGGGCTGCGACAACGCCCGGGGCCAGATCGAGATCGCCTTCGCCTGGAAGCCCAAGACCGTCATCGCCCTGGAGAAGGGCACGCCCTTCCGCGTCGAGCACCCGGAGCAGGCGCTCTTCGTCGGCCTGGGGTGGACGGGCGCGTGCGGCGCCAAGGTCGACCTCGACGCGTCGTGCGTCTTCTTCGACGACCAGGGCGCCGTCGTCGACGCGCTCTACTTCGGGAACACGCAGTGCTTCGACGGCGCGGCGCTGCACAGCGGCGACGCGCTGACGGGCGACGAGGCCGCCGCGGAGGAGGACGCGGACGAGCGCATCGAGCTCCGCCTGGCGAAGCTCCCCCGGGCCGTCGCGTCCATGCTCTTCGTCGTCACGGCCTACGCGGAGAAGAGCTCCTTCGTGGACATGAAGTCGGCCTTCGTCGGCCTCTTCGACCCCGTCGAGGGCGAGATGTGCCGCTACGCCTTCGACTGCCGCGGCGACCACACGGGCCTCGTCATGTGCCGCGTCGCGCGGAGCGGCCCGGCCTGGGTGCTCAACGCCATCGGCGACGTCGCGGCGGGGCCCCGCGACTACGGCACGTGGGTGCCCGAGCTCAAGGCCTACCTCTCGGACCTCGTGTCGCACGTCCGCGTCGGCGACCCGAACGACCGCGTCGCCATCATGCACAAGGGCTCCGTCGTGGACCTGTCGTACTACCAGGCGGGGCCCCTCGCGGAGGTGCGCATGGGCGTCGCCTGGGACATCACGGGCGGCCGCAGCATCGACCTCGACGCGTCGTGCCTGCTGCTCAAGGCCGGCTGCTCGGAGGCGACGACGGAGATCGTGTCCTACCAGAAGCTGTCGTCGAGCGACGGCCGCGTGCGCCACTCGGGCGACGACACGACGGGCGACGGCGGCGGCGACGACGAGGTCATCACGGTCGAGCTCGACAAGCTCGCGCCCGACGTGCGGTACGTCGCTGTGTGGAAATCAACCACTGGTTTGGGGGGTCCCCACCAAACTTCAGAACTCTCTATCTCGATCAAATCGAAGTCGATTTGGCTGATTTTTGGACGAATCGATTGCTCTCATCGAGTTCTCGAAGCACAACCGAAGAGATTGCGTCAAAACTGTCGCATACGCTCACATTGAAGTCGGGTTGAAGATTTGAATTCCACACAGGTACGTCGCCTTCGTCGTCAACTCCTACAGCGGCCAGCCCTTCTCCCAGGTCGACAACGTGTCCTGCCACCTCTTCCTGCCCCCGAGCCGGGCCCGGCCCAAGCCCCAGGATCTGGCGATCTTCAACCTGTCGTCGAAGACGTACCACACGACGGCGCTCGTCATGACCATCCTGGAGCGGTCGACGAGGCCCGACGGCAGCCCGACGTGGCTCATGCGCGCCGTCGGCGAGGGCACCGAGGCCAAGGTCGCGAAGCAGTGCCTCGACGAGATCCAGCTCGTCCTCACGGGCGCCAAGGAGCGCGACTTCTGAGCGAGCGCCCCGAATTCGCAGCCGAGCCCGCCGCGCCGCGCGAGGCGGCCCCTAATTCGTAGCTCGCCACGTCGTCGCGCGGGCGGCCTCGAGTGGCGGCGCGACGGACGACGCCGGCCACCCAGACGACGTCGAGCGCTGATTGGCCCGATCAAGTTTGAAATGCGTCGCAACGACTGGCTTCCAGCGCGCGTTGCAGCCCTGCGCTCGCGGAAGAATCACAGCTATGAAGCTCGCACTCGCGCTCGTCCCCACCACCGCCGCGGCCCTCGCGGCCGGCCGCACGGTCATGGAGCCGGACGTCACGGTCTTCGAGGCGCCGAACTGGGTGCGTCCTCCGAAAGCCTGCCGAATGCTGCCCCTCCCCCCGAAACAGGCTGCCCCGCATCGCGCAACGCCGCATAGGTGCGCGGCGAGCGCGTCGCCGCGTCGGCGCTCATCGAGCTCGAGTTCTGGCTCAAGCACGACGCCGCGGACCTCGCGGCCTTCCACGACGACCTCGTGGAGCGGTCGACGCCCGGCTCCGCGAAATACTCCGACTGGCTCTCGAAGGAGGAGGTCCGCGCCATGCTGGCCCCGTCGCGCGAGGCCCTCGACGCCGTCCTCGACTACGTCGTCCACGACCTCGGCGCCGCCGACGTCCACGTCGACGACTTCAAGTCCGTCGTCTCCGTCGCGGTGCCCGCCGGGGCCGTCGAGCGCGCGCTCGACACGAAGCTCTACGCGCACGCGCACGTCGACTACGCCCACGTCGAGGTGATCCGCGTCGGCGAGGCCTACTCCCTGCCCGCCGCCGTCGCGGCGCACGTGTCCCTCGTCTCGGAGCTCGTGCGCTTCCCGCGGCTCCGCCGGTCGGACCTCGTCGCCGCGGCCGTCGACGCCGCGCCGAACGCGACGGGCGCCTGGGCCAAGTGCGGCGCGAAGAACAGCGCCTACACGAACCCCTACGTCCTCGCGGAGCGCTACGGCTTCGAGTTCCCGCTGACGGACGCCGCGGACGGCAACTCCATGGCCGTCGCGGAGTTCCAGGGCCAGTACTGGGACCCGAAGGATCTCGGCGCCTTCTCGACGGCCTGCGGCCTGCCGAGCGCCATCTCCGTGTCCAAGACCGTCGGCGGCAACGTGCCCCTCCTCTGCGAGGGCCTCGGCCAGGGCTGCGTCGAGTCGCTCCTGGACATCGAGTACGCGGGCAGTATCGCCGGCGCGATCCCGCTCGAGGTCTACTACTCGGGCACCTACTCGCTCCTCGCCTGGGCGAACAAGCTCGGCGACGCCACGCCGGCGCCCCTCGTCAACTCCGTGTCCTACGGCAACGACGAGGCGCAGCAGACGGGCTCCGCGCTGTGTGGAAACCAACCACTGGTTTGGGTGGTCCTGACCAAACTTGAGAATTCTCTAGCTCGCTCAAATCGAAGTCGATTCGGCTGACTTTTGGACGGATCGATCGCTCTCGTCGAGTTCTCGAAGCCCAGCCGAAGAGCTTGTGTCAAAACATTCGAATACGCTCACATTGAAGTCGGGTTGAAGATTTGGTTTCCACACAGGCTCCGCGTACATGGAGTCCGTGAACGCGGCGTTCATGAAGGTCTCCAACGCGGGCGGGAAACGGGTGGTTCGAGGTCGCTTCAACATGGGTGTTCCGCGCGCGATCATTCCAGAGAAAGGATCCACGCGTCGAGAGCGCTCCGAGAGTTGGGAATGTCGCACCCTTGTCCTGCCCAGGTCTCCAACACGGGCGTGTCCATCCTCTTCGCCGCGGGCGACCAGGGCGTCTGGGGCCGCGAGGGCCCGGGCCTCAAGTACCACCCCGACTTCCCCGCCGCGTCGCCCTACGTGACGGCCGTCGGCGGCACGGACTTCGCGACGAAGTCGGTCATCGGCGACGAGACGACGTGGAACGACGGCGGCTCGGGCTTCTCCAACGAGTTCGCCCAGCCCGCCTGGCAGGCCGACGACGTGGCCGCCTACCTCAAGTCGGCGACGGGGCTGCCCAAGGCGCGCATGTACAACGCCACGGGCCGCGCGTACCCCGACGTCGCCGCGCTCGCGGGCCTCGTGAACCCGTACCTCGTCGCGCTCTCCGGCGGCAAGTCCTTCGCGGGCGTCGGCGGCACGTCCGCCGCGTCGCCGACGGTCGCGGCCATGATCGCCCAGGTCAACAACAACCGCCTCAAGGCCGGCAAGAAGTCCATGGGCTGGCTCAACCCCTTCCTCTACAAGACGGGCGAGGCCGCGTTCCACGACGTCACCACGGGCAAGACGAGCGGCGGCTTCACGGGCGGCTTCCCCGCGGCACCGGGCTGGGACGCGGCGACGGGCTTCGGCACCGTCGACTTCAAGAAGCTCAACGCGGCCGCGCTCGCCGCCTAGGCGCGCGCGTCCGTCGCCCCGCCGCAACAAAGAGCCGAGAGCTCGCCGACGATCCCCCCGCCGCCAACGACGGCGATCGTCCCAACTAAACCAGCGGCGCGCGGGGCCCTCGCGCGAGTCCGCCTACTCGTCCGCGGGCGCGTCGTCCTTGGGGAGGTCGAGCGCCTTGAGCGCCGCGAGGACCTTCGGGTCGAGGTAGTTGATCTGCATGAGGCGCTTCTCGCAGAAGCCGAGGTCGCCCTCCTCCGCGGCCTTCATGACCCACGGCGCCTCGAAGTCGACCTCGACGGCGCCGACCTTGAGCCCGCGGCCGATGGCCGCGACGAGGGGCAGCAGCTGCGCGTCCCAGAGCTCGCCGTCGCCGTCGAGCCAGAGCTGGGCGTGCGCCTTGCGCAGGCAGAAGGGCCCGAAGTGCCAGTCGAGGGCCGTCCCGAAGCCGGCCGCCTTCGCGGCGGCGTTGAGGTACGCGTTCGCGAAGGACTCGGAGTGGTACTGCTCGACGGGGTAGGTGCGCCGGAACGTCTCGTCGCGGCGCGCGGGCACGACGACGTCCAGCGTCGCGTCCCCGGCGACCGCGGCCCAGTGGCGGCCCATGTCCGCCTTCTCCGGCTCCGTCCAGCAGAGCAGGCAGGCGTCGTCGTCGCCGGCGACGGCGGCGGCGAGGGCCAGCGCCTCGCGCAGCGCCGCGCCCTTCTTGCCCGCGGCCGCCTGCTTCTCGACGCGGAACGCGCCGGCCTCGCGCATGCGCTTTCGCACCGCCTCCAGCGGGCTCGCGTCGACGACGACGACGCGGACGCCGTTGTGCTTGGCGATGTGGAGCATGTCGAGGCAGCACTTGAAGCGCACGTCGTCGACGGAGCCGTAGAAGCTGCAGGTGAAGACGACGAGGTCGCCGCGCGCCTCGGGCACCGGGGGCTTGCGCCGGTTGTCCGCGCCGCGGCTCGGCCAGACGCTCTCGGGCTCGCTGTTGAACGCGAAGATCGTCGCGACGGAGCCCGGGGCGAGGCCGGGCGTCGTGCCGCTGTCGAAGATCGAACGATCCGGCGGCGCGTCGGCGCCCGCTTTGGCGTCGGCCATGCTGCCAGCGAGCACAAGCTCCTGTGGCAACGATGGAGCGCTCCTCGAAGAGCATGCGGCCACCACCCAGCTCGACAAGACTACTACGGAGAGCCCTCTCCATCGTCGTGCTCGTCGCCTGCGCGGCCGGCGCAAGCGCCGACGCCGTCGACGACCGTCTCGCGGCCATGTCCATCAAGGAGCTCCGCCATCTCGCGCGCAACCTCGGCGCCGCCGACGAGATGCCGCGCGGCGTCGTCGAGAAGGGCGAGGTCGTCGCCGCGCTGGCGCCGATCCTCCGCTACGAGGAGGCGAGGCGGCGGGAGAAGGACCGCCGCGGCTGGTTCTCGTTCGCGCTCAAATACGGCCTCATCGCCGCCGCGGTCTGCCTCTTCTCGCAGCCCCTGCTCGTCGCCACGAGCTCGGGCCGCGCGGCCTTCGCGGCCGAGTACGCCGAGCGCGTGAACTTGGCCGAGTACGCCTGGCGCGCGGGCTCGCCGCGCGCGGCGGCGCTCGTCGTTCTCACGGGTTTGTGCGACGCCGCGACGTACTACCTGCGGCTGAGCGTGCTCGTGTCCTGGGTCGCGCCGGCGAACTCGTGGCTCCGCCGGTTCATCTCGCCGCTGCCGAGCCTGGCCGTCGACCCGGCGATGGCCATGGGCGCGTCGTCGGGCTTCCAGGTCAACCTCGCGCCCATGCTCGCCATCTGGGTCCTCGGCTACGCCAAGGGCGCCATCTCGCGGTCCGTCGGCCGCACCATGCAGACGGTCCACCAGAGGAACCGCGCGAACCGGAAGAAGCGCAACTAAAGGTCGCTTCCCGGTGGTGCGTGCTTGGTGCCACGGGGAGGCGGTGGGATGGGTCCTCCCGAGGGAGCGAACGCGGGAGGAGGGCAGCCTCTAAGCCCCCGCCCGGCCCCAGAGTCGGGGCAGCCCGGCCGGCCATCGCAGGCCGTCGCTGCGAAACCCCTTGTGGTCCGTTGAGAGAAAAGAGCAGAGAAAAATTAACCGTTGCGATTGGAAGGCAGAGAAGCAGCCGTTGTTTCTAAATCAGCCGTAAACGCGTCCGATCATTCCAGGCCGTCAACAAAGAGTACCGCCGGCGACACGTCGCCTAAGCGTCGGCGGTGGGCCGGCCGGCGGCGGTGAGGAGCGGCGCGGCGGTGGCCGGTGCCACCGCGGGCTTCGGGACCATGCAGGCCCTCTTCGATAACAAGAAGGCGCCGCAGAACTCGGCGCTGGAGTCGACCTGGAGCTCGCAGCCCGAGCTGCCGCCCGTCGTCGAGGACCTGCAGGTGACGGCCACCGTGGGCAAGTACGCCGTCTCGCGGAAGCTCGGCGAGGGCGAGTTCGCCACGGTCTTCGCCTGCAGGGCCGGCGACGACGACGGCGCGCCCGAGCTCGCGTTGAAGGTCATCAACAAGGCCAAGGTCCAGCGCCACAGCAGCATCCTCAAGAGCAAGCGCAACATCCGGCGCGTGAACATGGAGGTCTTGGCCATGCGCCGCTGCCGCCACGCGGGCATCTGCCGCATCTACGACGTGCTCCACTCGCCGTCGAGCGTTTATCTGGTCATGGAGATGGCCGAGCGCGACCTGTTCACCTTCCTCGACGGCTACCCCGACGGCTGCCCCGAGCCCATCATCAAGCAGGTCATGCGCATCTTAGCATTGGGCCTGCGCCACTGCCACAACGCGGGCGTCGCGCACCGCGACGTCAAGCCCGAGAACATTTTGGTCGTCGGCGAGCCGCACGAGTGGGACGAGGCGTCCGAGACCAAGGGCATCGTCAAGATCTGCGACTTTGGCCTCTGCGCCGACATCGAGGTGTCGTCGAAGCTCACGGACTTTGTGGGGTCGCCGGGCTTCTTCGCGCCCGAGCTCATGATGCGGCAGCGGTACGACGGCCCGCTCGCGGACGCGTGGTCCATGGGCGCGGTCATGGTCGAGATGTTCCTGGGCCACCGCGTCTTCGAGACGATCTGGTGCCCGCCCTACGAGTCCCTGAGCGACGTCGCCGCCTTCTCCTGCGGCATCGCGGAGGCCGTCGCGCGCGTGAAATTGGGCACCGCGAAGTCCGTGCCGTCGGAGCCCGTGCGCAAGATGTTCGAGCTCCTGCTCCAGATCGAGCCCGAGCGGCGCTCGTCGGTCGACGTCGTCTGCAAGAGCTCCTGGTTCGAGCTCCTCAAGCTGAGCGAGGACGGCAAGTACCAGCTCCTCCGCCTCACGATCGACGGCGGCGGCGCGGCGCTGCCGCTCGGCGCCGCGCCGCCGCCGCCGGAGCGGCGGCGCCGCGTCGGCGGCCGGAGCTCGCTGCGGGCCGCCGCGGGGTCCGTCCTCGTGCCGGGCACGGAGCACAACCACCTCGCGCCCGCGCCCGCGCCGAACGCCGACGGCGCCGCGTCCGCGGCAGGGCAGCACAAGAGAGCGAAATTCCCAACTTCAAAGGCTCCGATCTCGGCCATTTTCCACTCGTTTCGGCTGATTTTGGACGAGCGATCATCTCTTGGAACGGTCTCGAAGCGTGGATGCTTTTCCCGGAACGCGCGCGCGCGGAACACTCACGTTGAAGCGACGTTGAATCACCCTTGTGCTGCCCAGGTCCGCGGAGCTCCCCGAGACGGACGCGCCGGGGACCGCCGCGCCGCCGTCGCCCGTCGAGGTCGCCGTCGAGGTCGTGGACGACGCCAAGGTCGACGCACCGCTCCCGGCCATCGTCACGCCGGCCAAGGACGAGCCCCCGGTCGTCACCGTCGCCAACGCGAACGTCGACTGGATCTAGGTCGACCGCGGTCGCATGTTACCCCCGACAGTCGGAGCGCGCGCGGAGCGCGCGGGCCGCCACCCGTTGCCTTTTTTGGAACTCGTTGCCTTTTTTGGAACTCGTTGCCTTTTTTGGAACTCGGCGATGCTTCTATGCCGCCACACTCACCCTCGAATCGAAAAAATATTAGCCCGTTTGTTTCTCCCCGTAAAGACAAAAGATCTCGCTCCGGAGAGGCAAACATCTGGTTGGTTACCGTCAAATGTTGAGGCGATCTCGTCACGCGCGATAGTGTCCAGGTCGGCCCGATGGTGTCCTCGCCGCGCCGCGCACTCCTGTGGTGCTTCGCCTGCGTCGCCGCGACGTCGGCGCTGGGCCGGCGGTCGCTCGCGACGAAATCGTGGCGCACGGGCGCGCCGGCGACGTCGGCACACTCCCGGCGCCGCGCCCCGCCCCCGCGCCGCGCCGCGCTGGCCCGGTTGCGCGGCGGCTACAACACCTTCGACGCCCTCATCTTCCTCGACTTCTTCGGCACGGCCGTCTTCGCCTTCTCCGGCACGATCCAGGCGGCGCGCAACGAGATGGACGTGCTCGGCGCGGCGGTCATCGCCTTATTCACGTGCGTCGGCGGCGGCACGACGCGCGACGTGCTCCTGGGCCGCGTGCCCGTCTTCTGGATGCGCAACGTGCTGTACCTGCAGATCATCTTCCTCACGTCCGTGCTGACCTTCTGCTGCTGGCCGCGGATCGAGCGCGACCTCGGAGGCGACGACGCGCACGAGGCGTTCTGCTTCGCGGACGCTTTGGGTTTAGGCGCCTTCGCGGTGCTCAGCGCCGACATCGCGCTCAAGGAGTCGTGCCAGCCCCTCTGCTGCGTCGTCTTCGGCCTCGTGGGCGCGACCTTCGGGGGCGTCATGCGCGACGTGCTCACGAAGCAGCCCGTCCGCATATTGCACGCGCACGTCCACGGGAGGCCCAAGTCGCTCTACGGCTTCACGGCCCTCGTCGGCGCCCTCGTCTACGTGGCCCTCGCGCCGCGGTTCCCGGACTACCCGAACTGCGTCGCGGCGACGGGCTTCCTCGCGACGGCCGTCTTGCGGGTCGCGGCCTACACGTACAAGCTCACGCTCCCCGCGTGGATCGGCCGCATCCAGGAGGAGGGCTCCCCCAAGCTCAGCTCGCGCCGCGCGCGCGTCACGCACCTTAAGTACTAGGCCGCGATGCCCCGCTCGCCCTTGTAGCAGGCCGCGGCCCAGGCGAGCGCGCGGTCCGCGGCGCCGGCCGTCGCGGCGACGCCGCCGACGATGGCCGCGAGGCCAGTGAGCAGCGCGAGCCAGCCGTTGCGCCGCTCGACGAACTCGGCGCAGAGCGGCGACACCTCGTAGAAGAAGAAGACGCCCGGCAGGCCCTTGCCGGAGCCCGGCGCGACGTGGCGCACGTGCTCCGTGACGCTGTACTGCCAGAGCTCGCGCGTCTTGCCCCCGAGATTCTTGTAGACCGTCGGCACGACCTTGAGGTAGTACTGGTGCATGCCGTAGCCGTCGCCGAGCGTCCGGCTCTCGCCGTCGAGCTGCGACGACAGGTCGACGTCGGGCCCGACGACCTTCCTGGACGCGCGCGCGGGCTCCAGACTCCGCTCGTCGGGGCCGAAGCGCAGCTGCTTCACCGTGTGCGACACGTTGAACTTGTCGAAGGTCAGCTGGACGAGGTCCATGCCCTTGAACAGGCCCGACGTCTGGAGGTGGCGCCCCGGCGCGACGTGGAAGTTGCCGGAGACGGCCGGCAGCTCCAGCGTGCCCTTGATCGAGCAGCCCTCGTCGGAATCCAAGTCGAGCGCCGCCTCCGCGAGCTCGCCCGCGCACTGGGCGACCGTGTGCTCGTGGAACGTCCAGCCGCGCTTCCGGTACGCACTGCGCACGTCGTCGCAGGTCGCGCAGCAGGGCCGCTCGTCGTCCTGCGCGCCGTAGCAGTCGCCGCAGGCAACCTCGGGCTTCGCTTCGTCGGGCGCCGCGAGGTGCTCCTCGGACGTGGCCGTGTCGCCGACCTTGTGCACGCTGTTCGCGGCTTTCCGGTTCACGAGCACGCGCCGGCCGTTCGTGTCCAGCCGCGTCTTGATGACGTGCTGCTGCACGCCCTCGAGCGGCTGGCCGCTCTCGTCGTTCGCGTCGATGGCCAACAACTCGCAGTTCGCGCGGGGGAACTCGAGCTCGAAGCGCACGCTCAGGCCGTCGCCGTGGCTCGAGTTCACGAATAAGCGGTCGTGCGTCGACACGGCGAGCGAGTGCTTCAGCTCGCTGCGCACCAAGATGATGGCGACGACGACGGCGAAGAGCGAGCTCACGCCGCCCTGCATCGTGCGCACGCGGAACTCGTCCTTCGTCTTTGGGTACATGTCCATGTTGCGCAGCTTCGCCATGACGTCGGCCATAGTGGCTCGACGGCGCGCGGCGCGCAAGGCGGGCGACGACGCTGGCGCCGTCCAGAGGCAGCTTTGCGGCAAGGTTTCGGCGACTTCGGCCTCTGCCCGTCTTCGCCGGCCGACTGATCCAGCCAGCTGGAGCTGGACGCCGACTGGAGCGAGCAAGGCGACGCAGCGAGTATACACACACGTACACCACACGCAAGAGCACAAAAAGCAAACAAAAGAAAATGAGCGGCCAGGCGCTCAGCCTCTACCGCGCCATGATGCGCGAGGCGACGAAAGTCAACGTACGCGACCCGCGCCCGCCGCGCGCCGCCCCGCGGCGCGCCACCGACGCCCCCTCCCGCCGCAGCAATACAACTTCCGCCACTACGCCGTGCGGCGCGTGCGCGAGGACTTCCGGAAGAACGCGTCGCTCACCGGAGCCGAGGCGACCGAAGCGATCAAACGCGGCCACGTGGACCTCCAGGTGCTCCGCCGGCAGCAGATCGTCGGCAACCTCTACCCGGCGGCCATGTCCGTCATGGACGCGCCCGCAGCGAAGCGATAGGCGCACCGTGTAAAATGACCGCGGCTCCGGGTCGGGACGCGGCGCGCGGTCGGCGCACGGGTCGACGCGCGGCGTCGCGTCGAACGCGCACGACGCGGCGCGGCCTCGGAGATCAACACACATTACGCGGCGGACTTGAGGTCGACGCGGTAGGCGAAGGTCCGGCCGTCGTCGTCGAGCGTCGCGACGCCGACGACGGAGGAGGCGTCCGTCGCGAGGGCCGCGGCCGCGAGCGGGTCCGACTCCCGCAGCGGGAACACGAGGGAGGCGACGCCGCGCGCGGCGAGCGCGTCGCCGAGCGCGCCCAGGAGCGCGGCGCGGTCCGCGCCGTCGGGGACGTCGACGCGGTCGACGAGCGCGACGTGCTCGCGATCCGCGTCCCTGGCGACCCGGGCCTTGCGCGCGGCCGCGACGACGACCTCGGGCGCCTCCGTCGCCGTCCACGCGTCCAGGATGGACCGCGCGTGCGTCGTCCGCGGGTGGTCCGACCCGAGCGCCGCCGCGTAGCCGGCCGCGGCGCGCGTCAGCAGCGCCGTCGCCTCGGCGTCGTCGCCGTCCGGGTCGCGCTTCAGCAGGAGCGCGAGGTCGAGCGCGGAGCGTAGCGTGTGGAGGTGGGTCTCGCCCAACACGCGCCGCCGCCGGTCCAGGGCCTCCGCGGCGAGCTTCCGCGCCTCGGGCAGCTTCGCAGCGTCGCCCGAGCCGACGAGCGCCTCGCTGAGGTTGTGCACCGACGCGAGCGTCAGCGCGTCGCCGTCGCCGAGCGTGCGCCGCGCGGCGCCGAGCGTCTCGCGCAGCATGGCCTCCGCGGCCGCGTGGTCCCGGAGCCGCGCGTACGACAGGCCGAGGTTGCCTGGGCGGGAACAGGGTGATGCGACGTCGCTTCGACGTGCGTGTTCCGCGCGTTCCAGAAACAGCATCCACGCGTCGAGAGCGCTCCGAGGGATGATCGCTCGTCCAAACATCAGCCGAAACGAGTGAACAACGACCGAGCTCGGAGCCTGTGAAGTCGGGAACTTCGCGCCCTTTTCCCGCCCCGGAGGTCGCAGGCCGTGCGGAGGCTGTCGACGTGGTCCGCGCCGAGCGTCGCGCGCCGCTCGCGGAGCACGCCCTCGTAGAGCGCGCAGGCCTCCGGCGCGCGCCCGCGCTCGTCGAGGATCATCGCCAAATTGTGCGAGCTCCTCAGCGCGTGGGGCGATCCCAGCGCGACGAGCGCGGACTGGGCCCAGCGCGCGCGCCGCTCCGCGGCCTCGAGGCGGTTCAGGGCGAGGTCGACCAAAGCCAGGTTCAGCGTCGCCGTCACGGCGTAGATGTCGCCCCGGAGCGCGTCGTCGCGGCCGCCGTGCTCGGCCGCCATGGCCGCGAGCGCGCTCTCGAAGCCCCGCGACGCCTCGTCGAACTGGCCGTTGCGCCAGAGGTGCGTCGCCTCCGTGATCGCCGCGTGCTTCCGCGACAGCAGGGCCTGGGGCGTCTCCGGGGCCTTGGCGGCGACGCGCCGCTCGTCCTCGGCGCGCCGGCGCGCGACGAGCTTCCGCGACAGCAGCAGGCCGGCCTCGTTCGCGTAGGGCTTCTTGCACGTCGGGCACGCGAGGTCCGTCGGCGCGCCCCGGGCCTTCCACCACGCGACGAGGCAGCTCCCGTGGACCGCGCACATGCTGCCCCGGCAGCCGCAGCAGTCGCGCAGGAGCTTCTCGCCTCCGTCGTCGTCGTCGTCCGCGGACCGCACGAGGCCCGCGCCGAGGCAGATGCGGCAGACGTCCCGGGCCTCGTCGCGCCGCACGCGCAGCGCGACGAAGATGTGGGCGACGAGCGCGCCGACGTCCCGGCCGTCGCGGCGCGCGCGCAGCGTCAGCGCCTCGAGCGGCGTCGCGCCGTTGAGGCCGGCGAGCTCGACGACGCGCGGCGACGGCGCCGCGGGGGCTTCCGCCGGGCGCTCGTCGACGACGACGTCGTAGGAGCCGCCGGTCATCCTCTAGCTGCCCCACACGACGTCGTAGCTAGGAATCACACTGGTCTTTGCCTGCCCATGCCTTGCTGCAATGCAAGATAATGCACTTCACAATGTTGATGATGCCGCTCCAAATATGCATGAGCCGATGGCCGCCTCACGTCTCGATCTCCTGTGTTTAGCTGCTTGCGCGTCCGCATTCGTAGCACCGCAACCACGCAGCGCACCCCAGAGAACGGTCTCAGTCCACGGCTACTCGCCGACCAAGAAACGCGTGGGCGACGCCGCCTGCCTCGTGGGCCTGAGCTGCTACCAGCAGGCGCTCCCCTCCGTGCTAACGGCCGCGCCGCTCGACCCCGTCACGCTCGACCTCGGCGGCGCGTGCATCCGCGCGCGCCGGTGCCGTGAAACCTCGCGCGCGCGCGCGTTCCGCGACGCCGCCGATCTCCGCAGGCGGCTGCCGGCTCACGGTCTGCCTTTTCGTCGCGGAGAAGATATTCAAAGCGTTTCGCGCGCCGGAGAGCACGTGGGAGGTGCCCGTGCCCGGCCGCGTCTCGGCGCGCTTCGACGCGCGCAGGAAACCGACGCGGAACCGCGCAGGTCCCCGTGGAGGCCGCCGCCGTCGCGCTCATGCTGAATCTCGGCGTCGAGTACGCCATCTGCGCGCCCCAGACGCTCCTACCGGCGACGCTCGCGCATTCTTTGGGCGCGACGCCCGTCGAGGTCGTCGTCGAGTACCTCACGATCATCGCGTGGCGGATCGTCTACACGAGCCTCTTCCCGCCGCCGCCTCGATAATAACGGGTTACTCCGGGAGCGGGTCCACCTTCCCGTCGACGGAGAGCGCGAGCTCGGGCACGCCGGGTCCGAGGCGGTAGGGCGCGAGCTTGAGGCCGATGTCCTCCGCGGGGACGGCGTCCCCGCCGCGGTAGAGGAGGTGGCGGACGCCGTCGCGGAAGGCGGCGCGCTTCGGGTCGTCGGCGACGTCGCGCTCGTAGCTCCGGACGAGCCGCCGCGTCTCCGCGAGCTGCCTCCGGATCGCCGCGTGCCGCGGGTCCTCGGGCTCCTCGTCCGCCGCGCCCGCGAGCCGCCGCCCCTCCGCGGCGCGCTCGGCCTCTTTTTCCGCGGCCGCCCGGGCCTCGGCGCGTTGCCGCGAGTCCTCGAGGGCCTCGCCGAGCATGGCGGACCCGTCGCCGAGGACCGCGGCGCGCTCCGCGAACGCGTCGCTCTCGACAAACCGCGACGCCGTCTCCGCGCGGATCCGCGACGCCGCGCGGCGCACGAAGGCGCCCGCGGTCGCGTCCCGCGGCCCGGGCCCCGACGCCTCGAAGGCGGCGCGCGCCGCGGCGTCCGTCGCGTCCTCCGCGGCGCCGAGGCGCGCGCGGATCGCGCCGATCTTCGCGCGCTGCACGAAACCGTAGCCGACGCGGACGCGCTTGAGGGCCGCGCGCTTGTGCGGGTCCATGGGCGCCGCGGCGCCGGCGATGTGCGGATGGAAGAGGAGCGGGCCGGGGTCGGGCCCGCCCCGCCGGACGCGCGCCGCGGCGCGCCCGCAAAAGGCCGCGGCTCGCGCGAGCGCGTCGCGCGGCGGCGGCTTCGGCGCCGCGCCGCGGCGGAGCCGGCGCGCGACGGCGGCCGCGGCGCTCGCGTCGAGGTCGGCGATGCGCGGCGGCGGGGCCGTCGGCGCCGCGTCCCGCGAGACGCCGACCTTCAGCGCGACGGCCGCAGCGACCTGGGCAGCAAAAGAGAGATTCAACGTCGCTTCAACATGAGTGTTCCGCGCGCGCGCGTTCCAGAAGATTAGTATCCACGCTTCGAGAACGTTCCGAGGGATGATCGCTCGTCCAAAAATTAGCCGAAACGAGTGGAAAATGGCCGAGATCGGAGCCTTTGAAGTTGGGAATTTCGCTCTCTTGTGCTGCCCTGGCGGCGACGCGCGCCATGACCTCCCAGCCCGCCTCCTCCGGGGGCGGGCGCGCCTCGGACTCTGCGGCCTCGAAGGACTCGTCGTAGTCCTCGTCGGAGCTCTCCGACGCGGGCGCGGGCGTCGCCGGCGCGCCCGGCGCGTCGTCGGACTCGGAAGCGAACGACGAGTACGCCTCGGACTCGGACGACGACGGCGGCCGCCAGGGCACGGCCGCGGCCGGCCCGCTCCCGGCGCTGCTCGGCGTCGGCGGCGCGGACCACACGGACGACTCGTCGGACGCGCTCCGCGACGCGTCGGAGCCGCCGCCCATGCCCCAGCCGTCGTCGTCGTTGTTCGCCGGCGACGGTTCCGGCGCCGACTCGAAGTCGTCGTCGCCGTAGGGCGACGCGCCGTGGCGCACGGGCGAGCGCATGGGCGACGGCTCCGGCGCCGACTCGAAGTCGTCCTCCCCATAGGAGCTCATCGTTTCAGCAGCCCCCAACCATTCGGCAGCCAACTGGGAGGTCGACGGTGCCGCGATGATGAGCTTTTTAGGTGCGCTCATCATCGTGGCATGGGCTGCCGGAGCCCTTGTCGTTCCGCATAGATAATGGCAGCCCCGCTCTTTCGAAGCGCGCCGGAGGCGGCGTCGCCGTTGCCGGCCAAGGCCGAGCGCGTGCCGTACACGGACCCGGAGGCGACGTCCCTGCTCGGCGAGGCGCCGCCGCCGCGGCAGCCCTACGGGCGGAACCGCCAGTGCGTCGTGTGCTCCGGCGTCGGCGTCGTCGCGGCGTTTTGCATCGCGCTCCTGGCCCTGAAGACGGGCGAGTCGTCGACGCACACGTCGAGCTCCCACACCGCCGCCCACAGCTCCAACGCCTGCGGCGAGACGGACGCGGAGGGCTTCCGCCACTGCTCCTACGACTCGTCGGCGCTCCTCGCGTTCGACCGCGTCGCCGCCTTCGTGGGCGAGGACGCGGAGCGCCTGCTGCCGCGGAAGCTGGAGTTTTCCTTCTCCCAGGCGGAGATGGAGCGGGGCATCGGCGCCGAGGGCTCCGGCGGCTTCGTCGCGTTCTCGCTCTTCCGCCCCGCGGTCGCGAGCTACCTCATCGTCGTCGACGTCAACGGCACGGTCGCGCGCGCGGCGCCGACGACGTGGCTCGACGGCGACGACGCGCGGCCGACGCGGCTCGAGGCGGTCAAGTTCGTCGACCCGCGGACCGTCGTCGCCGCGGCGTCGACGGGCCGCGCCTACACGTGGGCGTGGAAGGACGGCGGCGACCTCGAGGCGGCCTACGCGTCCGGCGACGGCGGCGACAGCGGGCTGGACGTCCAGCAGTCCGTGGACGGCCGGAGCTACTGGCAGCCGAGCCGCGACGGATCGGGCTCCGCGTTCGACCGCGTCGCGGACGGTGCCGTAATTTCGAAGCGCGCGGTGCCCAACTGCTCCGACGTGAACCACGCGCAGCTCGTGGAAAACGAGACGCGGGCCGTGGTCTCCTGCCGCGGCGAGTCGTCCTTCGCGTCCGTCGACGTCGCGTCGGGCGACGCGAATTGGGTCGCGGGCGGCCCCTTCGGCACGCTGACGCTCGTCGACGAGGACGGTACGACTTACGAACCGGGCACGTACACGCCCTGGTCCGGCCAGCACAACGTCGAATACGTCGGCGACGACACCTACCTCTTCTTCGACAACGGCTACGGCGCCGAAAGGGCGTCGAGGCTCCTGGGGTGCAAGGTCGACGCGGAGAACGCGACGCTGACGATCGAGTCGGCCCAGGCCTACGTCGACGAGTTCCCCTACGGCTACGCGCCGCTCTACGGCGACCACGACCGCTTACCCTCGGGCAATTCGTTGGGCACCTGGTGGCCCATCATGCGGTCGCCGAGCCGCGTCACCTTCGACGCGCAGATCGGCGAGCTCTCGCCGGCCGGGACCGCGGCCTGGGCGCTGAACATCTACGGCTTCCGGGCCTGCGACGATGACGGTGACAGTGGCTGTGCACAAACAAAAGGCGAGGGCTGGAAGGTCTACAGCGCGGAGCGCGGCATGGACCGGCCCGTCGTCCACGGGGCGACCTACGGCGACGGCCAGCTGAGCTTCTACGCGCACGCGCCCGTCAAGCTCAACCACCTCGCCCGAGCCCGCTGGAGCCTGCGGACGACGGAGTGGGACGATGCCAAGGCGACGAGCCGCGACGTGTCCAGCGGCCTCTTCATGTTCGACGCGTACTGGCGCGGCACGTACCACGCCGTCGAGCTCGCGCCGACGACGCCGTGGGGCTTCTCGCTCTGCGTCGGCAACGGCACCATGGCCGTCCACGTCTGGGACGAGTGGGGCTCCGAGACCGTCGCGCCCGTCGACTGCGCGACCCAGGGGATGGCGTAGAGACGTGTGTGTGTCGCCGGGCGCCGCCGGATCCCCGGTCGGGAGCTACAGCGCGGTTGAATTAGGCCGCCGCCGCCGGGGCCCGCCGACCTGTCCGGTCGCGGCCGCGGGGGCGGGGTGGCGCGCCCGGCTTGGGACTAGGCGATGTCGAAGCGCGCGAGGAGGCGCTCGAGGACGGTCGCGTCGCAGCCCTGGGGCGTGTGCTCGCAGTAGACGCCGCGCTGCCGCGCGGCGGCGACGTTGTGCGGGTCGTCGTCCGCGAGGGACGCGGCTCCGACGTCGACGCCGACGCGCTGCAGCAGCTCGTCGATCTGCGTGTTCTTGTCCCCGAGGATGTCCGACCCCTCGGCGCACCGCGGCCGGTCGTCGTCGTCGTCGTCGCCGCCGCCGAAGTCGAAGCGCGGGTCCGCGTGGTCCGCGGGCGTGCTGATGGCCACGCCGTGGGCCTCGCCGAGGGCGAAGGTCATGGCCTTGTCCACGACGTCGCGCCGCCCGAAGGTCGCGATGGCGACCTCGACGTCGGCGCCGCGCGCGCGCGACACGAACGCGCGGAACGCCGGTAGGTCGACGAACGTGGCCGCGTCGATGGGCACCTCCTTGAGCGGCGCGTTGCGGAACTTGCCCCAGACGTGGAACCGCGTCAGCGTGCAGTCGAAGTCGAAGATGGCGAGGCCCCTGGGCATGGTCGGCGGCGCCCGCGCCTTGACGGGCGTGAGGAAGATCTCGCTAATGGTGGCGGCGATGGCAGCGCCGCGCGAGCCAGCGCGGCGCCGCGGAGACTGCGAGAGCGCGGTGGTCCGGGTGGCGCGCGCGAGAGAGCGGCGGAGCGCAGCGCTTTGCGGAGCGAGGTCGGTCCGGCGGGCTGGTGCGGACGTCTCGCGGCACGACACGACGCGCGCGAGAGGTACGCGATCAAGCTGTGTTTGCCATGCCAGGATATGATGGACGTTGAACCAACATTGCACTAGCTGAATGCGATGTAGGGCTGCCTCACGGCTGCTCGCTGCTCTCCCGGTGATGCTGCTCGATACCATGCTCCTCGCGCGACGCGCCGCCGCCATGTGCGACGACTGGCAGGGCCGCAAGTGGATCCACATTCCCAAAGTCGGCGGCACGACGGCGGCTGGCCACGTCGCGAACGCTCCCGTTCGCGCGGCGATGCAGCGGCAGCTCGACGCGGCGCCGCTGCCCGTCCTGAGCCGCGACCACACGTGCAGCGCGCACCACATCCCGCCGCGCTGCCGAACGCGCGGAATCCCTACGTAGATCCCACAACGAACGCGCGCCACCCGACGGCCTGCGCCGTGCGGGACCCGCTCGACCGCTGGCTCTCGGAGTTCAACTACCGGTCGCGGCACGGCACGCGCCGCGACTTCGTCGCCTACACGCGGCGCGCCGTCGGCGCGCTCGCCCGGGAGGTCCAGGACGCGCTCGGGGGCCGTCGGTTGGACGCGGCGCCGCTCTGGCGCCCGCCGCCGCGCCGGGGCCCGCCGCCGCCCGCGGACGCCGCCGGCAACGCGACGCTCGAGGACCTCATGCTCGCCGAGGTCGCGCGCGCGGCGGCCGCGGCGCCCTTCGCGCCGTCGCAGTTCCTCGCCGCGGGAGAGCGGCGCGACCACGACGTCCGCCGGCTCCCGCCGAAGCTGGCACCGGCGTCCATCGCGACGGAGACGACGAACGATTGTCATTATATTCCCCAGTTCTACTACGTCTTCTTCGACAACCTGGGCCGCAACGCGTCCTGCGACAGGGTCGTCGCGCTCGACGACCTCGACGAGGCCCTGTGCGAGGTGAAGCTCGGCTGCGCGCCGAGGCCCGAGTCGTGCCCGCCGCCGGACCACCGCAACTCGCACCGCGAGGGCGCGCCGCGCGTCGCCGACCTCCCCGCGGACCTCGCCGCCGCGCTCCGCGTGCTCTACGCGCCGGACTACTTCCACTTCGGCCACGTGTTCCAGCGGAACGCGACGGACGGCCGCCGGCGAAAACGGTGAGCGAACAGCGGTGTTAAAACGCGCGCGGGGCGCCGCGGAGGTCGCGGAGGCTGATGGAGGCCATGCCGCGGAGGAGCTTGCGGAGCTCGATGACGGACTCGAGGTAGTACTCGGCCTGCGTCGCGCCCGTGCCGATGTGGACGAGGTAGAGCTGGGCCGGCGCGTCGTCGCCGCCCTTGTCCGCGTCGTGCTCCGCGCGCCGCGCGTGCCACGCCTTGAGCAGCTGGTACATGTCCTCGTCGGAGCGGTCGTCGCCGACGCAGAGCACGAAGTCGAAGTCGACGTCGGCCTTGGACGACGCGGCCGCGTCCGACGCGCCGGGCGAGTCCGTGCCGCTGTCGGGCGACGTGGCCGCGGAGCCGCTCGTCGCGGCCGGCGCGCCCGGCGTCGTCGCGACCGCCGACGCCTCCGCGGGCCGCTCCCGCACCGTCTCGCCCCGGGGCCCCATGCGCAGCACCTCCTCCAGCACGAGCGACTTGTTCACGCCGACGTGGCGGACCTCGACGAGGCGGTTGCCCTGGATGATCTCCAGCGGCAGGTTCGACATGACGTCCTCCATGTGGATCTGCATGTCCTTGGCCTGCCACGCGCCGAAGTGGGGGTCCGCGTCCCGGTAGTGCCAGGCCAGCGAGCTCTCCTTGGACTCGATGTACGTGCCCGGCGTCCGCTCCGCAAAGTACTGCATGATGGGCCGCACGACGTCCTTCCACGACGTGTCCAGTTCGCGGCCCAGCGACTTCCAGACGCCCTGCTCGTCGTCGGGCGCCCGGTGGCAGTAGCCGAACTCCGCGGCCAGGCCGACCTTGAGCTTGCCGAGCCACTTGTCCATGAACCGCCGCTCGCGGCCGCTCATCACGTAGACCGTATTGCGCGTGTCGCGCGCCAGCGTCGCCAGCAGCTGCGTCACGACGGGCGCGGGCGTCGCCAGCTGGGGCAGCGACTGGATCTGCGTCAGCGTGCCGTCGTAGTCCGTCACGACCAACCTGCGTGGAATTCGACCGCTGGTTTGGGGGGTCCCCACCAAACTTCGGAACTCTCTAGCTCGGTCACATCGAAGTCGATTCGGCTGATTTTTGGACGAATCGATTGCTCTCATCGAGTTCTCGAAGCGCAGCAGAAAGCCTTGCGTCGAAACGGTCGATTACGCGCACATTGAAGTCGGGTCGAAGATTTGAGTTCCACGCGGCCACGAACCGGTTCTTCGCGCGCGAGTACGCGGAGAGCACGGACGCGGCGTTGAGCTTCGGCAGCTTGGAGAGCAAGGGCGGGTGCTCGCAGACGTCGCGGAACTCGGACACGAAGGACCGCGCCCAGTAGGACGCCGTGTTCGTCGTCACGTAGCGGTGGAGCTTCGCCCAGCGGAGCTCGCGCTCGACGCGCGTCAACGTCAAAGCCTCGTGGATCGCGCGCGCGAGCTCCTCCGTGTTCCAGGGGTTGACGCGGATGGCGCCGCTCAGGGACTGGGCCGACCCCGCGAACTCGCTTAACACGAGCGCGCCGGGCCCGTCCTTGGCGAAGGGCTTGCAGCACGCGGACTCGCGGCGCCGCCGCGGGCCCTCGCCCTCCTCCCCGAGGGCGCCCTGCTTCGCGCCCTCGCCCTCGGCCTCGTCGTCGGAGACGTCCTCCTGGGCCGCGACGTACTCGTGGGACACCAGATTCATGCCGTCGCGCACGGACGTCACGAGGCACGCGTCCGCCAAATGGTAGATCGCGATGAGCTCGTCCTGGGGGATGGACTGGTTGATGTAGTGGATGGGGCTGTACTCCAAGCGTGCCGTAGACGCCGTTGATGCGGCCCACGAGCTCGTTGACGTGCTTGGCCAGCGTCTGGTACTCGGCGACGTCGACGCGCGTCGGCACGCCGACCTGGATGAGCGTGACCTTGCCGACCCACGACGGGTTCCGCGACAGGAAGAGCTCGAAGGCCAGGAGCTTGTGGGGCATGCCCTTGATGTAGTCCAGGCGGTCCACGCCGATGATGATCTTGCGCCCCTCGAAGGTGTCGCCGAGCTCGCCCGTCCGCTTTTTGACCGCGCGCGACCGGAGCGTGTTCCGGATCAACAGCGGGTCGATGCCGATGGGGAAGACGCCGATGGAGCAGAAGCGGCCGCCGAACTCGATGCCCTTAGGCGTCGTCGTCGACACGTCTAACACCCGGGAGCAGGCCGAGAGGAAGTGGCGCGCGTAGTCGTAGGTATGAAACCCGACCAAATCCGCGTGCAGCAGCCCCTCCAACAGCTCCCGCCGGTAGGGCAGGATGCGGTAGATCTCGGACGACGGAAAGGGCGTGTGCAGAAACCAGGCCACGGCGACGCGCGGATCCAACCGTCGCAGCTCCAGCGGCAGCCGCATCAAGTGGTAGTCGTGGACCCACACGACGTCCGCGCCCTGCGACGCGGACCCGGCCCCGAAAAAAGAAGCGATGCCGCTCGACAGCTTCTTCTTCTTCTTCGACGCGTCGGCCTTGCTATCCGCGCCGTCGCCCTTGTAGACCTCCATGACCGCCTCCGCGAAGCGGCGGTTCGCCTCGGTGTACGCGTCCCAGAGATGCGCGTCGAACTTCTTCTCCGCGCCCGCCTGGTACATGGGCAGGGGCACGTAGTGGAACAGGGGCCACAACACATCATTGCAGAAGCCATTATAATAGTTCTCCACGAGCTGGGGCTCGAGGAAGACGGGGAAGCAGCCGTGCTCGCGCATCAACCGCTCCGCGACGCGCGCGCGCTCCTGCGGCGGCACGTCGCAGCCGACCCAGCCGACCCAGACGAACTGCACCTCCATGGAGATGCCCCTCAACGCCGTCGCCAACCCCCCGGGCGCGTCGTCGAAGGACCAGCGGCCCGTGCGCGCGTCGCGCGAGCACCGGATCGGCAGGCGATTCGCGACGATGAGCACGCGCCGCGGCCGCGCCTTCTCCTTCACCTCGGGCACCTCCTGCTCGTCCTGGTCCGCCTTGAGCTCGCGCAGGTGGCGCTGGAGCTCCTGGATCTCCGCGATGATCTGCTGCTCCTCGACGCTGAGCTGCGCCGCCGACGGCGTCGCCGCGTGCGGCGACGGGTCGCGGGCGACGTGCTCCGCCATGGCCTTTCAACGCGGGGGTTTCGCGGCGCCGCGCGCGACGAAAACCCCGGAGTGCGTGGGTGGCCGCGAGCCGCGCGCTAGTTGTGCGCGTCGGCGTCGACCTCGAGGTCTCTGTGCTCGGCCCAGCTCGTTCGAGGCGCGCGCGGAGCCACTCGAGAGGTTGGGGGGTTTTGGGCGTGTCCACGGGACCCCTAGTCTCTCGCATAGGTGACGCTGGAAGCGCCCCTCGGTCCATGGAGCGCTCGCGGCGTGCTGGCCAGGCGAAACCCGCCGGGTCTGGTGGAGCGACCCGCTCAGCACTCCAGGGGTGCCCGGGAGAGGGGAATTCTCAGAGTGGCCGGCGGGGGCCGGCGCCGGCGGGGGCAAATTTGCTTGAACGCTGGGCAATCGGCTGCTGGCGAGCTGCGTCGCAGTAGACTGCGCAGTCGAGGCAGCCGCGGGGCGTCGCGGGCTGGTGTCGAATCGCTGCAGTTCTCTGCACAGCTCGCCGTATAGTTGCTGCGGTTCGCCATGAATCCGAACGCGGCATCCTTCTCGTTCAACGCCGGCGCGGCGGACTGGACGCCCGGCGGCTTCAGCGCGCCGCCTCCCGCTGCGCCCCCCGCGCCTCCCGCGGCGCCCGCGGCGCCGCCGGCGCCGGGCCCGGAGGAGAGCGACCCGCTCTGGGTCGCCGTGCTCGCCGTCGCCGGGGGCGACCGCGCGGAGGCGAAGCGGCTGCTCGGGAGCCCCGACGAGCTCCTCAAGGAGGAGAGCCTCTGGCCGCTCATGAAGCTCGACAGCTTCGGCTTGGGAGCCATGGCCGCCGCGATCGACGAGGCCGCCGCCGCGCCCGCCGACGCCGCCGCGCCGACGGAGCCGGAGCCCGCGGCGGCCAAGGAGGAGCCGGAGGAGGAGGTCGCGGAGGAGGAGGTCGCGCTCGTCGAGGAGGACCCGCGCGAGCACCTCAACGTCGTCTTCATCGGCCACGTCGACGCGGGGAAGTCGACGCTGAGCGGCAACATGCTCTACCTCACGGGCTTCGTCGACAAGCGGACCATCGAGAAGTACGAGCGGGAGGCGAAGCAGCGGAACCGCGAGTCGTGGTTCTTGGCGTTCATCATGGACACGAACGAGGAGGAGCGGGCCAAGGGCAAGACCGTCGAGGTCGGCCGCGCGCCCTTCGAGACGGAGGTGAAGCGCTACACGATCCTCGACGCGCCGGGCCACAAGTCGTACGTGCCGCACATGATCTCGGGCGCCGCGCAGGCCGACGTCGGCATCCTCGTCATCTCCGCGCGCCGCGGCGAGTTCGAGACGGGCTTCGAGCGCGGCGGCCAGACGCGCGAGCACGCCATGCTCTGCAAGACGCTGGGCGTGCGGTTCCTGCTCGTCGTCATCAACAAGATGGACGACCCCACCGTCCAGTGGAAAAAAGAGCGCTACGACGAGTGCGTGTCCAAGCTCAAGCCCTTCCTCAAGACCTGCGGCTTCATCATCCGGAAGGAGGTCAAGTTCATGCCCATCTCGGGCCTCGTGGGGTCCAACGTGCTCAACCAGGTCGACGCGGCCGTCTGCCCCTGGTGGCAGGCGTGCGTCGACGCGGGCGACCACAACACGACGGACGCGACCTTGATCGGCTGCCTCGACAAGCTGACCATCGAGGGCCGCTCCGCCGAGTCGCCCGTGCGCATCCCCGTGCTCGACCGCTTCTACGAGCGCGGCACGATGGTCATGGGCAAGGTCGAGTCGGGCCGCATCGCCAAGGGCATGAAGCTCACGATCATGCCCACGAAGCAGGAGGTCAAGGTCGAGCAGGTCTACGTCAACGAGACGACGCCCGTCTTCTCCGCCAAGCCGGGCGAGAACGTGTCCTTCAAGGTCTCCGGCGCGGCCATCGAGGAGATCTGCAAGGGCTTCGTGCTCTGCTCGGCGCCCGTCTGCCGGGCCGTGAACAAGTTCACGTGCCAGCTCGCGCTCGTGGAGCTGCTGGAGCACCGGCCCATCTTCACGAGCGGCTACACGTGCATGCTCCACGCGCACACGTGCGAGACGGAGGTCACGTGCTCCAAGCTCCTGAGCCAGGTCAACGCCAAGGTCAAGCCCAAGCCCGGCGCGCCGCCGCGGCCCATCTGCTTCGCCAAGCAGGGCGCCGTCGTCATCGCCCAGCTCAGCGTGCCCGAGACCATCTGCCTCGAGGTCTTCGAGGACATGAACCAGCTCGGCCGCTTCACGCTCCGCGACGAGGGCAAGTCCATCGCCATCGGCAAGATCATCTCCCTCGACGAGTAGGCGCCTTCGGCGTTCGCGCCCGCGCGCCGCCGCGGGCATCACCCCCATCGAAGACCCCGTAAACCTCTTAAAACCGCGACGCCGGCGCCGTTTTTTTCGACGAGAACCACGAGTTTTTCGTCGGCTCGGGCCTCGCGGCCGGGCGCGTGATGGTCAGCGAGTCCCGCGCCCGCGAGAAGGACGCGTCGGCGAAGGGCACGGGCCGCGACGCCTCGCCGTCGGCGTCGCGCGTCGCCGCGTCGATGGTCCGCGCGACCTCGGTCTCGACGTCGACGTCCTCGCGCTTCGCCTCCTGCGCCTCGCGCTTCGGCGCCTGCGTCGCGCCCATCTTCAAGAAGGCCACCTGGCTCATGTCCATGAGCGCGATGAGCTCCTCGGGGTCGATGAACCCGGAGCCGTCGCGGTCGCACTTGCGGAAAATCTCCGCGATGCGCGCGTCGCTCACGTGCTCCGCTCTCAGAGTCGTCCGGAACGCGGCGACGAGCTCGGCCTGCTCGATGTGGCCGTCGTGGTTCGTGTCGAAGGCGTCGAAGAACTCGTGCCAGTCCTCGCCGCACTGGCAGTAGGCCGCCGCCAGAAGCCGCCGCGTCGCGACGAGGACCGGGTCCGCGTCGCCGCCGTCGCCGTCCTGCCGCCGCAGGCTCAGCCCCTGCCGGAGCTTCCGCAGGTCCGCCCGGTCGCGGCTCTCCCGGAAGTGCTTTTCGGCGATCATCGCGCGCTCGTGGAGCAATGTAAAAAGCAGCGAGACGAGCGCCATGCCCGCGACGACCGCGGCGACGTGCCAGACGTGGTACCACGTCAGGCGCTCCACGTTCCGGTCCCTCCGGTCGCTCAACGGCACGTAGTCGCCCAGGCCCACGGTAGAAAACGTGGAGAACGAGTAGTAGGCCGCCGTCGTCAGCGACCAGCCCTCCATGCGCTCGTAGATGACGACGCAGTGCAGAAAGTAGACCACGATGAGCAAGGCGCAGAAGACGATCTCGTCCTCGCGCGTCGTCGCGCGCGAAAAGCCGGCGCAGGCCTTGAGGTGGTGCAGCGTGACGTTCGACGCGCTCCGCGCGACGACGCCGATGAAAGAAAGAGCGTGCAGCACCAAGGGAATGCCGAATAACGCACACACGATCACGAGCCACTTGCCCGCGGGCTTCTCCGGCACGATGTTCCCGTAGCCGATCGTCGAGCAGACCGTGGACACGAAGATATAGGCGTCCCAGGCGCCCCAGCCCTCGACGCGGTGGAACGCGTACGCGAACGCGGGCATCCAGAGCCCCAGCACCAGGACCGTGGAGATGAGGCCGTTTTCGGCGAACTTCAGGAACTTGGCGCGCATGCGCCGCCGCTTGAACTGGGTCATGGTCTCGCGGCGCACCGTGCTATCTCTCAAAGACGCCTGGGCGACGAGGTCGCGGTACTCGGCCTCGAGGTCCGCGTCGTCCTTGGCGTCGCTGAAGAGCTCCCTGTTCGACTGCGAGAATCCCACCGTCGCCGCCGGCGGCATGGCTTCGGAGCGTCGGGGCGGGTTAAATGGCGGGGGTGTCACCTAGCCCCCATCCCTGCCCTAGCCATCACGTTTCGTCCAGATTTTGTTTGGGCGTGCACCCCATGTTGCGACGAGTTAGAGGGGCTCGACGGGGTAGATCTGCTCGAGGCGGGAGTAGATGTCCCAGGTCTGCCAGTCGACGCCCTCGCGCTCGCACCAGACCTTCATCCAGTGCCACGCCTCGGGCGACGGCAGCGTCCGCGGCCGCGGCCCCTCGGCCTGGCGGACGATGTTCTGCCCGCGGAGGTGCCAGACCTCGAGGAGGAGCACGTGGTCCAGTTTGCCCGCGGCGTCGCTCAGCGTGAAGGACCAGAAGGACGACACGCGCTGCCGCGCGCGCATGACGTACTTGACCTGGCTCGACCGCCGGTCCTCGAGGCAGTTGTCGAGCTGGTTGCCCTCGTAGATCAGGCGCTTGAGGCTCAGGATCTCCTCGACGCGCACCGTCTTGGGTTTCGCGCCGCGGTCCGTGCCCGGGCCGAGCTCGTAGGGCCCGTGGCCGAAGTTGTAGGGCTCGTCGTACGGCACCGTCACGTTCGACCGCGGGATCACCGCGCCCTCGAGGAACAGAGGCTTGATGCCCCGCGGGTTCGGCAGGAAGGCCTCGTCGTCGTCGAAGACCGTCGACGACAGCGCGTAGGCGTCCATCTGCTCCGCGACGGTCTTGGGAGTCCGGCCCGCGGCCGAGTAGCCGTCGTCCGACCGCCGCATCTCGCACAAATAGTCCAGCGCCAGGCTCGCCGTCGACGGCTCCGCGAGCTCCTCGGCGTGCGTCGCGCACCAGCGCAGCGCGTCCTGGTCGAAGAAGCTCTCGACGACCGGCTCGTTGACGCGCGCGCCGAACGTCGACGCCGCCGCGGCGTCGCCGACCCAGTCCGGCGCGCCGAGCGCCTTGGCCTGGGCTTTGCGGAGCGCCGCGAGGGGCGCCGCCTCGAGGCTGCCGCAGTAGGCCGCCGCGGCCTTCTTCGTGATCGACGGCGCGAACGCCTGGAGCGCGGACCGCACGCTGGACTCGCCGCCGCCGGAGGCCGCGTAGGCCCGCAGGAACCGCAGGGCGACGCGGTTCGTGCGCTGCGGGTCCGACGTCGCGTCGAGGAGCACGGACGCGCGCAGCGGCGGGATGGCCTCGTATTTCTCCAGCAGGTGCTCCGCTAATGCGGACACCGCGGCTCCGCCGTCGGCGGCCGCGAGGTCTTCCGGCGCCCAGTCCTCGGGCTCGCGCTGCCAGGGCGAGCTCCCGCAGCCGCCGCCGGTCCAGCACGCGAGCCGCGCGAGGCCGTAGGGCGCCGCACCCGACGGCCCGTCCATCGCGCCGGGCGCCGCCTTTTCCACCTGCTTCGCGAGCGCTCTCAGGCGCACGTCCGCCGCCGCCGCCTCGAGCTGCGCGTCGCGCTCGCTGAGCGTCGTCTCCTCCTCGAAGGCGCACATGATGCACGTCGCCAGGTGCCGCCGGCACGCGCTGAACCAGGGCGACGTCTCGTAGGGCTCCAGGGTCGGCGCCTCCTTCTCGTCGTCGCCGAAGCCGAAGAAGCCGCGCCGCTCAGTCCGCCGTCGGGTTTGTGTTGTGGGCGCGCGGAACGCGCCGGCGGCGCTGAGAAGCGCCGCGAGCGCGGCGACGGAGGGCCGCATGCTCGCGGCGGCCACTTCAGAGGCAAGGATCGGCGAGCCAATGTTTACCCTGCCCACCCGGTCGACCTTTTACCCTGCCCACCCGGTCGACCTTGCCCTTTGGGAGCTGAGGCGCTCGGCTCGGAGAGCGGCCGCCGCGACAGCGCGTGCGCGGCGCCCCCGGGGAGTGGGGCCGCGCGCTCCCGCATGTGCCTCGGGACCGTCCGTGGCCAGACCACTGCGAAGACGCCGCGCGCGAAACGGTCCGGGCGTCGTCGAAAACGCAACGGCCTCGTCGGAGCGTTCTCTCGCGACGGCTGGCGCGTGTTGGACGTGTTCCGGACCTCGCATGCCGGGTTTCTCCGGAGGAAGTGCGGAGAGGGTTGCTACGAAGAACATGTCTCGCGAAACCCGGCATTCGCCACCGTCGGACCACCCTACGGCCTCGGTTCCTCGATTCTCATCGATTGGCGGCGGTCAAAACGAGCCAGTGTGCGGCGCCGCGACGCCCCTGGACGTCCAGAGCGGTTCCGATGCCCTCTCACGACCGATCACTGGGGCTCCGCTGGCCCGCGCGTCAGGTGAACGCGGCACTCGACAGCTACAGCTTGGGCGCCTCCTGCCAGCGCCTCGAAAACGACACCAACACGGTCTACAGCGACGACGCGCCCACGAACGCGGACTGGCGCTGGCGTTGCGTCGAGACATCTTGTCTCGACTCCAGAAGACGCTCGGCCATCGAAACGGTGCTCTGCGCGCCTGTTTTCCTGCCGTTGGTGCCTCGCCAGTACACCCTAGCCGTACTAAACCAGTACAAACGCGTCGTATACGGCCGTATATACTCGCTTCGGCGCCCCGCGCGACCGCCTGGGGACCGGTCGGACTCCCTGGGCTAGCGTGGACGTGCGTGGCACCCGCCGCCGTCGGGTGGACACGCGTACGTGGCGCTCGCGCACGCCGGAAATCTCCAAAAACCGACATTTTCGGCCATAACTTGTGCCAATCGATGACCTAGCATGATCGGCTGCGGTTCCGGAGCCCCAGATAAACGTCCATCACGATGAGACAAGCAGGGGGTCCGCGGTCGAGGTGCCCAAAATCGTCGATTTTCCAGTGGCGTGGGCAGGGTAAAATGTTGATCGCGTTGAGGCGAAAACCTTCATCGAGCCCTCCGGCCACTCTCCGGCCACAGCCTGTCGGACGCCGTCGTCGGCGCCGACGTGCAGCCACCGCTGCGCTCCATCGACGCCGCCGCATCGATATATCCGCCGCGCAGCCACCGCTGCGCTCCATCGACGCCGCCGCATCGATATATGCTGCGACTGCGCGCTGCTGTAGCCATGGCGTCCTACCAGAGCGGCTACGCCGGCAAGCACCGCATCCTGTCCACGAAGACCGGCGTCGTCCACATCACGCTGCACGGCGCCGGCGCGTCCGCCGGGCGCGAGCTGCTCAAGGACTTCCACAAGCACGCCATGGAGGTGCCGGCGGACATCGCGACGCTCAACGCGGAGATCGAAGCCGCGTCGGCCAAGGTGCTCCCGTTGGACCTCAAGGACGACGCGCGGGGCGCGCGCGCCGCGCGCGCCGCGAGCTACGAGCACGGCGCGCGGCGGTCGGACGAGACGATCCCGGGCCTCGGCAGGCGCGACCCGCCCGTCGGCCTCGCCGTCTTCGAGCCCGCGGCGCCGATCGAGGGCGTCTACCTGCACTTCCACGGCGGCGGCTGGGTCGTGGGCTCGGCGTTCGGGCAGAACGACGCGCGGCTGCAGGCCATGGCCGACGCGCTGCGCGTCGCCGTCGTCTCCGTCGACTACCGCCTCGCGCCCGAGGCGCGGTTCCCGCGGCCCGTCGACGACGCCGTCGCGGCCTTCGAGTGGCTGGAGCGGCGCGCGGCCGAACGGTTTGGCGCGGCGACGCTCGTCGCCGGCGGCGAGTCGTCGGGCGCGCACCTCTGCCTCGCGGCGTTCCTGCGCTTGGCGCCGGCGGTCCGCGCGCGGTACCGCGCGCTGAACCTCGTCTACGGCTTCTACGACCTCGAGGGCACGCCGTCGAACCGGCGCTTCGACCGGCGCCTGGTCTTCAACGGCCGGGAGCTGGCCTGGTTCGCGAAGCAGCTCCAGCCCGACGTCATGCTCCACAAGGACCCGGCGTGCTCCATCTTGCGCGCGGACTTCCCCGGCGACCTGCCGCCGGCGCTCTTCTCCGTGGGGACCCACGACGCGCTCCTCGACGACACGCTCCTCATGGCGCAGAAGTGGGCGGACGTCGGCGCGGAGGCGGACCTCGTTCTTTATCCCGGGGCGGCCCACGGCGTCGGCCACTTCGGGCCCCACGAGTCCACGCACCAGGGCGCGGACCTGCTGCGGCGCGTCAACACGTTCCTCAAGGGTAAGATGTAGCGCCTAGACGGTCTTGTACTTGACGAAGGCGAGGAAGAACGTGGAGAGGATCCGCAGCGCGGCGACCATGGCGAAGAGGAAGATGAGGTCCGTCCAGCGGTGCTCCCAGAGGAACTCGCCGTTGAATTTCGAGAAGGGCCCCTTGCCCGTGAGGAGCGTCGACAGCGACACCTCGACGGGCACGGGGCCGGCCGGCGTGGGGATCGCGCCGACGACGACCTCCTTGGAGACGCCGTGGAACTGCGTCACGACGAGGCCCTCGAAGAAGTAGTGGCAGGGCGAGATCCAGTACATGAACATCCAGAAGCTCGGCATCTTCGCGGGGGCGATGACGAAGCCGGAGAAGAGGGAGAACAGCGACGACACCGACGGCCCGATGGCCTGCGCCGAGGCCTCGTCCGGCAGCGCGACCACGAGAAACTGGCCGAAGAAGCACATGAAGGACACGTAGCCCATGTAGATGGCCACGTACCACAGAAACTTTTCGTAGCCGCCGTACATGTCCACGATGCCGAAGAGGACCCCGCAGAAGATGAACGAGTAGACGACGAGGTAGGGGATCTCCACGAGCACGTAGGCCATGGCGTAGGGCAGGGGCCGGTACATGGACGACGACTGCTCCCGGTAGAACGCCGCGCGCTCCGCGGCGACGAGCGGCATGCCCGTGACCATGTAGATGACGCCCATGAAGTACGTCGACACGAAGAGCAGGCCCGAGCGGCCGAGCGCGCCGTTGACGTCCGTGATCTTAGCCGTGTAGCAGGAGCCGAAGAAGACGCTCACGATGACGGAAACCATGAGGCGCGCGACGTTGTACGCCGGCGACCGCCAGTACGTGATGGCCATCTTCTTCGACAGGATCAGGAACTCCGTCGCCATCGACGGGCCCGGCTCCGCGTCCGGCGGCGGCGCGTCGCCGTCGAGGAGCGGCGCCTCGAGGCCGCCGCCCAGGAGCGGGTTCCGCGTCGGCGCCGAGCCCTCGAGCGCGGCGAGCACCTCGGCCTCGTTGGCCTTGGCCAGGGGCGAGAACTTGTAGAAATCGGCGAAGTCCGCGTCCGGGTCGACGGCGGCGGTGAGCATCCACGTCGCCGGGTTCTGGCCCTCGGCGAGCGGCGGCAGGCCCGCGCCGAGCGACGTCGCGGCGTCGGAGAGGTAGGACACGAGCGCCGCGCAGTCCTCGCCGAGCTCGCCGAAGTAGACCATCTTGCCGCCCTTCTTGAGCAGCAGGAGCCGGTCGAAGGCGAGGAAGAGCGCCGCCGACGGCTGGTGGATCGTGCAGATGACGGACCGGTTCGTCTTCGCGACGTTGGCGACCGCGCGGATGACGACGAGCGCCGCGCGGCTGTCCAGACCGGACGTCGGCTCGTCCAAGAAGAGCACCGCGGGATTCGCGGCCATCTCGACGGCCATCGTGAGGCGCTTGCGCTGCTCGAAGCTCAGGCCGCCCTCGGCGATGGACCCGACGAGCCGCCGCGCCACGGGCCCGAGCTCGAGGAGGTCCAAAATGTCCCGCACGTAGGCGGACCGCTGTTTGGGCGCCGTCGACTGCGGCAGCCGGAGCTGCGCGGAGAAGTCGACGGCCTCCGCGACCGTCGCGCCGGGGCTGTGGACGTCGAGCTGCTCCACGTAGCCCGAGACCCGGACCCAGAGCTTTTGGTCCTTCGGCCGGCCGTTGAGGGAGATGTTCCCCGTGATCCAGCCGCCCGTCTTCCGCCCCGCGAGCACGTCGAGCAGCGTCGTCTTGCCCGCGCCTGTGTGGAAATCAAATCTTCAACCCGACTTAAATGTGCGCGTATGCGACGGTTTCGACGCAAGGCTTTCTGCTGTGCTTCGAGAACTCGATGAGAGCACACGATTCGTCTAAAAATCAGCCGAATCGACTTCGATTTGACTGAGATAGAGAGTTCTGAAGTTTGGTTGGGATAACCCAGCTCACTGGTTGATTTCCACACAGGCCCGCGCCCGACGAGCCCATGAGCGCCGTCATGTCGCCGGGCTTGCAGAACGCGGACACGCCGTCCAGCAGCTCGAGCCGGTCCGGCGCGGCGCGGTCGCTCGACTTGGGCACGGGCACGAAGTAGTGGACGTCGTGGAAGCTCAGCGTCGCCGGCTCGAAGGGCAGCGACGACGCGACGGCGTCCACGGTCTCGGGCACGACGGTCGAGGAGTTCCGCGCGCGCGTCTCCGCGGCCTTATGCGCCGCGGACCCCCGCCGCGGCGACGGCAGCGTGCACAGCAGCGGCGGCGGCTCCGCGGCGCCCGCGTCGGACGCGTCGTCGTCGCCCGCGAAGTCGACGTCGTCGTCGTCGCCGGACGACGGCGCGCCCGCGGACCCGTGGCGGATCGTGTCGAGCGCGACGGTCGACGCGACGGCGAAGACCAGGAAATAGCCGGCCAGCACCCCGACGCCGAGCGTGACCCAGGCGCGGTTGTGCTGGAAGTCGAACTGGGAGAGGAAGCAGACGCCGTCCGTGTCCTCCGGGTCGCAGCCCAGCTTGACGAGGACGTCCGGCGTCGACTTGTCGTAGGTCGACGACCGGAACTCGTTGACGAGCACGGCCCGCAGCCCCCAGGCCACGGGCGAGAACCAGTAGAAGAAGAGCCAGTAGACCGGGATGTTGTCGCGCGCGATCACAAAGCCCGAGAACAGGACGCAGAGCACGACCGTGAGCCCCGCGGCCGGCTGCGCCGCGGCCGCGCTGGGCATGACGGCCGCGAAGGTCGCGAAGAGCTGGCGCATGGACAGCGACACGAGGAAGACGACGAGGAAGAACGCGGGGAACGCCGACGCCGTGAAGCCGACGAACCAGTAGACGGCGTTCGCGTAGACGAGGGCTTCTAGCAACACGATCGGCAGGTCGACGCAGATCTCCGCGAGGTTGTAGGCGAGCGTCGGGAAGAAGAAGGCGTCGCGCTGCTTGTAGAACGTCGCGCGGCGGTCGATGAGGCCCGCGATGCTCGACATGCCGCCGAGGCCGATCGTGACGACGGCGCTGAACGCGAGGCCGTACTTCGTGGCGAAGTCGTCGTAGGCGACGCCCCGGAAGACCGTGCCCGTCGCGAAGCCGACGATCGTCGTCGACACGACCTTGGAGACGTACATGGCCGGGTCGCCCCGGACTTCGCGGTACTTCCGCGCGCAGAGGCCGGCGTAGTAGGCCAGGGGCCGCTCGAAGGCCAACCGCTCGCCGCGGGACCAGTCGTCGGGCGCGAGGTCCGCGGGCTCCCCCGCGAGCGCGTCGAGCGCCGCGCGCGCCGACGACGCCTCGAAGGTCGCGAGGAATTCGTCCGCCGTGTGCGGCGCGGCCGCCGCGCCCGCGGCCAGGTAGGACCGGCCGACCGTCGTCGGCACCTCGACGAGGAAATCCGCCGCGTCCTTGCGGCGGGGCACGACGAAGCCCAGCGCGCCAAAGTAGGCCGTCGCCGCCTCGGGCGGGCCGTGGTAGATGACGCGGCCGGAGTCGAGGAGGACGAGCGCGTCGAAGCAGTCGAAGACCTCCGGCGGCGGCTGGAGGAGGCTCAGCACCGACGTCTTCCGGAAGACCTTGGACGCGGCCGCGATGGCGTGGACGAGCTCGTAGGCCGTCTGCGAGTCGAGGCCCGTCGTGATCTCGTCGCCGCAGATGAGGCGGTGCGCGCCCATGACCATCTCGGCGACGGTGACGCGCCGCCGCTGGCCGCCCGAGACGCCGCGGCGCAGCGCGTCGCCGACGATCGTGTCCGCGACGTGGTCGATGCCGAAGACCTTCATGATCGCGTCGACCTTGTTCGCGAGCAGCTTCTGGAAGGGCATGCGGACGCCGCCGCGGGGCCGCGCGGCGTCGGGCGCCTGCGTCTCGAAGGCGAAGCGCAGCGTCTCCCGCACCGGGATGCACGGCGCGTGCTGGTCGATCTGGGACACGAACGTCGCGACCTTCGCGGGCATGAAGGGCCGGGCCTTGCCTACCGAGCGCGACGGTGACGATCGGTTTCCCGCCCCGCATCTCTCGAACGTTCGTCGCGGCCGCGGGACGCCGGGCCGCGCCGTAGACGTCGATGCCGTTGTAGGTCACGGTCCCCGCGAGGCGGACGTCGCCGGACGGCCGGAGGCGGCCCGCGACGAGCTTGAGGAACGACGTCTTCGACGAGCCGGGCGGGCCGAGGACGAGCGTCGACGTCGACGGGGCCAGCGTCCCCTTCAAATCCTTGAGCACGTAGAAGGTCTTCCGGAGGGGCCGGCCGCCCTTGCGCGCGCGGCGGCCGGCGAGCACGGCGGCGACGACGCCGCCGACGGGGTTCGAGTTCGCGACGGTCTTGATCGCCGGGCTCGAGGCGTCGACCGTCGCGGCGAGCGACACGCCCGAAAAGGCGACGGCGAGGCCGCCGCGCATCGCCGCCGCGGCCTCCGACGACGCGATGAAGCGCCGCACGCGCTCGAGGTGGTCCTCGATGGCGCCGGAGCTCGGCTCCCACGCGATGAGGCTCTCCGCGCGCGCGAGCGGCGCGCGCCCGCCGGGCCGCGGCGACCGCACGCCGTGCTGGCGCGCGAGCTCCTGGAGCCGCGACGCGTAGTCCCGCGCCCGCGCGAGGTCCGCGCCGCGCTTCGCCTCCTCGATGGCCGAGGCCGGGCACTCGCCGCGGAGGGACTCCTCGAGCGCCAGCGTCCGCTCGAGGAGGGTCGCCAGCTCGTCGGCCTGGGGGTCGTTGACGATGTGCGCCCGCTCGCCGCGCGGCGCCATGGTCGACGCTCGCAGTCGGGGCGCGCCGGAGCCAACCAGACGCCGAACCCAGTCGGGGCTGCGTCCTCGAGCGGGAGCTGAGGAGCCAACCAGAAGTCGACTTGAAGTGGGGAACAACGATGTCCTTGAGGTAAAGTTGAAGTGAGTGCAGTCCTCGTCGCGGCGGGGGCCGGGCGCCGCAGCAGCTCCACAGCCGCCAAGCGCCGCGCGTTCAGCGCGCACCCCCGAGCGCGGTCCGGTCCTTGATCGCGACCCCGCTCCCTGCCTCGGAAAAGCTCGCTGGCGCCGCGGCGCCCGATGACCACGGTGTCTCCCAAGTCCCAGGAGTACATGGGCCGCCAGCGCTGGGGGTCCAAGGACGGCGAGGGCCTCGTCAAGGACACGGCGTCGTCCATCGTCCGCGAGCCGGCGAGCGTCGACGCGCCGGCGACGCGGCAGCAGGTCGTCGGGGCCGTGGCCTTCTACTGCGGCTGCAGCTCCACGCTCCTCTTCCTCAACAAATTGGCCGTGGGAGGCACGACGACGCTCGCGCCCGGCGCGGTCGTCGTCGTCCAGATCGCCTTCGCCACGGCGTCCTGCTACGCGCTGTCGGTCCTCCAGCTGGCGAACATCGGCGCGCTCACGCGGAAGAAGGTCGAGGGCTTCGGGCTCTACGCGGTCGCGTTCGTCGGGTCCATCTACGCGTCCGTGATGGCGCTCCGCCACAGCAACGTCGAGACGTTCATCGTCTTCCGGGCGTCGACGCCGCTGGCCGTGGCGCTCTTGGACTACGTCTTCCTCGGGCGGTCCGCGCCGAGCACGTGGAGCCTGGGGAGCCTGCTCCTGACGGCCGCGTCCGCGACGGCGTACGTCGCGACGGACGCGCAGTTCGTCGTCGAGGGCATCGCGGGCTACTCCTGGTGCCTCCTCTATTTTGCGCTCATCTGCTTCGAGATGACCTTCGGGAAGCACCTCGTGTCGTCGCTCCGGCTGGGCGTCTGGGAGTCCGTGTGGCTCACGAACATGCTCGCGCTGCCCATGCTCTGGGCGCTCGCCTGGGTCCGCGGCGACATGGCGGGCTTCTTCGACGTTTTGGGCGCCATGCCCGGCTCCGACGTCGTCGTCCTCTTCCTGTCGTGCGTCATCGCGACGCTCATCGGCTACGCGGGCTGGCTCTGCCGCGGCCTGGTCTCCGCGACGTCCTACACGCTCATCGGCGTCGCCAACAAGCTCGGCACGGTCCTCCTCGCCGTCACCTTCCTCGACAAGCACGCGTCGCCCTCGGGCGTCGCCGCGCTCGTCTTCTGCATCCTCGCGTCGAGCCAGTACAAGCAGTCCCCGCTCCGCGCGGACGTCGCCAAGGCGCAGACGCCCAAGTCGCCGGGCTCCGCGCCGAGCATCGAGAACCCCAAGTCCGGCGGCTGACCGCCCCGCTTTTTCGCGCGCGGACGCCGGTCGGCCGGCGAGCCCGCGCGCGCGCCGCGTCCCTCCACATAACAATCGGGATCCATCTCCTCTCACACCGACCGTTGTATTCCGGGAGCCGCACGTCGCGCCCGAGACAATCGCAGGTGACGACACGTCGCGTTAGACGAGCGGCGGCGGCGGCGAGCGCGAGCGGCGCGGCGGCCTCAGGAGCGACCGCGCGTCCGCGGCGATCCGGAGGCCGAGGTTCAGCGTCACGAGGACGATGCCGTAGGCGTAGCCCTTGCGCAGCTGCAGCAGCTCGAGCAAACAGAACGCGAGCGTGGCGGCGACCCTCGACGGCGTGAAGGCCGCGGGGGGTTTTGCCAGCGCCTCGATCGGGATGGATGCAAACATGAGCATCGATGCCACATAGAGCGCGTCGTCGACGTCCATGTTGCAAACTCGATGGCTGAGGCCGACGCTCACACAGTGCAAGGAATAAACGACCAAAGCTGCGGCAAAATCTTCTTGGCTGCGGTGGCGGCCACTAATCGGCATGGCCATCAGCGTTTAAAGAAGCCAACAAGATGCCCTAACGCAAACAATGGGGCAAGGCGAAAGCGGCGAGAAGGACGCCATGGCGCGGCGCATCGCGGCGCTGCGCGCCGACCCGACGCGCCGGCCCAAGTTCCTGGGGCCAGCGGCCGCCGTGCGCGAGCTCGCCTCCTTCTCTCTCTCCCTCGAGAACGGCGTCACACAAGTCTGCAAGGGCCGCGACGGCTCGTCGGCCGCGGGCCGGTGCTTCGCCGTCGACGTCGTCCAGCGCATCGTCATGGGCTTTCTCGCGGAGCCCGGCGTCCGCCTCCTCACGCTCGTCGGCGAGGAGGGCAGCGGCCGGTCCGCCGTCGCCGCGCGCCTCGAGGGCGTGCTCGCGGCGGCCGCGCCGGCGCTGCGCGTCGTGCGCGTGTCGTTTTCGCGGCGACGGCGCCACGGCGACCCGGACCTGGGCGCGTCGGTCGCCTGGGCGCTCTGGCGCGCGCTGAGCCCCGCGGCGCTGCCGGAGACGACGGCGGAGGCGTCGACGAACGTGTCGACGCTCCTCAAGCGCTCCGGCGAGCGGTGCGCGGGGCTCGTCGTCGTCGTCGACGACTTCGGCGACGCCGCCGATACGCCCAGCGGCCAAGCGACGCTCCGGGCCTTGTCGCCCCAGGGCTGCGTCGCCGACGGCTGGGCCGGCGACGTGATGCTCCGGGGCGTGCGCCTCGTCGCCGTCACCGACGGCCCGCTCCAGCGGCGCGGCGGGCGCCGCCTCCCGTTCAGCGATATCATGCCGGCGGATCGCAGGGTCGTCGTCCTCGATTCAGGCGAGGCGCTCGCGGACCGGCTCTGGGCCCACGCGACGCGGCGCCGGCCGGACGCCGTCAAGGAGGAGAACCGCTTCGCCTTCCAGACCGCGGCGCTGATCTTCGAGGCCGCGGCGGAGGAGCTCGGCGAGTCCGACGCGGCCGCCTTTTCGCGCGTCGTCGCCGTCGTCGCGGCCTGCCGGCGCGGCGTCTCCGTCGCGGACGTCGCGGGCGTCGCGCGCGTCGACGAGGCCGCCGTGGTGCGCGTCGTCGACGCGCTGGGCCCCGCGCTCCACGCCGGCGGCGGGCTCCTGAGCTTCGCGGGCCGGGACGTCGCGCGCGCCGCGGAGCGGCGCGCGCCGGCGCCCCTGCCCCACGGCGACTGCACCGCGATCGTCAACCTCGTCCAGCGGCGCGCGGCCGAGGACGGGGCGTCGGCCGCGGCGTACCTCGGGCTGGGCTGCCAGCTGCTCCGGCGCCAGAGCGAGACGTCGGACGCGTGCCTGCCGCTCCTCGTGGAGCTGTCGACGGACCCGCGGTTCCTCGAGAGCGACGAGGCGCGGCGCGACGGCGGCGAGGCCGTCGTGGCCCTCTGGACGCGCGCGGGCCTCGACGGCGTCGCCGCGCGGCTCCGAGACGACCGATTCGGCGACCGCGGCGCGGCGCGCTGCGAGCGCCGCGTCCGCGTCGGCGAGCTCCTCAGCCGCGCGGGCCGCTTCCAGGACGCGCGCGCCGTGCTCAACGACGCCGTCGCGGGCCTCGACGGCGACGGCGGCGACGGCGCGGTCGGGCCGACGGCCGCGCTCGGCGTCCGAGGCGCCGCGGCGTCGGCCGTCGCGCGGAACGAGATCCGCTACTGGGACAGCAAGCGCGACTGGGGGTCGCCCGAGAGCCTGCAGCTCTTGCTCGACTCGTCGCAGCTCGCGGTTTTGTACCTCGAGGACGCCGTGCCGCGGCGGCCGCGGGACCTCGCGCGCGCGCGCGTCTCCGTGGCGAACGGGTGCTTCAAGGCCGGCTGCGTCTGCGACCCGCGGGGCGACCGCGCCTTCGCCTACTTCCGCGACGCCCACGCGAGCCTCGCCCGCGTCCCCGAGGCGCTCGCGGGCGAGCCCGGCGGCCGCGTCGCCGCGGAGGCGTCGCTCGTCGGCGCGGTGACGATGATGTGCGAGGCGCACGCGCTCTCCGCGCGGCACCGGGGCCCGCCGCCGGCGCCCGGCGACGACGCCCGCCACTACCTCGACGTCGCCGTCGAGGCCGTCGCCAGATTCTACGAGGCCGAGTTCCAGCTCCGGGGCGCCGTCGGCGAGACGTCGGAGCCGTCGATCTACACCTTCGGGAACCTCAGCGAGGCCTACCTCCACGTGCTCCACGAGCTCCCGCTGGGCATCCTCCACGAGCGCAAGGGCTGCGACGTCGCCGTCAAAGCCCTCGGCGCGGACCACCCGAACGCGGCGCGGAAACTCGCGGAATTCGCGGACGTCCTGGCGCAGATCGGCATGCCCGACCTCGCCGTCGGCGCGCGCCGGGGCGCCGTGCCGCCGCCCGAGGAGCTCGTCGGCCGCCTCGGCCGGCCGCCCTGGGACCACATCCTGCCGGAGATCGCGCGGCCGCGGCGCGTCGCGCTGCGCCGCGCGTTCGCGCGCCTCGGCATCCCCCGGTCGTTCTGGGACGACGTCGGCGTGCCGCCGGCCATGGTCGAGCTCGCCGTCGACGACCACTCCGACGACGACGACGTACCGGGCCTCCCGCTCACGGAGCCCCTCGACGACGACGACGACGGCGACGACGGCGTCGAGGGGCCCGCCGTCGCCGGGACGACGGCCGTCGGCGCGCCGCCGGCGCCCGCGGACCTGTCGCCGACGGTGGAGATGCACGCCGTCGCCTCGGGCCTCCTCATGTACAACCCGGACGCGCCGGGCCATTCGTAGCCTGTTCATACGCATACTAAGTTGTTTTTTTCTCGACGTTACACTTCCAGCGACACGGGCAGCAGGCCGAGGTCCTCGGTCTCGATCTCGACGAAGCCGCCGGCGTCGGAGCCGTCGTCGGGGAGCACGCGGCCGTCGAGCCCCCAGCGGCGCAGGCGCCCGGACGCGGGCCGCTCGTCGTTGGGCCGGCTCGACGCCGCCGGCGCCGTCGACGGCCGCACGACGCGCCCCGCGGCCGCGGACCGGGGCCGCGACGCCGACGGCGGCGGCGCCGCGGGCCGCGCGGGGCCCGACGACTTGGGCCGGGGCCGCCGCGGGTCGCCGGCGTCGGGCGGCCGCTCGACGGCGCGGCGGCCCGGGTGCGCGGACCGGGGCCGCGAGGCGACCTCGGTCCGCGGCCGCGCCGTCGAGGCCCCCGCGGACTTGGGCCGCGGACTCGCGCTCTCGGGCCGGAGCTGGGGCGTCGCCTCGTACTTGGCGCGCGTCATGTGGTTGAGGCGGTCCGGCACGGAGAAGGGCTTGGAGAAGAGGGGCTCCTTGGCGCCCGAGCGGATCGTGACGCCCGGCGCGACGCCGTCCTTCTCCGGGAGCGCGACGGCCTGGAACGCGGGGCCGTCGGACGCGCGGAACCGGGGGGTGTCGTCCGCGGGCTTCTTCGCGAGGACCTTGCGCTCCTCGGCCGCGGCCTTGCGCGCGGCCTCGGCCTCCAGGAGCTCGCCGCCGATGAGGCGGCCGCGCGCGAGCTTCTTCGCGGTCGCGTGGACGACGGCGCCGCGGACGATCTCGGCGACGCGGTCGCCGCCCGCGTCCTCGGGCTCGTCCGCGGGCCGCTCGGGCGACGGGCTGCCGCCCTTCCGCAGGGACGCGCGGCCCGGGCTCTTCAGCGACGCGCGGCCCGGGCTCTTCAGCGACGCGCGGCTCCTGGCGCCCTTGAGCGTCGCGCGCGCGCTCTTGCGCACGGTGGCCCGCGGGCCGGGAGGCTTGGGCGCGTCGCCGCCGTCGCGGGACGCCGACGACACGGACGCGTCCGACGGCTCGTCGCCGTGCGCGACCCGCCACTGGAGCTTCGCCCAGCGGCCCTTCGCGCGCTGCTTCGCGTAGGACTGGCCCGCCTTGACGGTCCAGGTCACCTTGGGCGGCGGGGCGGCGGGCTTCTCCGGCTCCCGGCGCGGGCTCGGCTTCGGGGGCGCGTCGAAGTCGGGCAGCGGCGGCGGCTCGTCCGGGACCGGCGGCCGCTTCGCGCGCTCCTCGGCGTCGGCCATCTCCTTGAGGAGCTTGATGACGCTGGGCGTGTGCGTGTCCTGGAGGACGTCCTTGAGGTTGACGCGGGGCTTGGGCAGCTCGATGACGCAGTCCTTGGGGTCCACGGGCTTGGGCGGTTTCAGCGGGTTGTGGCCGCCGTGCGCCGGCGACCCGTGGGTCGGGCTGTGGGGCTCGTGGCCGTGCATCTCGTGGTGCTCCAGCGCGTGCTTCGGCGCCGCGTTGTGCTGGAAGTGCTTCCGCTTGTGCTTGCGGAGCGCGTCGAGGGACGCGAACGCGCCGCGCGGCGGAGACGACGGCCGGATCTTCATGGCCCCGTAGGCCGTGCGGTCGATGGGGAACGCCTCGGGCTCGGCCCCCGCGTCCGGCGCCGCCCGTTCTTTGTCCGCGACGGGCACGAAGTTGACCACGGTCTTCAGCTGGCGCATGAACCAGGTCGACGCGAAGGACCGGCAGTCGACGTCCAGCGCCCGGGCGAAGATGGCCGCCAGCGCGCCGTCGACGACGCGGGCGACGGTCTCCGTCGCGGCCTGCTCCGCCTCCATGCCGACGCGCGTGAGAGCCGCCGCGTCGCCCCGCATGACACGTGCCGCCGGGGGGCTATCTCGTTCGGCCCATCGTGACAGTTACGACACTTCAACAACTCGGCTGATTGCACCGATAGTGCCGGGCGGCATGGCAGCCCCATCTCCGCCGACGTCGCAGCGCGACGCCCAGCGCGCGCGCGTCGTCTCGTCCTGGCCCGTGGAGCTGCTCTTCCGCACGCCGGGCCTGCTGACGCGCGCCAAGGTGGGCTGCGACTACCACGTCGCCCAGGGCCCGCGCGAGGGCGCGCGCGTCACGGTCGCCGCCGCCGACGGCGACGGCGTCGTGACGACGGGCGGCGAGCGCCTGCGGCTCGGCGACCTCGGCGGCGCGCCGCTGCCGCCGGCGGGGCGGGCCCTCGTCGGCCCGCTGCCGCCCTTCGTCAAGGTGCCCTGGGCCGACGTCGCCGCGCGGACGGGCACGCGGCCGCCCGGCGCGTGGCACGGCGTGCCCCTGCCCGGCGCCATCGCGGACCTCGACGACGCCGCCTGGCTCACGCGGGCCTTCCGCGCCTGCGGCACGCTCGGCAACGACAACGCCGTCGCGCGCGTGTTCGACTTCGAGGTCTTGGCGCCGCAGGGGCAGTACGCCGCGGGCGGCGCGGGCGAGAAGGCGCTCTTCGCCGTCGAGTACGCCAAGCCGGCGCCCCACCTCCACACGCGGCTCTTCGCCAAGGTGCCCTGGGGCGCGAACAACAACCGGAGCTGGCGCGAGCGCATCTCCTGCGGCTCCGACGCCGACGGCAAGGAGCTGTCCGTCTACCAGTTCCTCGGCCACGGCGTGCTGCCCTTCGACGTGCCCAAGCTCTACTTCGCCGACCTCGACCGTCAATCGACGGACTACGTCGTCGTCACGGAGCGCTTCTCCTTTCCCCCTTCTGACCTCGAGGTCATGCTCAGGGTAGCAGAAGAGAGCGAAATTCCCAACTTCAAAGGCTCATATCTCGGCCGTTTTCCACACGTTTCGGCTGATTTTTGGACGAGCGATCATCTCTCGGAACGGTCTCGAAGCATGGATGCTTTTTTCGGAACGCGCGCGCGCGGAACATTCACGTTGAAGCGACGTTGAATCACCCTTGTGCTGCCCAGGTCATGCTCGACCCCTCGAACCGCAAGGAGCTGACGGCGCCGCTCCCGGGGACGACGCTCCCGCACCGGGAGAAGTTCCGGGACCGCTACGACCCCTGCCCCTGGCCCCTGCGCCTCGAGCACTACTACGGCGCGCTCATGCGCTGCCAGGGCCAACTCGCGGCGGCCGCGGAGCGCGGCGACTTCGGCGCGGCCGCGACGCAGGTCTGGGGCGGCCCGAACATCGCCCATCCCGTCTACGCCGCGCTCTACGAAAGGCCGACGACCTTGGGCGCGTGGCTCTTCGCCGCCGCGGTCCGGTGCTGCTTTCTCTGCCTCGCGACGAAGCCCGGGCGATGGCTCGCGCGGCGGTGCGCGGCGCGGCTCGGCGCCAAGGGCTTCGCCTTCGCGCGCACCGCGGGGCTCTTCCGCGCCCTCGACGTCGACGGCTTCGAAGCGAGCGCGCTCGACGCCGCGTCCTACCTGCCGCTCTTCCTCGCGCGGATCCTCTTCGACCCGCGGCTGCGCGTCTTCGCGCACGCGAACCTCCAGCCGGACAACGCGAAATTCACCATGGGCGACGCCAAGTACGAGGTGCTCGTGGCGCCCTTCGACTGGGGCGGCGCGGGCTTCGGGCCCCTGCCGCTGCTCCTCGGCGGCACGTTCTCGGGGATCCCGCACGAGACGTACGACCGCCACGAGGACCAGTTCTTCATCGCCTACTGCGACGAGCTCTGCGCCGGCAGCGGCCGGCGCCTCGACAACAACGAGCTCCGCGACCTCTTCCGCGCCTGCGACGGCGCCATCAGCGCCCTCGTCGCCGCGTACTACGTCGGCACGGACGTCGTCGACGCGCGGCCGGGAATCGACTGGGCCGGGGTCGAGCACGTGCTCCACCCCCAGGTCCAGGCCCACTGGAACACGCGGTGCTGGGTGACGAACCTCCACGAGCGCGCCTGGGCCCACACGGAGCGAAAGCCGCGGACGCCGGGCCTCGACGCGGCCAAAGCGCTCGCGGAGCGGGAGGCCGTCGCCGTCCTCGGGGCGTGGGCGCGGGTGCTGTTTTAACGGCCGTCGGGCGCGCCCTCGGGGCATCTCGGTGTGCGCCGCCACATACGTGGCGAGCGCCCCTCGCGGCTCCCCGGCGTGACCAGCTCGTTAGCCCCGCCGTTCGCGCCGCGCGGCGTCCTCGAGCGCGTCCCGGCCCTCGCCGTGGAGCCGCCGGAGGTTCCGCGCGTAGAGCGCCTTGCTCTCGCGCTTGCGCTCCGCGGCCTCGAGCTGCGCGCTCCAGAGGACGTTGATCGTCGCGACGGGCGTCCGCCGCATGTAGGAGCCGAGGTACTGGAGGTCGTCGTCGTCGAGCGCGCCCGCGAGGTCCGCGTCGGCGTTTTCGAGCCAGCGCCGCAGCGTCGGCGGCGCGTACATGTGGCCGAAGCGGTGCGTCGCGAGCCATTGCGGGTCCGGCGTCGCGTAGTCGGGATGGAAGCACACGATGCCCAGTTCGCGGGACGCGTCCGCGGCCAGCAGCGTCGCCTCGAGCGCCGGGAAGATCTCCCGCGTCCATTTCTCGAAGTCGCCGTCGAAGGCCGGGCAGGCGATGAGGATCGACGAGTAGCCGTCGGGCCCCGCGCGCCGGAAGCCGTCGAGGACCGCCCAGACGTCCGCGAGCAGCCCGGCGACGTCGCCCGCGGCCGAGTAGCCGTAGAGGATCGGCGCCGCGTCGACGCCGAACTCCTCGAGGCCCACGGCCGCGCGGGACTTGGAGCCCGTGAAGGGGCACTGCCGCATCTGCACGAGCACGCGCTCGACGAACGCCTCCGTCTTTCGCCGCGCGGCCGCCGCGCCCGCGGCGCGCGCCGCGTCGCCGGACGTGTCCGTCTCGCTCGGCGCGTCGAAGCGCCGGCCCGGCGGCCGGTCGGCGACGGTCAGCGTCGACACGCCGGCGACGGCGTCGCAGGCGACGTCGACGCCGCAGAGGTCTCTGGCGGCGTCCGCGAGGCGCCGCGCGCGCGTCGGCTCGAGCTCCGGGCAGGCGAGCGCCGACGGCTGGTCGGCGTCGGCGACCCAGCGCCAGAAGACGGGCGACAGGCTCGCGAGGTCCCGCGCGCCGCTGTAGCGCACGGGCGCCTTCTGCTTCTGCTCGTACTGCCACCTCTGCAGCGGGTTCAGAGCCGTCGTCGTCGCGAGGAGCAGCGCCGCGCAGCGTCGCATCGATGCGCACGTATGTATGCGGCGCATGTATGCGGTCGATGGCCGCGTCGGCCGATTTATGCGGACGCGCGCGACGGTTTTTGGCCGAGGGCCATGCTCTCCGCGGCGGCGCGCGCTCGCTCGCGCAGCGGCGGGCAAACGCCGGCGATCGCCGCGAAGCGCGCGAAGCTCGCGTCTGTCATGAGCGCCAACGGGCGCCAGCGCCGCGGCGGGCGGAACCGCCGGTCCGGCGACCGCCCGCGGCCGGCGACGGACGAGAACGGGTCGCCGAACACGGTGCGGGCGGACGTCGCCGGCGAGCCGAAGCCCCCGCAGCTGCCGCGGCCCTACGTCGTCGAGCCGGCGCACGGCGCCGAGGCCACCTGCTCCCTGCTCCTCCTCCACGGCTTCGCCTGCAGCGGGCGGTCCTGCGCCGAGTCCTGGCTGCCGCAGCTCGAGCAGATGGGCGACGCGCGCGACAAAGTGCGGCTCGTGTTTTTGAACGCGCCGCGGCGGAAGATCTCGTGCTACGGCCCCGACAAGCCGACGGAGGCGGCCTGGCACGACTACTTCAGCGACCACGGGGGCGCCGAGGGCCGGCCGGAGATCGAGGAGGACATCGATTTGCACGATTTGGCGGAGTCGCGGCGTTTGGTCCACGCGGCGATGGACGGCGAGGCCGCGCGCTACGGCGGCGACTACGGCAGGGTCGCCCTCTTCGGCGAGTCCCAGGGCGGCTGCACGGCCTTGGACGCGGCGACGACCCACGCCAAGTGCGTCGGCGGCGTCTTCTGCTCCTTCGGGCAGCTCTATTCCGCGACGCCCGTGTCGTCGTCCAACAAGCAGCTCAAGGTCGTCGTCTGGCACGGGTCCCGCGACGCGACCATCGCGCCGTCGCTCTGCCTGCGGTCCCTGAGCCGCCTGTTGGACCGCGGCTACAAGAAGCTCACGCTCCACGTCGAGGACGGCCTCGGCCACTGCGAGAATTCGGCGACCGAGGGCTCCGCGCTCGCCAAAGCCCTGAAAAACTGGGGCTTCGTCTCCCGCGACAAGCCCCGCCGCGTCTCCCACGCCGCGGCGCCGCCGCCGGCGAAGCCCGAGCTCGTCGAGGCGCCCAAGAAGGCCGCCGCGCCGAAGCCCGCGCCCGCGCCCGCGGCGGACGCGCGCGCGCCCGCGCCGCCGCCGGGCCTCAAGCCCGCGGCCAAGCCCGCGTCGCCCCGGCCGGCGAAGAAGACGCCGCCCGGCTCCCCGAAGAAGCCCGCGCCCAAGCCCGCCGCGCCGCCGGGCCTGTCGAAGGCGCCGCCGCCGCCGGGGCTGCCCCGGGCCGCGCCCGCGCCCGCGCCCGCGCCCGCGAAGAAGGCCGCGCCCGCGCCGCCGGGCCTCGGCGCGCCGGCCGCCGGGTGGCAGGCCCTCCACCAGTTCCCCTGCGCCGCCTGCGGCGCGACGGACCCGGCCCTCTTCTCGAAGACCCAGCTCTCCAAGGGCGCGACGCGCCGCTGCAAGGCCTGCGTCTCCGGCGAGCCGAAGCCGCCGGGCATGGCGGCCAAGCCGCCGCCCCAGGCCCCCGTCCCCATGGACGAGGACTCGGACAGCGAGCTCGAGGGCTACGCCTGAGTGCCCGAAGGCGACGTAAGGTGCCCGCTAGTCAGAGGCCTGAAAGGGGGCTCCGCTGGCAAAGCGGAGACTTGAGTTTGAGTCGCTAAATCCTTCGCCACACGGCGTGGGCTCACGACATCTGCGATGACCCCAGCGCAACTGCTGGTCGTCCTCGCGACATGCGCGGCTCCACATCTGGTCGCCTCGCGCACCGTGTTTTATGCTCACGCTCGCGGAGATGGGTGCGGTGCGAATGGCGTTCTGGCCACGCGCCCGTCAGCGTCACGACTCGTCGCACGTCCCCACGCCCTTCATCAGGTACCTCTTGTTCATGGCGGAAGAATTTGGAATGGAGGCGGGCGGCCCCATTGCAAGCTCCCACGGGCCAGAAGCATTTATATCTCACGGGCGAGCGAGCGCCGAGTCGACGAGCGTCGCGCCGGCCGGCGCTCGCGAAATCTCCCCGCGTGCGCAGGTATAGCTGCCAAGCGCTTCTGAAGGGCCTCGGCTTGCCAAGCATCGTGACCCGCCCGCCCGACTTTGCGACTTGCATCCACCTCGCGAAATTTAGCAACGAGGCGGGCCTGCGCGCGGGCCTCGCGGCCGCGGCGAGAAGCCTCGGCGGCGCGGGGTGCGTCTATTGCGCCGAGTACGCTTCCCGACTCTGGGTCCAGAACTCGACGACCCTCGCACCGCGCGCCGTCCGCGCGCAGAAATTTTGAGAGGGCTCAGAACTCGTCGGACGCGCTGCCGCCCTCCGCCATCGCGCCCTCGGACCGCGTCGTCGTCGCGATGCACGTCCGCCGAGGAGACGTGAGCCCCGCGAGGCGCCGGGACAAATACCGGGTCACCGACAACGCGTGGTACGAGCGAATGGCGCGCGCGCTCCCGACGTATTTCCGGGGCTCGCGCCTCGAGTTCCACGTCTACTCGGAGGGCCGTCCCGAAGATTTCGGCCGGCTCCCGGAGCTGGCCACGATGCACCTCGACGGCGACCCGCTCCAGGCGATCGCGGACATGGTCTCGGCCGACGTTCTCGTGACGGCGAAGAGCAGCTTTTCGTACGTGTCCGCCTTCGCGAGCGACGGCGTCGTGCTCTACCAGCCCTCGACCGCGGACGCGACGCACGCGCACTTTTTCCACGGCGTCCCCGCGCCTCACTGGAGAGACGCGGGCGCGGTGCTCGCGCTCGCGGCGGAGGACCCCACGCGACCGTCGTGCCTCTACGCGCGGAGCGCGAACCCCCCGTGTCCCGCGGCCGCGGTGCTCGCGCTCGCGGAGCAGGAGGCCCGGGCCGGACGTCCGGGTTTCACGTATACTAAACAGCACGTCTAGTGCATGCTGCGCACGAGGTGGCGAGCGCCCGCGCTTAGTCGTAGACCTCCCGCGCGGTCTTCATCGCGTGGGCGTTTTCCCGCATCTCCCGCTTCAGGCTCGCCTTGTTGTGGAGGCGGACGGGCGGCGCGAGGGCCGCGGCTTCGAGCACCGCTCGCTCGCCGTCGCCGAGCGGCGCGAAGGTTCGCCGGCGGAGCACCTCGCCGAGCACGAGCGCCGCGCACGACGCCACGTTGAGCGACTGCGTGAGGCCCGCCTGCGGCACGGTGACGCGCAGGTCCGCGGCCGCGAGGAGCTCGTCCGAGAGGCCGTGGGCCTCGCTCCCGAAGCAGAGCGCGACGCCGCCGTCGACCCAGTCGTCGCGGTCGTCGTAGACGTCGCGCGCGAGGCCCGCGGCGTCCGGCGGCGTCGTCGCGACGACGCGCAAGCCGTCCGCGCGCGCGGCGGCCACGAACGACGCCGCGGAGGCGTGCGTCTCGACGCGGATCCAGTCCGTCGCGGAGCGGCTGATGCGGCTCAGCGTCACGCGCTTCAGCTTGTCCGAGAGCCGCGCGAAGGCGCGCGTCTGCGGGACCATCTCCGGCGTGTAGATGAGGTGGATCGACGCGAGGCCGAGCGCCTCGCAGGTCCGCGCGATGAGCGCCACGTTCTCCTTGCGCACGTCCTCGACGGCGACGGTGATGCCGCCGTGGCGGCGCCGGATGCTCTCCGCGACGCGCGCGCGGCCGAAGCGGAGCGACTCCAGCGGTTGTGCGAGGAGCAGCGCCGCAAAGAGGATGGTGGGACCCATCGTGCTGCCGGGTCAGCGAAGAGCACCTTGACCGCTGGACACCACGGGCCCACTTCGTGCGCTCGAACAGCTCCTCGTCGCCCGCTGCGCGCAGACAGCGTTCGCGCCCTCGCACAAGTCGCACAACCTCAAGCTGAAGCAGCTCCCATCGGAGAGTTCTCCACTGCAGAACTGGTTCACCATCAAGGATGCCTTCAAATTGCAGGCTTGCCTCCGTGCAATCAGGCGCGGAGGTGAGCGCGGCGGCTATCGCGCCACGTTTCCCAGTCGAACTCGCTTAATCGCGCCTTATGGCGTGTCTACTGGGCGCCGACCTCCTTGAGGAGCTCGAGGACCGCGCCCGTCGCGGCCGTCGCGTCCGCCGGGTTGATCGTCTTCGCGAGCTTCGCGCCGTCGGCGAGCACGGCGACGACCTCGAGCTTGTTCGCCGTGTTGCCCGCGGCCACCAGGGCCCCGGAGGCCTCCTTGATCTTGGCCTTGTCCGTCGTCGCGGCCGCGGCGGCCGCGGCGCGGGCGACGTCCTCGACGTCCTTGAGCGGCGGCACGACGCCGTTGGTCTTCAGCGCGTCGACGAGCGCGACGTCGACGGCCTTGAGCACGGCGACGAGCTTCGCCGGGTCCGTCGAGATCAGCGCCTCGTCCGCGGCCTTGGCGACCTTGAGCACGGACACGGGGTCGCCGCCGAGCGCGGCGCCCAGCGCCTTCGACACCACGGGCGCCACGTCCTTCTTCTGCAGCTTTTCGATGATGGGGTACGCGCTGTCGGCCACGTTCACGGCCGCGGACTCGATGGACGCGTAGGCCGGCTGGGCGATGACCAAACCCAGGAAGCTCGAGGCGGCGAGCACGTTGCCGGCGACCTTTTGCGCCGCTTTCACGCGGACGCCGCTCTTGCGCTGCTGCGGCGCGAGGGCCGAAGCCGTGCAAGCAAGCAGTGCGACTTTGAGCAGGCCCATTTGCAAGTAGCAGCTATGTGAAGAGGATCGAGAGCTCATGCGAGCTGTTTCGAGCGCGTGCATTCAAGGTTGGAGTTTACGGCAACGAGGGGATCAACGAGCGATGTTGAACGGCGCGTACGACGCCAGGGCCAGCCAGCCGAGAAGGCGACGGCGCGCCGCCGCCTGCAGCGGACCACCCGCGGAGAAAGAAGCGAGACCCCGAGCGCTTACGGGCCTCAGATGCCGCCCGGCGGGCGGTACGCGGCGTTCGACGCGGACGACGCGAGGGACGCGGCCTGGTCCGGGTTCTGCTGGGCCCAGGAGTAGGCCGCGGCGCCGGCCGACGCGGCGAGCTCCGGGTTCTGGGCCGCGAGGGCCGCGCCGCCCGAGAGCCAGTCGCCCTGCTGGTGCGCGCGCGCCGCGCCCGGGGGCGCGTAGACCGTCGCCGCGAGGTCCGTCGCGGACCCGGGGCCGAGCTGCTCGACGTCGGCGTGGAGCATCTCCGCCTCGTACTCCGGGTGCTTGTAGATGACGTAGGCGTTGTAGCCCGCGCAGGCGAGGAGGCCGACGCCCGAGATGAGGCCGATGAGGCCGAGGCTGAAGCAGAGCATGGAGCAGAGCACGAAGAAGACGCAGCGGCCCTTGACGTGGTAGAGGAAGCCGAAGTTGTTGCCGATGATCTTCGACACCTGCTTCAGGTGCGTCTCGAAGCAGCAGAGGAGCACGGCGAAGAACCAGATGTAGATGGCCAAAATGCCCGTGTTGAACGCGGGCAGCGACAGGAGCTTGATGCAGGCGGCGGCGGACATGAGCACGGACACGCCCATGTTCAGCAGGCGCATGGTCGTGATCAGGCCGTCCTTCGTCGGCTCCGGCTTCGGCGACCGCGCGGCGTCGCCGTTCGTCGGCGCCGGCGCGTACGGGTTCGGCCCGCCGGGCGGCGGCCCGCCCGGCGGCGGCGGGCCCCAGGCGGCGGCCTCGCTCGGCGGCGCCCACTGGTTCGTCGCCGGCGGCGCGGCGTAGCCGGCGGGCGGCGCGGGCGCGTAGGTCGGCGCGGGCGGCGGCGGCGCCGGCTCCTCGAGCCACGACGGGAGCGGCTCGTCGCTCGGCATGGCGCTCGACGACAGGGCGCTCTCGCTCACGGACGCGTCGGCGAAAGGATTATCCTCCATGCGCGGCGGCGCGCCGGTGGGATCCCTCGCCCTGTCGACGCGGCGGTCGCGGCGGTCGCCTCCAAACTCGGGCGTCGGCCGACCTGGAAAACCTCCACAAGCCGGCGCGGCCGCAAGAGCACACGTGCGCCATCGGCGGCGCGCGATGGGCGGCTGAACTCGACTGAGTCTCATCGAGTTGAGCATCACCGTCGCCTGGAAGCTCGCGAACGTGCGACTGGAGCGTCACGACCGCGCACGCCTTGCAAACTCGTCAGCGCGACGATGCGCGGCGCTCCTAGGCGCCTGCTGCTGCTGCTGCTCTGCGCGGCGGCCTGCGCCCTGAAGCCCATCCAGCGGCGCCGGCTCCTCGCCACCAGCGCGCTCCTGCCGGCGAGCCAGGCCGCCGCGCTCGCGCCCAAACCTTCACCGCCGCCGCCGCCGTCCTACGTGCGCGAGGACGTCGCCGGCAGCCCCGGGGACCTGCGCGCCTACCGGCTGCTGCGCTTCGCGTCGGGCCTGCGCGTGCTGCTCGCGAGCGACGCGTCCGCGCGCGACGCGACGGTCGCGGCGACGGTCGGCGCGGGCCAGCTCCGCGAGCCCGTCGAGGGCCTGAGCCACCTCACGGAGCACCTCGTCATGCGCGCGGGCGACCTCGAGGCCGTCGCGGCGAGCTTCGACGGCAACGCCAACGCCTACACGGCCTTCGACTGCACGACGTACGTCGCGTCGTGCTTCCCGAGCCGCGTCGGCCGCCTCCTCGCGGCGTACGGCGACGCGCTGTCGCCGCGGACGGCGGACAGGTTCGACGGCGCGACGGCGCGCCGCGAGGTGAAGCGCGTCGACGCCGAGCTCAAGGGCCCGCCGCGCGGCGCGGCGCTCGAGCTCGAGCTGCTGCGGCACCGCGCGGTCGGCCCGCTGTCGCGCTTCGGCCCGGGCACGAAGACGACGCTGCTGCCGCGCGGCGACCAGGCGCGCGACGGCGACGCGTTGGCTTCCGCGGCCGCGTCCCTCTACCGCGCGCGCTACGTCGCCGAGGACGCGACGGTCGCCGTCGTCGCGCCGATCCCGCTCGACCTGCTGGAACGCGCCGCGCGGAACCTCGGCAGCCCGCTCCGCGACGGCCCGCCGCCGCGGCCGCCGCGGAAGCCCCGGGACCCGCTCCCGGCGCTGGAGCGCGGGTCCAACGTCGTCGTCGCCTCCGGCCGCGACGTGTTGAGTCTGACGTGGAGCGTGCCCTACGAGAGCCTCGGCGGCGCGGACGCGTACCGGCGCGCGAAGCCCTGCGCGACCGTGAGCCACGTGCTCGGCCACGGCGGGCCGGGCAGCCTCCAGGCGAAGCTGCGGGCCATGGCGCCGACGAGCGGCTCGCGGCCGGGCCAGCCCGCGCTCTCCGCGGGCGCGTTCCTCGAGAACGACGACGCGTCGGGCTTCGCGCTCTTCCACGTCCGCGTCTTCCTCCAGCGGAGCGCCCAGTGGGAGGAGGCCCTGACGCACGCCCTCGGCGCCGTCGCCGCGCTGCGGCTCACGCCGCTGCCGCTGTGGAAGGACGCGGCGGACGAGTGCGCGCGCCTCGCGGATCTCCAGTGGCGCTTCCCGCCGCGGCCGCCGACGGCGTCGGAGCTCGCCAACGACATGCGCTGCGCCGACTTTGACGTGCTGGGCGCGCGGCGCTACGCGGCGGCGCCGCGCGACGCGGCCTTGGCGGCGTCGCGGTTCGCGGACCTGCTGACGCCCGAGCGGTGCCGCGTCGCCGCGTGCCTCTCGGAGCTCGACGCGCGGACCGTGCGGACGAAGGTGCGGCGGTCGGCGCTGACGCGGGCGCGGCGCGTGCGCTACTTCGACGTCGACGTCGACGTCGCGGCCGTCGGGCCCGCGCCGTGGTGGCGGTTCCCGCGGCCGTCGCCGTACGTGTCGCGCCTCGCCGCGGGCCAGGTCGACCCCGCGCCGTCGCCCTTCGCCGTCGACTCCGCCGCGGCGTCGCCCGTGAGCATCGACTTCCTGCTGGAGATGGCCGCGAAGCGCCAGCCGCAGGCCGGCGCCGCCGTCGAGCGCGTCGCGGGCGCGGGCGCGGGGCCGGCGGCGGTCTGGATCGACCGCGCGCCGACGAAGCCCGGCGCGGCGCCCCGGGCCAAGCTCGTCCTCTGGCTCCCCGCGGCCCGCGTCGCCGCGGCGACGGCCGCGTCGCGCGCCGCGGGCCGGCTCTGGCAGCTCCGCGTCGACGTCGCGCTCGCCGAGCCCCTCTACGACGCGGCGCTCGCGGGCTGCAAGTACGAGTTCGCCTTCTTGCGGGCGGCGCCGAACGCGCCGGGCCCGGCGGCGGGCGCGCGCGTCGCGCTCGCGGCCTACGCGGACGTGCTCCCGCGGTTCGCGCTCGACTACGCGCGGCGGCTCGGCGAGCTCGCGGCGTCGCCGATCCCGGCGGCGGACCTCGCGCGCGCCAAGGCCTTCGCGCTCCTCGAGCCGGGCCTCGGCGAAAACGAGAAGCGGGCGCTCGCGGACGCGACGGAGGCGGACGTCCGCGCCGAGGCCGCGGCGCTCTGGAACTCCGCGGCCCGGGCCGCGCCGGCCTTCGGCGAGGCGCTCGTCGCCGCGGAGGACGCCGACGAGGCGTCGGCGAAGAAGCTCGTCGCCGCCGTCTACCGGGAGCTGCTCCCCGCCTACGTGCCCCTCGCGACGGCCCGCGCGCCCGCGGCGCCGCCCGCGGACCGGCCGAGCCGGCTCCTCGCGTCGCGCAACTCCTGGGACCACCCCGTCGCCGCGAACGCGTGCGTCGCGTCGGGCGTGCCCGGCCTCCTCGCCAACTGCAACGTGCGATAATAGTGCGTCGCCGCCCCCGCGCGCGCGCGCGGCCGTCACGCGGGCTCGGGGCACTCGCACGCCACGGGGTCGTCGGCCGGCGGCGCCCAGCACGTGATCTCGACGTTCATGAGGTGGTGCTCGCACTCGCGCAGCGCGCCGGACGCGAGGTCGAAGCGCCGCGCCGCGTCGACGGCGCCCGCCCACGCCGCGTGCTCGCCGCCCGCGCCGTCGTTGAGCAGGTCGCAGTCCGAGGAGTAGGTGGCCTTCATGTAGCGGTGGCACGCGTCGGGCGGGCCCGGCGAGATACACGACGAGTAGGGGCCCGTGTGGTGCTGGAACGCGCAGGGCCAGGTGATGTTGGAGGCGTTGCAGTACTGGGCGGGGATGTCCGGGTCGATGACGGTAATGAGGGTGGAATTGTCGTCCGTGCCCTTGCCGAAATAGTCGTCGCAGGGGCCCTTGGTCGCGGCCGCGACCCCGAGGAGGAGGAACGGGAGCTTGGGCAGCCCCATCTCGCTTCGGATTGTTAAATTGAGCGTTCAAGTTGCAAGTTTACCTTTTTTGCCAGACGGCAGCCCATGGTTGATCGCGAGCCCAGCTCAAACGCAGTCGAGCCGGAGGGAGTCGAGTCGGAGGAGACGGCTGTCGAGCAACGACGGTGTGCAGCATGTTGTGCAAATTTGTCGAAAGATGCGTTCAGCGGCAAGCAGTGGACGGCGAAGGCGGCGAAGCGGCGCTGCAAGGAGTGCGTTGCCTCTGATGCCGTCTGCGTGGCGACGGGGCCGGCGAAGGCCGCGGGGCCGGCGAAGGACGCAGGAGCATCGAACGACGCCGCCGACCCGGTCGAGCGAGGCAAGACTCTCTGCGACGCGGGCTGCGGCGAGCTCGGCGTCTTCGTGTGCAACCGCTGCTGCAACGCGTGGTACTGCGGCGTTTCGTGCCAGCGAAAGCACTGGAAGGCGGGGCACAAGATTTTGTGCGTGCCCCACCCGAAGCCGAGCTCCGTGTCCGCCACGGGCGCGGCGGCGCAGCAGAAATGGATCAAGGAGCGCCTGAACCCGGTCGTCAACGACCCGCGCACGCGCGAGCTCATCGGCAGGTTCATGTTCGATCGGCGCATGGACGAGGGGTCCATCGCCGACAAGCCGGGTCGCGTCGAGAAAGGTTTCAATCTCGAGCGGCAGCTCGTCGTCTTCTGCGACCTCGACGAGTTCCGCGTGCGCGGCCTCACCTCGCAGAAGGCATCCGTGTTGTGGTTCGCGGACCTGCCGGGCCTACGATTCGCGGCCAAGGAGGCGCGGCGGCAGACCAAGGACGGCGCGTTCGCGGGACTCCCGGCGGGACAGTCGACGGTCATGGCCGCCACGTACAACAAGGTCAAGGAATGTTACGATCGGATGGACAAGGTCGCGGGCCGCTACATGGAATTTATCGTCGTATTCACCGATTCCAACACGAACTACTCCGACGGCTTCGGCGGCAGGCCCGACGCGACGTGCAAGCTCACCTGGCCGGAGTCCTGCATGGACGAGTGGATCCAGGAGATGCAGGCCGCAGGCCTCACCGAGGCGTAAGTTTGTCCGACGCGCTTGGTGGCGGCTTGGGGGGCGGCCGAGGGATCGCCCGGGATACCGCCGCCGCCACTGAAACGGGGCCGACACCGGTCGTTGCACGGGCAACTCCATCTCGGTTCGGCGAGCGGAGCAAATTTTTGCCGCAAGCGGACTTTGAGCAAGCCGCGATTGATCGTAAGCGCGGCATCCATGGCGACGCACGAGGTCGCCGTCGGGCGCACGCGCGCGGCGAGCCAATCCTCTCACATCGCACCGCATCTCCTGATGATGCCCGGGGTCGTCTCGAAGGAGATCCTGCAATTCTTTGCTGATGAAGCACAGGCCGAGCAGTTGATGCCGCTGCAGCTCGTGAGCAAGGGGACGACCTCGTGGACGCGACTGGTGGGCTTCGATGTGATCGGTGCGGCGGCGCGTGCCTGTTACCTGCCGCTCGCGCACTGTTTCCGAACCGCGCCGGTCACCGCGCCGCGGCGGAACCACGCGCCCCGGAACCGCGGCCTGCGCGACGGCGAGTTCAAAATCTTCGGGGAGATCACGTTAGGCGGCCAACGCCTGCGCTACGGCAATTACTCTGAGCGGGACAAGACTGCGTTCGGGCTCTCGCTCGCCCCGGTGAGCGGCTTGATGCCACAGCACAAAGACGATCCATACGTCGACGGTCATCTGCTATTCTTCGGACCGCTCGTTCCAGTGGCTGCTCCCGTCGAGTTCAGTGTGACTGTGAAGGCGTCGTGTAGCCGTTCCGCGAGTCGGGTCACGTCAGATCCGCCGACATGGGGAGAATTCCTGTCCCGCGAAGAAGACGACGGCTTCCAGAGTGTCGCGGTGCGCTGGGACCGTCAGCACCGTATTGCTGCTCTCCACGGCGCGTGCGCCGACTCTTCGCGTTTTACGTTTCGTGCTCTGCGCTACGATCCTAGCGAGGAAATTGATGATGAGACGCTGGCGCAGGCGCGGAACCTGCGCGATTCTTGGCGCGGTGCCCACAGCCTGACGGTTGCTAGCTGCTATCCGAAGAATACGGATGAGATCATCCGTCTGATGCTGGATTCGTCAGTTCAGATAACTGGCACAAAGCTCAGCGCTGCATGGTCGAGCCATCGCTCCTCGCCAGATCCTTCTGAATGGCGTTCGAAGACGCTCGTATCATGTCCGGTCTCGCACTACGACCCGATCGAAGGCGTCAGTGCGGGAACCGGAGCCGAGATGGTCTACGAGGGCGGCTTCGGTGCCGGGCTCCGTAGACAATGCCCTCTCATCTGCAACTTTCATGAGGCTCCATACTCTCGTTATATCCCCGGCGACGACGCAGATTCGGACGACGAGGGCACGATGCTCAATCACTCAGGAATCTACTACGATCTTCTGGTGGAACCTCCACCCGGTCCGTTCTCGGACATCTTCATGTTCTGCGTACACATTTACTTCAAGCCATGCTTTCCGCGCAATTCGCACCAGGCTTGGACCGCGGATCTCGATCTCGATGATCCGCTGCCCCCCTTCCGGCCCTACGCGCTCTCCATCACGCTCATCAAACGGAGCGCGCTTGATGGCGACTACGAGACCGTCACCGAGGAGACGGCCCTCGCCTACCTCGACATGCTTATGTAGGCTCTAAGAGCATCACGCGTCCGGGCACGGCGTCTTCCAGGAGCGGACGCACTTGTCGAGGGGCTTGCACCAGGAGTAGCCCGCGCTCGCGATGCAGCCGTGGCCGTCGCGGTCGCCGCCGACGACGTGGGGCCGGGGCGGGGCGCAGGTGCGCGCGTCGCAGCAGGACGAGCAGAGCGTGTCCGCGACGGACGCCCAGCCGTAGGCGTCGCCGGAGCAGCCGAAGCGCGCGGACCCCTCGAGGCACTGGAAGGGCGCGTCGTCGCCGCAGAGCCCCAGGGCCGCCTCGCAGCGCGCGTTCGGGCAGTCGACGCCGGCGCACGAGTCCGCGCCGTCCGGATCCCGCGCCGCGCAGTCCGCCAGCGAGCACGATTCCGCGCAGTCCTCCGGGCGCCAGGGCGTCGGGGAGCAGCCGCCGTTGTCGACGCAGTAGTGGGGGTTCAAAGCCTTGTCGCAGCCGCTCGCCTCGCAGGTGAGGAAGTCGCAGGCGCTCGGCGAGGTTGTTGCGAAGGTCGTCGCGGCGTCGACGTCGTAGACGGCGCCCTGGTAGCGCAGCCCGAAGACGGCGAGGAGCAGGGCGGACGCGGCGCAGAGGCCGACGGCGAGCGCGCGCTGCTGCGCGGCGGTGACGGCCATGGCGTCGTACGGAGAACTTGGCGCCCAGACGTGGTTCACCAAAATGGTTGCCGCCGGCCTTGCCGTCAAGGAGCAGTCGCTCATGTTACGCCGTCGGCCGCGAACCAGAACGCGAGGGAGAAGCGGTCGCCGGCCGTGACGCGGGAGACGCGGTGCGCGTTCTCGGCGCCCGAGGAGAAGGCGACGAGGAGCCCGCGGCGCGGCCGCACCGCGCGCGCGCCGTCGCCGTCGAGGAACTCGAGCGTGCCGCCCGCAAAGTCGGCGCCCTGGTCGCCGAGGTAGACGAGGGCCGAGTAGGCGTAGGCGGCGACGTTGTCCCGGTCGACGTGGGGCTCCCAGTACGCGTGGCCCGCGTCGAGCTCGAGCGCGTCGTCCGCCGGCGCCGCCGAGAGCCGCGTCAGCAGCGCGCCCGCGGCGACGAGGCCCCGCGCGCCGAGGTGCTCCGTGATCACGGCCGCGGCGCGGTCGCGCAGCGCGTCGACGACCGCGGCCGCGGCCCCGCCGAGGCGCGCCGCGTCCGGCACGACCGCCGTCCGGCCGCCCTGGTGGAAGAGCGCCGCCATGGCCGCCGTCGCCGCCGCGACGAGCGCCGCGGCGTCCTCCGCCGTCGCGACGTCGGCCGCGAGCGCGCGGCCGCAGCCGTCGCAGGGCAGCGGCCACGCGCGGCTCGTCGCGGTGTCCAATTCATCGACGGCCGCGCGGCACGCGCCGCGCTCCCGGAGCTCGCGCGCCGCCGCCTCGAGGCCGTTGGCCACGAAGCTCTCGACGAAGGCCGCGCGGCCGACGGCGGCGGATACGTCGGCGTCGCCGTCGTAGGCCGCGTTTGCCTCGGCGCGCAGTTGTGCTATGAAGTGCGCCACGTCGTCGTCGTCGTCGGCGCGTGTTGGGAAGGTTTTTGCGCTGATGCAGAGCAGCGCGATCCAGCGGTGCCACCTGCGCATGGCTATGGCTGCCTCAGCGTCCTTAGCGCAATGTCAAGCAAGATCATTTCCCATACTCGACGGCATCAAGACGGAGATGTTGTCGCCGATTGCCAAAATTACCACAACGTTGACGATCGAGTTTGAGCGCGCGGCGCGGCTGGCTCTCGTCGGCCTGAGAGCTCGTCACGGCAGCGAGGAACTGCGCGCGGCTCTCCGAGCGGTCCGCCGGTACCATGTCCGGCTTCGTGCGCAGCAGCCACTACCGCCACGTCTTCGTCGACCCGCCCAAGGTCGAGAACACCTACAAGGGCTTCCGACTCGCGACGGTCACCGGCGAGCAGCAGTACATCAAGGGGAACACCAAGTTCTTCGCCGTCGCGCTCCAGGTAACGCCGTTCGCAGCGCGGCGCGCGCGACAAACCATTCGTAGGGCGGCGGCGGCCCGTTCGCGGTCGTGCCCTACGGCAAGAAGGGCCAGTTCGCGCCCGGCACGCCCGTCGTCGCGGGCCACAAGTCCGCGGTCCTCGACTTCGACTTCAACCCCTTCCACGAGCACATCATCGCGTCGGCCTCCGAGGACTCGACCATCAAGGTGTGTCGCACGTTGGTCCGACGTCTCGCCTCGAACCCGCGCGTCCCGCAGGTCTGGGGCATCCCGCCGGACGGCCTCACGGAGACGATCACGGAGCCGCTCGTGGACCTGCACGGCCACGGGCGCAAGGTGACGCTGCTGCGGTTCCACCCGACGGCGAACAACGTGCTCGGGTCCGTGTCCGGCGACTTCTCCGTCAAGGTCTGGGACATCGAGAAGGGCTGCGAGGTCAGCGGCATGCCCGCGCACGAGCAATTGATCCAGGACCTCGTCTGGGACTACGAGGGCAAGATGTGGGCGACGACGTGCAAGGACAAGAAGGTGCGCCTCGGCGACCCGCGGGCCGGCGCCGTGGCCATGGAGCTGCCGGAGGCGCACGCGGGCGCGAAATCCGTGAAGATGACGTTCCTCGGCGACACGGGCCGCTTCCAGCGTCGAGCGACAGGAGTGTTTTTCGCGTGAATTTCGCCTGCAGATGTGAAGAAATCCGACCCGTCGCACTTGGTAGGCCGCTTCGCGACCGTGGGCTTCACGAAGCAGTCCCAGCGCCAGATCAAGGTCTGGGACGTGCGCGACCTGTCGAAGATGGTGCACAAGGTCGACCTCGACCAGGCGGCGGGCGTCATCGTGCCCTACTACGACTGCGACACGAAGGTGCTCTACCTGTGCGGCAAGGGCGACGGCAACATCCGCTACTACGAGATGTCCAAGGACAAGCCCTTCGCCTTCGCGCTGTCGGAGTACCGCTCGACGCAGGCGGCCAAGGGCTCCTGCTTCCTGCCGAAGCGCGGCCTCAACGTCATGGCCTGCGAGACCGCGCGGTGCCTCAAGCTCACGTCGCAGAACGGCAACGGCATCGTCGAGCCGCTGAGCTTCATCGTGCCCCGCAAGTCCGACGCGTTCCAGGACGACATCTTCCCGGACACCTTCTCCGGCCACCCGTCCTGCACGGCCGACGAGTGGCTCTCCGGCGTCACGAAGACGCCCCTCATGATGTCGCTCAACCCGGACAGCGCCGGCGCGAAGCCGACGGGCGGCGCGACCAAGGCCTTCGTGCCCATGAAGACGCCCGCGGCGCTCCAGAAGGAGATCGACGAGAAGGACAAGAGGATCGCCCTCCTCGAGGCGCGTCTCAAGGCCGCGGGCCTCGACTGCTCCTGAGCGGACACCAAAGGCCAAAACCCCCGCCCACGACCACGAGACCCCGCGGCACCCCGCCGCCCGCCGCGCCGCACCACCCGCCCCGCCCCGCTGACATTTTAACCGCGTGAGACACCGTGGCTCGGCCTTTGAGTCCTTATGGGGCAGCGCGGGGCCGCGGCTGCTCCCTTACTTCCCTTCGGGCGCGGGCGTCGACGGCGTACGGCGCCGGCCGCGGCGGGCGCCTCAGCGGCGCCGCCGTCCGGCCAAATCGGCGTCGCCTCGACCCACCCTTTGAACGCGCCGCGGGAAGCCGCCGCGGCCGCACCGCGACCCTCACGATGGCCGCCTCCCAGACGACGAAGCGGAAGGTCAAGGACAAGACCCCGGTGATGGAGGGCCAGACCGAGGAGGAGCGGCGCATCCTGCGCCAGGAGCAGCGCACGCTCTACGACCGCATCGGCGACCGCAATGTCGACCTGCAGGACCTGGACCACGACGCCTTCGACGAGGAGCGGAACAACAACAACAACCTCTTCAAGAAGGTCCGCTTCAACCGCGAGGTGCGTCGCCGGGCCGCGCGACCCGCGGGGCCGCCGCGCGCGCGCGCGGGCCGCCGGCCGCCGGCGCGCCGGAAGGTTCCCGCGGTTCCGCGCCGCGACCCGGACCCCCCCCGCAGATGGTCAACGACGGCGACATCCTCGTGCAGCTCTCCGAGGCGGCGGCGCGCGCCGGCGCCCCTACCCGCGGCCGCGCGCGCGCGCCGCCCGAGCGTCGCCGCCCGCCCCGCCCCCGCAGATGAAGCGCGCGGGCAAGCTCGCGAAGAACGTGTCGCAGTACAGCGCGGCGGACATCGGCAAGGCGCTGTCGCAGGACTTCACCAAGGCCGGCGGCGACATGGACTGGGTCGCCCTCGGCGCGCAGTGCGCGGGCCTCTTCCGCGCCGTCCCGGAGGCGTCGTTCCTCTGCGGGCCGCTCCAGAAGCCGGAGAAGGAGAAGAAGGCGGCGCAGCGGCGCAAGAAGGTCGTCGACGACGGCGAGGAGGAGACCCAGTACGAGACGACGAGCGGCTTCAAGGAGGGCGCCGCGCAGGCGCGTTTTTTCCGCGTCCGCCGTTTTTTTCTTCATCGAGGGCGCCCCCGGGCAAATTGCGATCGAGGCGCGACACACCAGATCACCTCTTCTACGCTTCTTTCGTCCAGACACCCGGGGAACACCAACGCGAGAGTCTATATCTCGCGCGCGGCGCGCGCGCGCCCTCCTCGCGGCGGGTTATCCGTCCGGGCGCGCGGGCCCGCGGACCGACGCCCTTAAGGCCACCGCTCTCGCATCCTCCGAGCGGCACCGAGTCATAGCGACGGCACACCCCCATCGCAGCAAGAGGAGGCGACGAACCTGCGGCTCCAGAAGCTCAACGACGTCATGATGTCGAAGATGCGGTCCGCGGGCGTCGACCCGGCGACGGACGGCGCGAAAAACGCCCCGGGCCTGGACCTCATGTCCCTCGTCGTCAACCCGGACTCCTTCTGCGAGACCGTGGAGAACATGTTCGACCTCTCCTTCCTCGTCAAGGACTCGAAGGCGACGATCGCCATCGACGACGCGACGGGCCTGCCGACGTGCCGGCCAGGGCGGGACGAGGGTGATTCAACATCGCTTCAACGTGAGTGTTCCGCGCGCACGCGTTCCGGAAAAAGCATCCACGCTTCGAGACCGTTCCGAGAGATGATCGCTCGTCTCCATGCAGGACTGCAAGGACATCGGCGAGGCCTGGGGCATCTCGAGGCCCATGCTCGCGCGCGACGTCGAGGACGCGTCGCCCGCGGAGTGAGGGCCGCGCGCGGCCCCGCGCCTAAGGAAGACGGCCGGCCCTCCGTGCTTCGCGCGTCGTTAGCGGGGCGCCCGGGGACGCGAGGGCACGTCACTCTTCCTCGTCGAACAGGTCGTCGGGCACCTCCTCCTTCGGCGCGCGCGCGGGCTCCTCCGCCGCGGCGGGCTCCTCCGCCGCGTCGGGCTCCTCGTCCATGGGTTCCGCGGACTCCGCGGGCGCCTCCGACTCCGCGGGCGCCTCCGCGGCCGCGGGCTCCGCGGGCTCCTCCGCGGCCTCCTCCGCGGGCTCCGCCGCGGCCTCCTCCGCGTCGGCCTCCGGCTCCGCGGGCGCCGCGGCGTCGTCCGCGGGCGCGGCGTCGCCGGCGTCGTCCGCGGGCGCCGCCGGGGCCTCGGGCGCGGCGGCCCCGGCGGGCGCGGCGCCGCCGGAGGCCTCCTCCTCCTTGACGAGCGTCTTCCACTTCTTGACGAGGTGCTTGGCGAGCTTCGCGACGAGCTCGTTGTCGACCTTCTTGAGGCTCGACACCGTGCGGCCGATGCTGCTCCCCGTGAGGTCGTCGATGCCGATGGTCATGCGGCCGAGCTCCTTGAGCCAGTCGCCGACCTTGTCCCAGTCGGCCTTGGCGCTGTCGTCGAGGAGGTGCGCCTCGAGCGCCTTCACTCGGTCGCCCGTCGACGCCCACGCGGAGAGCGCGGCGTCGGTGGGCTTGCGCTTCTTCGCCGGCGGCGGCGCGGGCGCGGGCGCGGCCTCGCGCTTCTTCGACACGGCCGGGTCGGCCTTCTTCTCCTTGGGCGGCTTGGCCTCCTTGGGCGGCTTGGGCGCCGGCGCGGGCTTGGGCGCCTTCGGCGCCTTCGGCGCCTTGGGCGGCGAAGCGGCGCCCGTGGCGCCGACGAGCTCCGGGTAGTGGGTCCGGGCGATGTCGAGGAGGCTGCGGTACTGCTTGCTCTCGCCGGGCTTGCGGTAGTACTTGTCGACGTGGCGGCCGCCCTTGGCGGCCTGCTGCGCCTCGGGCCGCGGCTTCTCGATGGTCGTCCAGCCGTCGTCGTCCATCTTCGCCTTGAGGGCCGCCTGGTCCGTGATCTTCCCCGACCGCTTGCCCCCGCCGCTGGGCTTCTTCCGCGGCGGCGCCGCGGGCGCCGCGTCCTCCGCGGGCGCCGGGTCGTGCGCCGCCATGTAGTCCATGAGCGTCGCCTTGACCGTGGGCTTGACGAACGCCTTCGCCTGCGCCGCGTCCGTGACGCCGAGCTTGCCCGCGACGGCCGTCATGAGCACGCGCACCGTGAGCGTGCCCGCGCCGTAGGCCGCGACGACCTCGGCGTCGCCCGTGAGCATCTCCACCGTCGTCTTCGCGATGGTCGCCTCGTCGGGGACGACGGCCGATTTCGGCGCCTCCTCCGCGTCCATGGGCGCGGCCTCGGCGACCTCGGCCATGGCTGTTTTGGCGGCGCCCGCGCTTCGGCTCGCGCTTGGACGACCCGCACTGCTTGGCGGCGAGGCCGGGCCTGGCGGCGAGTCGACGATGCCGTCGACGATGCCCGCTTTGTTGAGCCGGTCTGCAACGGGCTATTGCGTCCGCCTGGAGCTGATTCGGGAGCCCCGCGCTCGGCCCCAGCGCCCCACCAGCCGTCATGTCGAGCTTCCAGGGCTACGCCGGCACCCCCGGGAGCGAGCAGGCCCCGAATAAGTCGCCCTCGCACGTTCCGGACGACTTCAGCACGCCGAACGCGACGGTCTCCACTCCGATCCACCAGCCGCCGCTGTCCCCCTACCGCGACCCCTCGGGGAACGCGAGCGAGGCCCCGACGCCCGTGCGGACGCCCGGCGCGGGCGCGGGCGCCCCGGCGGACGAGGAGGAGGAGTCGCTGCGGCTCGCGCTCCAGATGCAGGAGGAGGAGGAGCGGTACATGGCGTCGCAGCGCGAGGGCGCGCAGCGCCTCGCCCGCCTGGAGGCGCAGCGCGCCGCGGAGCGGACGACGCCCGCGGACCCGAACCTGGGCACGCCCGGCGGCGAGTCCGCGGGCGACGAGGACGTCGAGGACGACGACGACGACGACGACGACGAGGACGACGCGCGGTCCGAGGACGAGGACGACGAGGAGATCGACGAGTCGCTGGCCCTGGCATGGCGGCTCCAGCAGGAGGACGACGACCGCGCCCTGCTCATGGCGCTCAACGGCGGCCGGGAGCCGCCCGCGGGCGTCACCGCGCGGAACGTGTCGCCGTCGCAGATGACGTACGACCAGCTCATGGAGCTCGGCGACAACATCGGCAAGGTCTCCAAGGGCGCGGCGTCGAGCGCCGTCGACGCGCTGCCGACGTGCAAGTACTGCGACGCGGCGGACCACGGCGCGATCGTCGGCGACCAGTGCGCGATCTGCCGCATGGAGTTCGAGCCCGACGACGTCATGCGCGTGCTCCCCTGCGGCCACGCGGAGCACGCCGAGTGCCTCGACCAGTGGCTTTTGATCAACCGCTCCTGCCCCCTCTGCCAGAAGGACGTCGCGCCCCGCGCGGGCGCCGAGACCGCCGAGGAGTCGCACGCGATCACCGCGGCCGACACCGACGACATCGACGCCCTCCTCGACCTCTGAGGCCCGCCGGCGCGGCGGAAGCGCCGCCGGGGCGACCCGGACGGCCGCTGAGCCGCGAGGCGAACAAAAACACCAAGTCCACCAAGAACGGAGCGCCGCGCGCCCTCGCCCCGAGGCGCGCGCGCGCGCCCGCGGCGCGCTCCCGCCCGGGAGAAGTCGCCACCTAACAGCGCCGTATTTAGCTCGCGAAGTGTGTCTGTGGTGGGGGTGGTCAGTAGACCATGCCGCTCCCTTACCCCCGGCCTCAGGTCATAACTTCACCCAGGCGAGGGACAGGAGACTCTCCGCAGGGGAGGGGCGCGGTCTACTCAGGTCAGCGCAGGGGAGGGGCGTGGTCTACTCAGGTCAGGGGTGGAAGGCGTCGGAGGGTGCGCGCGGGCCGCGCCGGGGGACACGCGGCGGTTTCGAGCCGGACGTCGCTCGCGCGCCGGATGCAAACGCGTCGAGCACCAGAGAGGCTTCTTCGAAGAAAGGGTGGTGTTCGAAAACACCGGTGTGGTGGTGCGGCGCCGGGTCGGTCGCCTCCGTCCAACGGAAGCGACGTCCGGGGCCGCGGTCTCCCCTTGGTCGGGAGTTCTGAAGGGCGCGCGCGGGGCGCGTTTAGGCCGAGGCCTTGGACTTGCTCTTCTTGGGGAGGAGCACGGCGTGGATGTTCGGGAGCACGCCGCCGGACGCGATCGTGACCGTGCCGAGGAGCTTGTTGAGCTCCTCGTCGTTGCGGACCGCGAGCTGGATGTGGCGCGGGATGATGCGCGCCTTCTTGTTGTCGCGCGCGGCGTTGCCCGCGAGCTCGAGGATCTCGGCGCAGAGGTACTCGAGGACGGCGCCCATGTAGACGCCGGCGCCGACGCCGACGCGCGTCGCGTACTTGCCCTTCTTGAGGAAGCGGTTCAGGCGCGCGACCGGGAACTGGAGCCCGGCCTTGGCCGCCTTGGAGGTGCCCTTGCCACCGGCACCGGTCTTGCCCTTGCCGCGGCCGCCCTTTCCTTTGCCAGACATGATGTGATGTGTGAGTGTGTGTGTTTGGGATGTGCTGAGGAGAGCGCTCGACGCCGAGACGGACTGGGCTTCCGGGGCGGAAGCGCGCCGGGTTACGGCGTCCGACCAATCAGAAACGCGGGCTGGCTCGCTCGCGCCCCGGAAAAACAAGAGCTCGGCGCCGCGGTTGGACGTCCTCAGCAAAACCAAACACACTCGCAATCACCATGGCCAAGACTCCCTCCAAGAAATCCGCCAAGGCGCCCAAGAAGGCCGCCGGCGGCAAGAAGAAGAAGACGCGCGTCGAGTCGTACTCCACGTACATCTACCGCGTGCTCAAGCAGGTGCACCCCGACACGGGCATCTCCAAGAAGGGCGCGCACCCGCGTCCCGACGACGCGACGCGCGCTCCGCGACGCGCACCCGCGCCGCGCGCGCGCTCCCGACACGCGCACCCGCGCTGCACGCGCACGCCACGTTCACACGTTCACGGGTACCGCGCGCAGGCATGTCGATCATGAACTCGTTCATCAACGACATCTTCGAGCGCATCGCCCTCGAGGCCTCCAAGCTCTGCCGCTTCTCCAAGAAGGCGACGCTCTCGTCCCGCGAGATCCAGACCGCGGTCCGCCTCATGCTCCCCGGCGAGCTCTCGAAGCACGCCGTCTCCGAGGGCACCAAGGCCGTCACCAAGTTCTCGTCGTCCTAAGCGCCGCGCACGATTCCGTGCGCGCGCGCGTGCTCGCGCGCAAGCCGCCGGCCCTCGGCCGACGGCGACTCAGTCGCGCGGGCGCGGACGTCGACCCCACAAAAACCCGGTGTTTTCGAACACCACCCATGCCTACGGAAGAACGACCGGCGCCGACGCACCCTCCCGCGCCCGACGCCTCTCGCCGCGCGTCGATCGACTCGTGAGCACCTAAGTTCATACACGACCACGTAAGCTAATACACGGCCCGTTCGTCGAGGATCGCGGCCCACGCGGGCTCGTCGCGGCGGACGCACGCGACGTTGGACCATGCCCGGAGCTCGAAGGCGGCGTGGAAGCAGCCCCGCGACAGGCGCCAGAGCGCGCTGTGGGCGCCCTGGAGGTAGCAGTCGAAGCCCGCCGCGTCGAGGTCCGCGGCGGTCCGCTCGAGCGTGACGTCCTCCGCCCACGCGCCGCGGAAGTGGTACTCGAACTCGAGGAAGCGCGCGCGCGCCACGGTCTCGCGTCCGCCGGCGAGGACGAGGGGGTCGTAGCCCTCGACGTCGAGGAGCAAGAAGTCGACCGTCGCGCCGGGGACCAGCGCGTCGAGCGTCTCGACGGTGACGCTCTCGAACGCGGGCGCGTCGCCGCCGAAGCGGCCCTCGAAGGCCGCGGCCTCGCAGGCCTCGCCGGCGGGGCAGACGGCGCCGACCTCCTCGCCCGCGGCGAGGGACGGGAACGACGCGACGGACCGCTTCTCCGCGAGCGCGAGCCGGTGGAGCACCTGGAACAGGGTGATTCAACGTCGCTTCAACGTGAGTGTGCCGCGCGCGCGCGTTCCGGGAAAAGCGTCCACGCTGCGAGGGACGATCGCTCGTCCAAAAAACAGCCGAGACGAGTGGACAACGACCGGGATAGAAGTTGGGAATGTCGCACCCCGTGGCGCGCGACGGTCGCCTCGGCCTCGCGCGACGCCTTGGTCCAGGCGTCGCCGTGTGCCGCGAAGCCGAGGCCGCGCAGGGCGCCGCGCAACAGTTCCACGTTCGCCGCCAGGGGCTCGACGGCGTGGACGACGATTCGAAGCGGGAGCTCGCGCGCCGCGAAGCCGCCGGGAGACGCGCACGTCGGGAACCGGCCGACGCGCGCGTCGACGTCGCCGTCGTCCTCGAGGCAGTCGCGGCACCAGCCGCAGGCGACCTTCGCGCCGGCGGCGCGGACGAAGGCGCCCCAGGTCGCCGGCGTGACGCCGAGGCTCGGCGCGAGCTCCTTGAGCAACTTCGCGACGCCAAAGCCCTTGTTCGCGCCGACGTTGACGGCCAGAAAGGGCGTCCCGGGCCGCCGCGCAAAGTCGCGCGTGCCCGCCGCCTCCGCCCGCAGGAGCGGCGCGAGCCAGTCCTGGTCCGGGCAGCCCAGCGCCGACGCGTAGTTCCAGCCGTCGCCGGGCCTGTGTGGAATTCAAATCTTCAACCCGACTTCAATGTGAGCGTATGCGACAGTTTTGACGCAAGATCTTCGGCTGTGCTTCGAGAACTCGACGAGAGCAATCGATTCGTCCAAAAATCAGCCGAATCGACTTCGATTTGACCGAGCTAGAGAATTCTGAAGTTTGGTCAGGACCACCCAATCCGGTGGTTGAATTCCACACAGCCCCGGGCCCCTGCACGAGCGTCCGCGACGCCGCGAACCGCGCGCCGAGCGCCGCGGCCTCGCGCGCGTCGCAGGCGGCGTCGCGCGCCGGGGCGTCGCCCCGCACGTCCGACGCCCAGGCGAGGAGCCCGTTGCCGTCGAGGGGCTCGGGCCCGTTCGCGCCGGGCACGCGCGGCCGGCCCCAGAGCAGGTGCCGGCGCGCCAGGAAGTCGCCGAAGGCGCAGACACGGGGGGCGACGCCATAGTCTTCCACGAAGTGGCGCGCCCGTCGCCGGCGCACGAGGGCGACGCCGCCGTCGAGCGCGCCCACGGCGACGTCGAGCCACGCGCGCGCCTTCAAAAGGAGCGCCGCGCGCCACGCGTCGCCGTAGGTCCCGTCGGCGCAGGGCGCCGCGCCGCGGATGACCAGCGTCCCGCCCGGGGCGAGGGCCCGGAGCCCGGCCTCGGCGGCGACGACCGCGCTGCAGTCGAGGCCGCGGCCGTCGACGAGGACGACGCGGTGCGGGCCGCGCTCGACGCCGCCGCAGCCCGCGCGGGCGACGTCGCCGCCCTCGGCGAGCGCCGCCAGGAGCGGCGCGACGTCGCCCGTCGCGACGAGGGGCAGCGCCGCGCCGCCGCAGGCGAAGCCGCCGACGGCGTCCGCGGCGGCGAGGACCGCCGCGGCGGCGGGCGCCGCGCACGCGTCGCGGCCGCAGGCGACGGCGCCGACGTCCCGCCCGGCGGCGCGAGCGATCAAGGTCTCCAGCCCCTCCCGCAGCAGCGACCGGCTCGCGCAGGCCGCGTCGCCGCCGCAGTCCGGGAAGACCGCGGCGCCGTCGCCGAGGCCGGCGACGGCGCTGGCCGCGCAGGCCTGCAGCGGCGCGTCCGACGCGTCGTCGACGCTGCAGCGCAGCTCCGCCTCGCCGCCGATGGGCAGCGACACCTCGAAGACGTCCGCGCTCGTGACGGCGAGCAGCGCGAGGGGCAGCCGCACCATCGGGTCTATTAGAACAACACCAGTTCAACAATCGGTGCAAAAAGCTCGAGAGCCAGCGTCGCCGTCGGCTTCACGACGAGCGGCGCCTTCCGGTCGGCCATGCCGTCGACGCGCCGCCGCATGACGCTCCACGTCCTCCCGCCGCACCTCGAGGCCGCGCGCGAGGAGATCGACGCGGGCGCGGCGCTGCTCTGCGACGTGCGCGAGCCCGGCGAGTGGGCGAGCGCCCACCTCGCGTCGGCGATCCACGTGCCCCTCAGCGGCCTCCAGAGCGGCCGGTGCCCGCCGGAGGTTTTGGACGCGACGAAGCGGCTCTACCTCCACTGCGCGGCGGGCATCCGCGTGCACCCGGCGAACGAGCTCCTCCGGGGCATGGGCTGCGACGACGTCGTGCCCCTCGACGAGGGCGCGGGCGAGCTCTACCAGCTCGGCTTCGACAAGCTCGCGGACCCGGAGTGAGGAAGGACCGCCGGCGCGGACTTTTATTAAGTGAGTTCGAGGACGTCGGGGTCGACGTCGACGCGGAGCTCGTCGCGGAGCGCGGCGCCGAGGCCCGCGCTTCGCAGCGCCGCGGCGACGTCGTCGTAGTTCGTGAGCCGCTCGCGCTGCGTCGCGTTGCCCGCGCGCTTCGCGTACTTGGCCTGCGGCGCCTCCCGCGCGCCGCCGAGGCCGAGGAAGGGGAAGACGCGGCCCCGCCAGAGGTCCGGGCGCCGGAGCAGGTCCTCGTAGTAGACCACGAGGAGCGGCAGCCGGTTGTTCCGCGCGACGACGGGCACCTCCGCCCGCAGCCACGCGAGCTCCTCCGCCGCGGCCCGGACGCCGGCGACGGCGGCGCCGACGTCGACGGCCGCGGCGCCGACGCGCTGGCAGGCCTCGCCCGGCGCGCACGCGTGCTTCGCGCCGAAGAGCGCCGACGCGCGGCGCGCGAGCCAGAGGTCGAGCGGATTCTTGCGCAGGAACAGGATGGTCCGCGCGGGGCCCTCGGCCGTGCGCGCCGCGAGGGCCCGCGCGAGCGTCCGCAGCGCGCCCTTGAGGCGCGCGCGCCGGCCGGCCTCGTTGCGCGACCCGTCGCTCGCCCAGCGCGGCCGCACGTTCATGCGCAGCAATCGCGGCGCGAGGAGCTTGCCGCCGAGGCGCACCGTGGCGCAGCCGTCGAAGGCATCTCGACGACTTTTTGCTTCTGCACGCGCGCTCTCAAAGGCCGCGTACTGCGCCGCGGGACGCGACAGGTTCCCAAAGTCGAGCGGCTCTCCGAGGTGGCCCAGCAGCTTCTCGTGGCGCGACACGACGCAGGGCTGGGCGCGGATCGTCTCGTCGAAGAAGCTCGAGCCGCAGCGCGCGCAGGCGATGCCCAGCCAGAGCTGGAAGATCATCAGCCCCACATCGGGCAGTCAAGACATCGGGCAGCCTTTTGAAGGTTCAAGGAGAGGCACTTTGAAGTTTTAGCGTGCTCAGGCGACGACGACGATCTTGTGGGCGCGGGCGAACTTGAGGAGCGTCTGCTTGTGGTGGCCCCGGGTGAGGACGACCTTGTTGGGCATGGCGGCGTCGACGACCCAGGCCTCGAAGGCGTCGAAGACGTCGCCGCCGCGGTCGAGGACGTCGAGGTCCACGGCGCCGCTGAAGCCCGCGAGCTGGCGCCGCGGCGGGCGGCTCTTGCCCTCGCAGACCATGACACGGTACACGCCGTCGAGGAGCCAGAAGCGCGCCACCGTGACGTCCATGCCCGGCTCGAGCGTCGCGTCGACGCAGCCGTGGACCTTGTCCTCGAAGTGTCGCGCGGGCGCGGGCGCTCCGACGCCGCCCTCGGCGACGCAGAGGCACGCGGGCGCGACGCCCGCGTTCCAGGCCATGAAGGAGCCCGCGTCGTGCTCGAGCCAGTCGGCCAGGAGCGGCGCGCCGCAGCCCAGGAGCTTGCAGACGAGCATCGTCACCGCGGCGTCGACGTCCGCGTCGCGCGCCACGGGGAACCCCTCGTCGGCGAGGCGCGTCAAGGCGACGTAGGGCCACGTGCCGTAGTCGCGCGCGATCTCCGGCCCGCAGCGCACGGCGAGCGCGTCGAGGTTCTCCGTCTCGATGATCGACTTCAGCGCGACGTAGAGCCGGTTGCTCCGGTTATCGGCGTCCGGCTCCGACGCGAGGTTCGCGAAGGGGTGCTCCATGGTGCGGTCCTCGACGATGGTCGCCTCGTCGGCGCCCGCGGCGCGGCCCAGGAGCTCGCTCAGGCTGACGGTTTCGACGACCGCGGCGAACGTCTTCGCGACCGCCGCGCCGTCGTACGGCGTTTCTCCCGGCGGCGCGTCGCCGATGACGCCGACCTTGGCGCGCCGCAGGACCTGGCGGCAATAGGCGCGGCCCAGCGCCGCTTTCAGCTGGGCCACGGCGCGGGCCCAGTCCTGGCCGCCGTAGACGAGCTCGAGGTCCGAGCGGCCGGACCGGCGGAACCTGGGCAGCACAAGAGTGATTCAACGTCGCTTCAAAGTGAGTGTTCCGCGCTTGCGCGTTCCGGAAAAAGCATTCACGCTCCGAGACCGTTCCGAGAGATGATCGCTCGTCCCAAAATCAGCCGGAACGAGTGGAAAACGGCCGAGATCGGAGCCTTTGAAGTTGGGAATTTCGCTCTCTTTTCCTGCCCTGGGCGGAACGCGGCCGCGAAGTCCTGCGCGCCGACGAGGGACTTGGACGAGATGCCCCCGAAGGGCGACCCGACGACCTCGAAATTCTCCGGCGTCGCCCAGAACACGACGGGCAGCGCGCAGTGCTGGGCCAGCACGGCCGCGAGCGCGCCGTCGGCCGACGTCGGCTGCGTCGCGACGACGACGTCGCAGGACGCGCGCGCGCGCTCCAGCGACGCCCGGAGCGTCCGGTCGTCGGCGACGCGCTCGTCGGGGCCGTTGAGCGCGATCATGGCGTGGCCCTCGTCGCGGCAGAGCGCCTTGACGAAGGCGTGGCAGCGCGCGCGCATCTCCTGGGCCCAGGCAAAGTCGAGGCACCGCTCCTGGCGCCGCTCGAGCACGAGCAGGCCCAGCTTCATGCCCGGCTTCAGCCGGAAGCGCGCGTTCTCCTGCGACGAGTGCATCGTGAGGAACACCATGGCTCGCTTGCTTGCGCGCGAGGCTGCCCTTTGAAAATGCGAGTTGAGGTTCAATGATGCACTTTGCATTTCTTTAGTTCGGGCTGCCCCGCGCAGTCTGGCAGCCAGCCCTCGTCCTCCTCCCCGACCCGAGGAGCGACCGCGTCCGGCGCTCTTCATGCACGGCGCGGAGGCCAGCCTCGAGCTCTAGTGTGTTCGAGGTGACGTCCATGTCCGTTTCGCGTTTCGGACGGGCGCGGCGAGTATGGTTAGCTCTGAGCCGTCGGCGTTCCTTCGGAGGCACCGAGGGAGCCTCGGCCCCGCGCCGGTCCTCGACGGCGGTGTGCCGAAACTCCCGCCGATCCATCCGCTCGACACGTCGCCGCGCTCGGCCTTGAATCCCACCCGTCCGGGGGCACCGGCCCCCTACTTCTACCACACGCGGCGAGACGTGGGATTTCCTTCGATGGGGATGAGTCGCCCGGGGAGCCGGCACCGAGACGTCCACAAGCAGGCGGAGAAGGTGAACGTCGCCAGGGCGCGCTCGAAATACTCGACGAATTTCCGGAGGCAGGCCGAGGCGCACGCTCGCGCCGCGGCCGCGGAGGGCTACGTCCCGCGGCCGCCGAAGCGCGGGCGGGAGGAGACGCCGCAGAGCCGACGACGGCGGCGGCGGGCCTTCGAGAGCGTCATTCGCGAGAAGGAGGCCCTGGCGCGCGAAGCCGAGCGCATGGCCGCCGTCGCGCGAAGCGAGCGCGAGCTCCTGCGGTGCGGGCCCGTGGGGCCCCTGGGGCTCCCTCGCCGCGCGCACCAAAGTAGGCTGGTCTCCTAATCCCCGGCGTTATTCGAAGCCGAGCTCGTCGAGGACGGCCCGCCGCTCCGCGATGGACGCGAGCATCGACGCGTCCCGCGCCGCGTAGGTCGCCACGCAGAACCCCTCGTCGTCGCAGACGCCGTCGGCGAGGAGCCCGTCCGCCGCCGCGGCCCGCCACGCCAGCAGCGGCCCGTCGCAGAGGCCCGGCCGGTGCACCGTCTCGCAGTCGGCGTTGACGTCGTCGACGATGACCGTCGCGTTTTCGCGCGCGAGCGCGCTCAACAGCCGCACGTCGCAGTCCGCGGGCTCGAAGTCGTGGCCGCCGTCGACGAAGACGACGTCGCACTCCAGGGGCCGCAGCGAGCCCGGGCGCCGGAGCCGGTTCCCGAACTCGAGGAGCCCCGCGAGGCTCTTGCAGCTGTCGCCGACGTGGAGCTCGAGGCTCTGGCCCGGGAAGGACCGCCGCAACACGTCGAGGCCCACGTGCACGGCCGCCAGGTGCCCGACGTCGAAGGCCATGACGTCCGCGCCCGCGCTCAAAGCCGCGGACGCCGAGTAGCCCGCGTTGAAGCCCGTCTCGCAGTGGAGCGGCCGGTCGCCCGGGGCCATCCGCGCCGCCGCCGCGGCGACGGCGTCGCGGATGGCTTTCTGCTTCCGGGGCTTGTCGAGCGACCCGCCGACGCGCGTCTCGAAGGGCGCGACGACGCGGCGCAGCGCGTCGAGGTCCGGGAACCCCGACGTCGCCTCCGGCGCCTCGTCCCAGCCGAGGGGCACGGCGAAGGCCGTCGGCGCCGTCGCCGACGCGCCGGCCTGTCCGACTTGCGCGTGCGCCGTCAGGACCACGGGCGCGGCGTCGTTCGCGCCGTCGCCGCCCGCCGCGCGCGTCGTGAAGACGCGGACGGCGTCGACGAGCGCCTCGAGCCGCCGTCGCACGATGGGCGCGCCGACGCGGAGCCGGGCCGTCGGCGCCGCCGCGGAGAGGCCGACGCAGCCCAGCAGGACGCCGACGTCGTTCTCCTCGTGGCTGCCGAGGTGGACGCAGCCGTCGAGGTCGCCGACGGCGACGCCGAGCGTCCGCGCCGCGCGCGCCGCGACGCGCGGGTCGTAGCGGAAGACGAGGTCCAGGTCGCCGTCGAGGAGGCGGCCCGCGGCGACGCGCGCGCCCTGGCGGCCGTCCGCGCCCGCGACGCCGACGCGGAGCCAGGGCGTCCGCGTCGGGTCGTCCGGCGCCGCGCAGGCGTCGGGCATGTCCAGGAGGCGGTGCTTGCGCCCGTCGGACGCGCAGGCCTCGCCGGCGCGGTCGATCGGGCCAGCGGTCGCGACGAGCGCGTGCCGGAGCGCGGTCAGCGGGCCGCGCGCGGCGCCCGTGGCGGCGTCGCGGACCTGGGCGTAGACCACGTAGGCCGCGGGCCGCAGGCCGAAGACCGTGAGGGGCTCCGCGCGCGCGAGCGCGACGGCCGTGACCATCTTCGCCGGCGCCGCGCCGCCGGCCCGCTCGGCCATGACGACGACGCAGACGACGCCGTCCGCGCCGACCTCGAACGGTTCGTCCAACCGCCAGCGGAGCACGAGGGCGTCGGACCGCGACACGGCCGCGGGCGGCTCCAATAGGACCCGCGGGCCCCGTTCGCCGCCGCCGACGCCGACGTGGACCTGCGGTGCGTCTTCGTGGACTCGGCCGAAGAAGGCGGCGTTGAACGACGGCGACGCGCCGACGTCGGCGTCGATCAACGCCTGGAGGTGCGCGGCGCAGTCGGCGAAGACGTCGGCATCCTCGGGCGACGCGTCCCGGCAGACGATCTCCGCCGCGAGCCGCGGCTCCGTGTCCGCCGGGCCGACCTTGATGAGCACGGCGTCGTCGCCGACCTGCGCCGCGACCCAGCGGTGGTCCAGGTAGTCGCTGAGCGGCTCGTGGAGCGCATGCGCGCACGCCAGCGACAGCCAGAGCAGGCGCATGGGCTCTCGTTAGGGGCTGCCCATCGTGGCGAGGTTGGACATCGAGCTCAACACAGTTGGCTCAACAAACTTGTTTTTCCTTTTGGCGTGTGGTATGACTTGTTCGCGGCCACCGATCTAAGCGCGCCGTCGAGCACCATGTCCTGCGGTTTCTGCGCGCCGGAGGGCGCCGTCGCCGACGTGGAGCCGCATGCGCTCTTTGCCGACGAGCACCTGTCGACCTTGACGGACACATTGACGGGCACGCTGCTGCAGTACGGCGACGCCGGCTACGACGCCGCGCGGCTCGGCACGGTCTGGGCGCACGAGGAGTGCCTGAAGGGCGGCCGCGAGAAGTTCTCGCCCGAGACGCACCCGACGGAGACGTGGAACCTGGATTCCTGCGAGTTCCCCGCGGCGATCTGCGTCGTCGCGGGCGTTCCGGACGTCCAGGCTTGCGTTCGCTACTGCGCGGCGAGCGGCGAGCGCCTGGCCGTCGCCGGCGGCCGCCACAGCCACACGTGCATGGCGCAGGACGCCTTCGTCGTCGACCTCCAGAAGCTGCGCTCCGCGAAGCTGGAGAAGACCGACGGCGGGCAAGCGTTCCTGCGCTGCGGCGGCGGCGCGCTGAACGGCGACGCGCACAAGGCGCTGGACCAGAGCGGCTACGGCATGACCCTGGGCCACCACCCGGGCACGGGCCTGGGAGGTCTCGTGCAGCAGGGCGGCCACGGGCCCCTGGAGAAACTGTACGGTCTGTCCATCGACGCGTGGGTCGAGGCGACCGTCGTCACGGCCGACGGCGCGTCTCGGACGGCGTCGGCGACGGAGCACCCGGACCTCTTCTGGGCGCTCCGCGGCGGCTGCGGGAACTTCGGCGTCGTGACGGAGTTCGTCTTCGAGCTCATGCCGTTCAACCAGTACCTCCCGAGCCTCCAGCGCGTGCACCTGCCCGTGCCCGTGCTCTGCCCGTCGCGCTTTGACGTCATCCGCGGCTGGCGCGACATGTGCGGGGTCGCCCCGCGGAACGTGTCGCCGCTGCTCATCGTCACGCCGACGCCGCTCATCGAGCTGACCTACGCCATCGCGCCGGACGACACCGTCGAGACGCTGAAACAGGAGACGTACACGGGTTGGGGCATGCCCGTCGTCGTCGAACTCACGACGCGCTGCTACGTCCACGAGATCTCCTGGGACATCCTGGGCCCCTCGTCCGACGCGAACCTCGCGGGCAACTACTACCCGACGTCCGCGCTGCTGGCCAAGTTCCCGGACGAGGCCTGCGCGATCGTCGCGGACCGCGTCGCGCGCGCGCCGAACGCCGACTGCGGCGTCATCTGCAACCAGCTCGGCGGCAAGGCCGCGGAGGTGCCCAAGGACGCGACGGCGGTCTACCACCGCGACGCCGGGTTCTGGCTCATCATCAACGCGGGCTGGAAGGGGTCGCTCTTCGCGTCCGAGGCCGACGAGCGCGACAAGGCCGTCGCCTGGGCGAAGGGCCTCCGCGACGCGCTGTTGCCCTACGCCATCGGCCGCTACGGCGCGCTCTCGCAGGACGCGGCCGACGGCTGGAACGACGCCTGCGGCCAGGATCCGCTCGCCATGGCGTCCTGGGGCGCGAACTACGGCAGGCTCCGCGAGCTCAAGGCCAAGTATGACCCGACGAACCTCTTCCGCATCAACCACAACATCGAGCCCCGACTAAAGTAGCGCGCCGATGTCGGGCGTCCAGGGGACGCTCGGCGGCTCGGCGAATCGCAATCGCACGGCGGCGGGCAGCTCGCGGAAGCTGTCGTAGCCGTCCGTGCGGACGAGCTTCGTCGGCCAGTGCGACGTCGTGACGCCGTCCTCGAAGGCCGCGCGGCGCGCGGCCCGGACCTCCGGCGGACAGAGGCGCGCGGGGACCATGCACTGGAACGAGCAGCAGCGCGCGAGCTCGTCCGCCGGCGGCGGGTCCGCGGAGCGCGACGGCGTCGACGCGTGCACGAGCCGCGAGTCCCAGAGGAGCAGGTCGCCCTTCCTCAGCAGGCAGCAGACGGCGTCGCGCTCGCAGATCGGGTCCGGCCGCGGCAGCTCGAAGTAGTCGTCGCCGCCGTTCGCCTCGAGCTCCGGCCCGAAGGCCTCCGCGAGCCGCGGGAAGACACTGCGGTGCGACCCGGCGACGAGCACGTTGCCGCCGCCGCCCTCGACGACGTCCGTGAGCGCCACGAGGCCCTGGACCATCTCGAAGCCGCCGCCGCGGCGCGCGTCCTGGTCCACGTGCAGCCACCCGTCGGCGGTCCGCGCGCCCGGCCGCCACGCGCAGCAGCCGTCGAAGGACGCGACCATGGGCTCGTCCTCCGCCGCGCGCCACACGGCGCGGAACGCCGCGGCGACGCGCGGCCGCGTGCGCACGAACCACTGCAGGTCCGAGTGGCCGACGTTGAACCAGGGCAGGATGCCCGTCGCGCCGACGCCGGGCGGCCACCGGTCGTCGGTCCACGTGGACGCGTCGCCGCGGTCGACGCCGCTGCCGAGGCCCTCGACGTGGTCCCAGAACTTGCCCACGGCGGCGTCGGCTTCCTCGGCCGTGAGCGCGTCGAAGACGACGTAGCCGTGCTCGTCGAGGTGGGCCAGCGCGTCGGCGTCGCCGGGCGCGAAGCGCGCACCTCGACGTAGCGCGGCGCGGCAAAGGTCGCCATCGTTCTCCAGGGGACGAGCGCGGCCGCGAGCGCGCGGCGCATGCACACGGTGTGTGTAGGAATAGGACTGCGATGCGCGCACAGCGACGCGATGCGCGGTCCGGCACGACTCGGCTTCGATTAATTGCCACAAGCCATCGCGAAGACAGGCAACACCAGATCAACACCGGCCGAAGCCGCTCTGCCAGTGACATGACGAAGCTTCGCCGCGCCTTCGCCTGCGCGGTCCTCGCCGTCGTCGCCCAGGCGGCATCGCCGAAGCGGCCCGCCACGGTCAACCTGAAGAAGCTCCCGAAGAACCGCACGTCGTCCGGGCCCACGGCCGCGAACGCGACGACCGGCGCCCTGGCCCTGTCGTCGAGCACGAAGCGCGCATCGGCGCTGCTGGCCCTCTTCCACGCCTGCATCTTCATGCCCCAGGCCTGCAGCCGGGTCCTCAACGCCGTGCTCGGCGGCCGCGGCGCCGGCGTCGCGCGGCTCTTCGACGGCGCGGCGCGCGCGGGCGACGAGGAGAATTCGTTCATCGACTACCGCGCGCCGGGCGCCGAGGGCGGCGTGGGCTGGGACGACGTCGTCGGCGCCGAGAGCGCCGTGCGCGAGCTGCGGCGGCTCATCGACGTCGTCGGGTCCCGCGAGGCCGCGACGCGCGCGCGGCGGTGCGGCGCGTCGGCGCCGCGGAACATCCTGCTCGTCGGGCCGCCGGGCACGGGCAAGACGCTGCTCGCGCGGGCCGCGGCGGAGTCGCTGGACGCGCCCTTACTGGTCGTCTCCGGCTCGGAGATGGTCAAGGGCAAGTACGCGGGCGTCGGCGTCGAGCGCGTGCGCCAGCTCTTCTCGGCCGCGCGGCGCGCGGCCGCGGCGGCGAAGCGGCGCGCGGCGCTCGTCTTCATCGACGAGATCGACTCCTGCGGCCGCGCGCGCGGCGGCGACAGCTCCGCCGTCGGCGCGGACCACGACAACACGCTGAACCAGCTGCTCGTGGAGCTGGACGGGTTCGGGGCAGGGCAGCAAAAGAGAGCGAACTTCCCAACTTCAAAGGCTCCGATCTCGGCCGTTGTCCACTCGTTTCGGCTGATTTTTGGACGAGCGATCATCTCTCGGCACGGTCTCGAAGCGTGGACGCTTTTTCCGGAACGCGCGCGCGCGGCACACTCACGTTGAAGCGACGTTGAATCACCCTTTTGCTGCCCAGGTTCGGCGCGCGCGACGACGGCGCGCCGCTCGTCGTCGTCCTCGCGGCGACGAACCGCGCGACGAGCCTGGACGCGGCCCTGCTCCGCAAGGGCCGCTTCGACAAGATCGTCGAGCTGCGCGCGCCGGACCTCGAGGGGCGGCGCAAGCTCTTCGACCACTACGTGGAGAAGCAGCTGAAAGCGGCCGCGGCGCGCGAGCTCTCCGTCGACGCCGGCGGCGCGACGGCCCTCGTGCGCGTCGTCGAGGCGGCGAACGGCACCCTGGCGTGCAAGGCCGTCGCGCCCAAGTGCGCCGCGGGCCACCGCTTCCGGGCGACGCTTCATAACGACACGCTCGCGACGACGGCCGCGACGGCCGCGGCGCTCGGCTGCCGCCGCGCGCCGCTCCGCGACGGCGCCGACGCGAAGCGCCTCGCCTTCACGGTCGCCCACGCCGGCGCCGCGCCGGAGGCCGACGACGCCGCGCTCCCCGCGGACCTCGCGGGCCTGTCGCCGGGTCTGGTCGGCGCGGACGTGCACGCGGTCGTCAACGAGGCGGCGCTGGGGGCCATGGCCGACGGCCGCTACGTCGCGACGCGGGCCGACTACCTGCGCGCCGTCGAGGACGTGCTCCTCGGCAAGCCCCTCGAGGACGATCTGGACGGCGCGCGCGAGTCGCCCGACTGGCGCGTCGCCGTCCACGAGGCGGGCCACGTGCTCGCGTCCTTCGTGCTCGAGGGCGTCGACGACGCGATCCGCGCGTCCGTGCGGCCGCGGGCCGGCGGCAGCCTCGGCGTCACGCTCCTCGGCGCGGACGACGCGAAATCCGTGACGCGCGCGCAGCTCCGGGCTGTGCCGAATTCAAATCTTCAACTCGACTTCAATGTGAGCGTACGCGACAGTTTCGACGCAGCCTCTTCGGCTGTGCTTCGAGAACTCGACGAGAGCAATCGATTCGTCCAAAAATCAGCCGAATCGACGATCGACTGATTCGATTTGTCAGGACCGCCCAAACCAGTGGTTGAATTCGGCACAGGCTCCGGGACCGCCTCGTGCTGCTCCTCGCGGGGCGCGCCGCGGAGTCGCACGTCTTCCGGGGCGACGTCTCGTCGGGCCCGAGCGACGACCTCATGAAGACGGCGGAGCTGGCCAAGGCCATCGTCGTCAACTTTGGCATGTCGGACCTCGGCGCCGCCGCGGCCGTCGGCGACGCCGACGACGCGGTCCGCGCGGAGCTCAGGCGCGCGGAGGACGCCGCGCGGGACCTGGTCCGCGACCACGACCGCACGCTGCGAAGCGTCGCGCGGGCCCTCGTGAAGCGGGAGACCCTCGACGGCGCGGCCCTCGGCGCGCTCTTCGCCGAGGACGGCGCGCCGCGCGCGCCGGACAGGGTCGCGAGCGCCGCGGCGGGGTAAGCGCCTGTGTACATTCGCCATCAGAGGTGTTTAAAAGTGTGATAAATTTGTCAAAAAAAAATTCGGGTGACGCCGTTCGAGACGCGCGCGGACCTGCGCAGGAGGCTTGCGAGCGATAAGCTTGGCTCTGTGTTTCTGCCTCTAGAGCTCTCAATCACCGGCCGTGGATTTCGTCTGATCGATCTTCGTCGAGAAACCTCCACGCCGGCCCGCGCTGTTTCCTCGGGGGGGGCTCAAGGACGCTTCGCTCCGTCCTTCTGCAGAACGTCGAAAGCCCCTGCTTCATCGACGCCGAAACCAACTTTCGCGCGCCCTTTTCGAACTAGTCCTTACAAAACTTGGCTAGGTATCCGAGCGGCCCTGGCATATCTTGGCCGAGCGCAGCCCTGAAATTGTACCGGGAATCACGTTTGTCATCGCTGCGCATGAACCCAGTGCCGGGCACGAGCCCGTATGGCAAGGTAGTTCGCAGTGCAGAGCTCAAGTGTTTGTTGCTCACAGGCGAGTTCGTCTACACGGGCAAGGCGAAGGGTAAGTCTTTCCTCTCCCGCATTGTCGACGTTCGGCAGCACGCTCAGCTGCCTCAAGACGAACGCGAGAAGTTTGCTCTGGATGGTCACACCGGTGAGTTTTTTCTAGCCCAGTGGTGTTCTGTTGTGGGAGATGATGACAAGAAATTCCCGACGAGCTCCATGAATGTCAGGCAGCGGGCTTTAACCGCCGGCTTAAAAGAAGTCGTGCTTTGGGGGGCTTATCCAGGGGGGTTCGTGCTTTGCTCAGACGCGTCTTGGTATCCTGTCGACTGCGTGCTAGGTGTGGCAGTTGTGTGGCCGATAGATGATGCTTGTGACAAGTTGGTGCCAGCTGCTGCATGGCATACCAGAACTCGTAGTTTGTTCTGTCGATACGATTAGGCGGAGAAAGTCGCGCGCGAAGTTGCCGCGGAGCTTCGGGACGTGCTCGCGAGCGTCGTGCATGCCAGATTCGTGCGCTCCCAGCGTAAAACTTGCACCACTCGTAGCGGCGGTCGCGGCGGGGTAGTACGTTCATTGGCAAGATATGGACATGCGCACGGGCGGAGATCGACACAGAGGACGGGGCTGCCCGTCCATGCTCTCCTTAACTCGGGAGAGCTAACTCGAATACACGATTGCTAAGTAAATTTGTGGATTTAGTTAGTTCATTTAGTTGGCCGATGGGGGGCACTCGAATGTAGAAAACCACCAAAAAGCCACAGGGTCGAATCGGAGAAAAAGCTTATGACCATCCTGTGGTTCCTCGAGCGAGGCGTGTCGCTCCTGCTCCCGGAACTCGCGGCGTCGGGTCGGCCGCTCGCTGTCGGGGCTGGTCGCGCCGCGGAGCCCGAAGGAAGGCGGCGGGGGGGACGTCCCGGTCGAGGCCGGCGCCGTCGAGGCGGAGGCCATCGCGCGGATCTAAATCCTACTCGCATGTATGAATACGGCCACTGGCAGTATGCACGTGCGGAGGACGCCGTTGAAAAGTCCGTGAACCTGAAGCTGCCGAATAACGTAACGCAACGCCCCACAGTTTCCAGCATGGCCGCCGAGGCCAAGCCCGGCTGGTCGTCGGCGCCCTGGCGGCCGAAGAAGGAGATCCGCGTGCCCGTCGTCGGTCGGCGGCCGCTGCGGCACCAGATCGAGGGCAAGGCGGCCAACGACGACTCGGTGAGCGACCTCATCGCCCAGAGCTCCGTCGGCTCGGCGTCGGCGTCGAGCTGGCTGGGCCTGAAGAAGTCGAGCGAGGCCGCGCGGGCCGTCCAGCCCGGCGACAGCGCGAGGCCCTTCTTCGCGGAGGCCGTGCCGGACAGCACGCCCCTGAGCCTGCGGGCCGCGCTCGAGCGGAAGAAAACGGCGACGCCGCACGGGCCCGCGGGGACGACGACCTACGCCATGCACCTGCGGTCCGCGGAGGCGCGGCACCAGCGCGAGGAGTTGCGGCGCGCCCAGGGCCCGACGGCGCACGCCGAGGAGCGCTTCGACGGCTGCGCGGGCCTGGCGACGAAATTGGGCGCCATGACGCGGACGCCGCAGGGCCGCGTCATCGCCTGGGACGACAAGCCCGTCGTCAACAACGGGCGGAAGAACGTCGAGTCGACGGCCGAGTACTGGGAGGAGCTGCCCGCGGGGCGGAAGCACTACCCGGGCATGGACGTCTACGACCGGACGCCCGACGGCCGCGTGCTCTCCTGGCCCGAGGCCGCCGACGCCGCGAGCGTGCGACCGACGGCGTCCTACAAGACGGTCCACGAGCGGCAGTACGACCGGCGCCCGCCGCCGCGGGACGACGCCAAGGACGCGGCGCTCGCCGCGACGCGCGCGCACCGCGCGTGCGATGGCCCGGAAGCTCGGCGCGATTTCGCGGACGCCGCCGGGCCGCGTCATCGGCTGGCTCCCCTCCGAGTAGTAGAGGCGCCTCCTATGTCTTCTTCTTACTCCCGAGGCTCCCGTGGCTGCCGAGGCTGCTGTGCCAGGAGCTCTCGTCGGGGAGGAGCGTCGCCATGGACCCGGCCGCGAAGTCGGAGCCGTCGTCGATGCCGACGACGGCCGCGCCCTCGCGCCTCGGCTTGACGATGGTCTTCTTCATGAAGAGGCGCTTGGCGACCGTCGTCCGCGCGCCCGTCTTCGGCTTGTCCTCGTCCTTCACCGGGGTCTTGTTGGAGCCCGGCAGCTTGAAGAAGCTCTTCTTGAACTGCGGCGTCTTCGCGCGGACGTCCTGCTCCGTCGCCTCCTGGCCCCAGAGCGCCAGGGCTTTGTCGCCGCGGGCCCCGTGCTTGGCCGGTGCCGTGTGGGGCCGCTTCGCGTCGGGCGACGCCGCGCCGTCGGCGCCCGGGGGCGCCTTCGCGGGGCTCCGGAGGCGGATCGCGCCGCGGCCGCGCGGGCCGTCGTCCCGCTTCGGCGTGCTCAGCGTCGCGCGCAACACGCCCGCCTTGTACTTGGCGTCCTCGATGTAGAGCTTCGACGCCGCGGAGAACTGCTTCGACTTCTGCGCCGCGAGCTGGCGCAACGACTGGCGCTTCTTCGCGAGCGTCGTGTCGAAGCGCAGCTTCGTCTCGTCGGGGATGACGGCGCTCCGGCTCGTGATCTCGTCGTAGAGGGGCGTCGGCGCGCGCCAGACGCCGCGGTCGGGCTTGTGCAGGCGGTGCCACTCCTTGCCGTAGGGCGTGAAGAACTCCATGGGCTTGTACTTGCGCATGCGCGCCTCGTAGTCGAGCTTCTCCTGCGGCGTGTGGAGCTCGGCCCACTCCTTGGGGTAGCGCTCGACGAGCGTCGGCTCCTTCTCGTTCTTGCTGTTGAAGCCGATGAGGCGCTCGAGGCGCTGGCGGTCGTCGTCGTAGATGTGCTGCGACACCTTGTCGCGCTGCGTGACCATGGCCATGCGCTTCCGGTCCCGCTCGTAGGGCTGCTCATGGTCAAAGTCCTTGGGCAGCGCGAGCTCCACGGGGGGCAGCACCTTCGGGGGCATGCCTTTTTTTGGGAGGAGGGGCGCCGGGCCGCCAACGCTCGAGTCACGGCGGCGCCATCACGGCGGAGAGCCGGGTGCAACAACGCGCGCCCCCTTCAACAACCTCGTCAACAACGAACGGCGCTCGAAGATATACGCCCGCAGCATCGGCGTGACAAAAGCTTCAATGAGGGCGCGATGGGCGTGTAAACGAGAGAGCAGTCCCTCTCGAGTGATGCGATAGCATGCACGCGACGACGCTGATCCTCGCCGCGGGCGCGGCGGCGCGGCGCGGCGGCCTCGTGTTCACGGACGCGCACGGCGGCAAGTGCGGCGTCCACGACGCCGCGGCGAAGTGGAACGCCATCGCGAGGCAGCGCAACAAGCACCGCCTCGACGTCTTCGTCTCCGGCATCGAGGGCGCGGGCCACCACGGCGCCGTCAACGGCTTCGTCGTGCCCATCGCGACGGCCGTCGCCGGCGTGCGCCACCCGCCGCCGATGAACCGCGAGAGCTGCGTCGAGAGCAACGAGATGCCCTACTTCGTCGCGCTGAACCACCTCCGGCGGCCCTGCCGCATGTACGCCATGGTCGGCTGGGAGTCCTACCCGAGCGACCGGCGCCTGTTCGTCAAGGACCGCCTCGCGGCGCTCTACGCGGGTCCCCGGTGCTTCCCCGACGTCTTCGGCGGGTGGCCGCCGAGCTGGCACGGCGCGAACCCGCTGGTGCCCGACGGCTGCTGGCGCTGCGGCTCCTGGCAGGCGACCCTCGAGGACCTCTACGCGCGCCTCCTCGCGTCGGACCGTTTGGACGCGCGCGTCCTGGCGTCGGCGATCTCGGGGCTGAAGACGCTGGTGCTCTGGCGCGACTTCGCGCGCGCGTCCTTCTCCCACGCGCACCTCGACGGCAAGGGCCGGGGCCACGCGCTCATGCTCGCGGCCCACGCCGCGGCCATGGCCCACGACGCGGCGCAACTGAACGCGTCGAGCTGGCGCGTGCTCCACTACGAGACGCTCGACGACTTCGCGAGCTACGTGGCCGCGGGCGTCGCGCTCGTCGACTTCCTGGGGCTGCCCGTCGTGCCGCCCTACGACACGGTCGACGGCGTGCGGGGCGCCTGCGCGGCGGCGCGGAACGCGACGTGGCGCGCGCCGTCGAAGCGGAAGGCGCTGCTCGCGCGGCACGCGACGAAATACTTCGACGACGTCGCCGAGGTCGACCGCTACTTCTCCCACAGGTGGGCCATCTTCGACGACCCGCGCTTCCAGCTCGTCCCCCACGGGAGGTCGACGCAGCGCGCGGACGCGTCGCCGCCGAACGGCACGCGCGCCGCGGACTGCCCGCCGCCGTCGCGCAACCCGTGCGAGAAGTGCCCCGCGACGCCCATCACGAACCGGTCCGCCGCGCGCTGGTGTTCGCACAACCCCGCGCTCGCGGACTGCTGCGAGCTGAAACGCGGGCGATAGTTAGGTCTAGTAAGGCTCAGTAGCGCCGCCCGCGGTCGAGCGCGTGCTCGATCTCGAGGATGCGCCGGCCGCGCTTCCGCGCGATGTCCTCGACGGACGCGAGGTTCGCCAAAGCGTCGAAGGTCGCGGCGACGTAGGAGTAGGGCGACCGGCGGCCGCGCGCCTTGATCGTGAAGGAGGAGAACCCGAGCTGCGTCATGATGGCCCGCCCCAGCGCGCCGCCGACCATGCCCTTGCCCGGGGGCACGGCGTAGATGTCGACGGTGCAGTTGTTGTGCTTGCCCCGGACGTCGTGGGCCAGCGCGACGTCGCGGTGCCGGTCGACGAAGCGGAGATCGGTCTTCGCGCGGCGGCTCGCGCGCGCGACGGCGTCCTGGGGGCTGTGGCCCTTGCCGAAGGCGAAGCCGCCGGCGCCCATGAGGTTGCCGACGGCGACGAGCGCGCGGTAGCGCATGATCGTGCCCCCGCGGACGACCTTCTGCACGCGGTCGATCTTCACGATCGTCTCCGCCCAGCGGCCCTCGGGCCCCGCGGGCTCGGGCTTGGGCTCCGGCGCGCGCGGCGCCGGGCCCCCCTCGAGGTCCTCGGGCCAGGTGAGGCCCGGCAGCTTCTTGGACCGGAGGATGCCGTACTGGTCGTTCTCCATGAGGTCCCGGCGGATCGTCTCGAGCGACGGCAGCTGCCGCTCCTCGACGACGCGCAGGATCTCCGCCAGGGGGTCCTCGCGCTTCTCCTCGTCGCTGAGCGGCGGGAGCGGCGCGTAGGGCGCGACGCCCCACGCGCACGAAACCGCGCGGTCGCCGATCTGCGCGCCGGCGCTCCGGAGGACCGCGAACGCGGCCGCCGCGGCCGCCTCGTCGGCGAAGACGAGCTGCGCGCGGCCGTTGAAGCGGCCCGAGCTCCGGCTCTTGAGGGCGAGGGACGCCGGGGCCGGGGCGCCGGCCAGGGTCTCCTCGAGGGCGCCGCGCAGCAGGTCCTCGGTGTTGAGCGCGAACGGCAGGTCCTTGAGCAGCACGACGGACGAGCGCCAGCGTTGACTTGTGTGCGCGGCGCCGGGGCGCGCGGCGAGCGCGAAGCGCCGCGCGGCGAGCATAACGTCGGCGCGCGGTGGCTGCTGGTGGCGCCGAGCAGCTCGCTGAGTGAGTGAGTGCACCTCCGAAGTGCTTTGTGCGCCGAGCTGATGTTTGACCACCGGCGCTTGATACGCCTGGCACGGTGCCTTTGACAACGCGGCCAGACTGCGCCTCTCGATGGCGGCAGCCCCGCTGTGATCGCATGGCGGCCGTGGAGAGCGCGCCCGGCGCGTACCCCGGCGACGGCGAGGTGTCGCCGCGGTCGGCCTGGCCCGCGGCGCCGGCGGGTGCCCCGGCCGACGTCGACGCGCTGCGCTCGGCCATGGGCAGCCGGAGCGGCACGCCGCGCCTCGCGCCCCTGGCCGCGTCGGCTCTGGGCGTCGTCGAGATCTTCCTCGAGGGCGTCGAGCGCGCGCTGGGCGCGCTGCCCGTGCCGAGCGACGCGACGCTCGCGGACTTAAGGACCATGATCTACAGCCACATCGACGTCCAGCTGCTGCCGCCTCGCTACGTCTTCCTGTCGATCGCGGGCGGCGGGCCCGTGCGGTCCCAGCGCGAGGCCTACCGGCGCGTGGCCGACTTTGGCCCGACGGTCGTGATCCGGCCCAAGACCATGCGCGGCGCGCTGCCCCGGGGCGGCCGCGAGCGCGCGATGCGGAAGGTGAAGCTGGCCATCGAGCAGTCGGCGTCGAGCGACGTCCACAGCTTCCACAGCGCGTCGCCGCCCATGCGCAGCGCCTGGGTCACGGGCGAGCCCCAGCGCATGGCGACGAGCCCCGTGCGCAAGAGGCCGCCCCTGGGCCGGCGGCCGGGCAAGAAGGCCGGCTCCGCGGCGTCGCGCGGCGGCACGGTCGTCACGGGCCAGGGCTCCGTGTCCACGGCCAAGAGCGAGCGGGAGCTGATACTCGAACAATACGACATCCAGGGCCTGGCCGAGGAGCTGAAGCGGCTCGTGGAGGTCGAGACGAACGCGGCCGCGCTGCGGCTGCAGGTCCGCGCGCGCATGCGCCTGGCCAAGGGCGCGGCGAAGCGCCAGGTCGAGTGGCTCGAGGAGCGGGCGGCGCGCGCGCGGCTCTCCGCGTCGCGCACGTCGGCCTTCCGGCGCACGCGGGAGACGGTCCTGGCGTCGAACCGCCTGGAGCGGACGTCGAACATGTACGGCGCGGGCGGCGCGGGCGAGGACGCGTTGTCCGCCGCGGGCTTCAGCCTCGGCCGCAAGCGCGGGCCGACGATGATCGGCGGCCGCGCGCCGAAGCGCCTGTCCATGGTGGAGAAGCTCAAGGCGCAGAACGAGGCCAAGGAGGAGGAGGCGCGGCTCAAGGCCGAGGCGGACGCCGCCGAGGCCGCGCGTCTCGCCGCGGAGAAGGAGGACCGCGAGAAGAAGAAGCGCGAGAAGAGCTTCCTCATGGACATCACGACGTGGCTGAAGAACGACATGGAGGCGGAGCGCCAGGAGCGGGCCGCGCAAAAGGCAAAGGAGAAGCTCGCGCTCGACAAGCTGCGCCGCGAGGCGGACCACGCCGCGGACTCCGCGGCGGCGCGCCTGGCCTTCCTGGACGCGGAGGTCCTCCTCGCGCGGCTCGCCGAGGAGGCGCGCGTCGCCGAGGAGGCGCGCGCCGCCGAGGAGGCGCGGCTGCGGGCGGAGGCGGAGGCGGCGCGGCTGCGGGCGCTCGCGGAGGCGCCCGCGCCGGCCGCGCTCGCGCCCGCGCCCGCGCCGGGGAGCCCGCTGCGCGAGGGCCCCGCGCCGGGGAGCCCCGGGTCGCCGCACCGGAGCCCCGGCGACGGCGGCGAGGTCCCGGGCTACGACATGGCCGGCGCGGAGGAGGAGGACGAGGAGGAGTCGTACGACGTCGTCGAGGACGAGGCCTCATTCGTGTCCATCGACGTCTCCGTGGACCCGGCGACGTCCTTCTACATGGCGGCCAAGTTCCACGGGCGGCGCTGCCTCTGCCGCGTCCGCGAGGGCGACGCGACCTTCGAGGTCGACGTCAAGCACAAGACGGACAACGACTGGACGCCGCAGCACGCGCTGCCGAAGAAGGACTACATGGCCGGCTCTTCCCTCGAGCCCGAGGAGCAGCGCAAGCTCGAGCGCGCCGTCGCCGCCTTCTTCTCCACGCTCACGCCCGACGCCGTCGAGATCCGCAAGGTGCGGAACAAGCGCGACGACCGCGACGCGACCAAGGTGGTCGACCGGAAGCTCGACCGCGTCGTCGCCAAGGGCCTCGTCGTCTCGAAGCGCAACTGCCTCTGCGTCGTGTCGCGGTCGCCCGAGGGCGGCTACGTCCTCGAACTGCTGCTGAGCGACATCCACAAGACGCTGAACAAGACGTTCGCGGAGGAGGACCTGGACTGGAACCACGGCGACATCGCGGGGCTCTCGTGGGAGCACGACGACCTCGCCATCGCGAACATCATCATCGACTCGCTGTCGCTGTCGGGGCCGGGCCGCCACGCGAAGATCAAGAGCTCCCTGCTCAAGCCGCCGCCGCCCAAGGCCAAGGTCGCGCGCCTGCCGTCGGAGCCGGAGTTCGTGCCCGTGCCGTCGCCGAAGCGCTCGCCGGAGAAGCCCGCGGCGCCGTCGCCGGAGCCCGCGGCGGCGGAGCCGGCCGTGGCACCGGCCGAGCCCGCGCCCGCGGAGCCCGCGCCCGCGGAGCCCGCGGAGCCCGCGCCGGCGGAGCCCGCCGAGGTCCCCGCCGAGGACGCCGCGGCGGCGGCCGCGGAGCCGGAGCCCGCGGCCGAGGTCCCCGCGGAGGACGTCGCCGCCGCGCCGGAGGTCGCCGCGCCGGCGCCGGAGCCCGCGGCCGCCGAGGTCCCGGCGGAGGACGCCGCGGCGGCCGCGCCGGAGCCCGCGGCGCCCGCGGAGGAGCCGCCCGCGGAGCTGCCCGTGGACATGTCGCGGCCGACGACGGGAGCGACGGACGCCACGGAGGCGAGCCTTGCCGACGACGGCGTCACGCTCGCGGAGCTCGGCATCGCGGAGCTCGTCGAGCCGCCGGCGGCCGCGGCCGCCGTCGAGGACGCGGTCGCCGCCGAGCCGGAGCCCGCGCCCGCGCGCGCCGAGGAGCCCGTCGAGGACGTCGTCGCCGCCGCCGCGCCGGAGCCCGCGCCGGCGGAGGAGCCCGTCGAGGACGTCGTCGTCGCCGAGCCCGAGGCCGCGCCCGCGCCCGCCGAGCCCGTCGAGGACGCGATCGTCGCCGAGCCGGAGCCCGCGCCCGCGCCCGCCGAGCCCGTCGAGGACGCGATCGCTGCCGAGCCGGAGCCCGCGCCCGCCGCCGCGGAGCCCGCGGCCGCCGCGGAGGAGCCCGCGGAGGAGCCCGCGGCCGCCGCGGAGGAGCCCGCCGCGGAGCCCGCGGAGGCGCCCCCGCCGGCGCCCGCGGACGTCGCGGCGGGCACGGCCGTCGGCGACCCGCTGGACCTCGGGGCGGCGCCCGCGCCGGCCCCGGGCGCCGCGGACGACGCGAGCTTCGCGTCGGGACAGAGCGGCATCGACCACATGATCGAGAAGTCCATCGAGGATTCGCTGAGCCACATCCTCGACGACGACAGCCTCATGTCGCTGGCGCCGGTGCCGGCGCCGGCCGCGGGCGACGGCGCGTCGCGGCCGACGACGGCCGGCGTCACCGAGTCGAGCGCGCCGTCGACGGCGCGGTCCGCGGGCGACCCCTCGAGGCCCGACACGCGCGCGTCGGCGACGGAGACGCCCCTCGGCGACTCGAGCCGGCCAGACACGGCGGAGACGCGCAAATCCTACGCCGAGAGCCAGGCGACGGACGCGACGGAGCCCCTCGACCCGTCGGACTTCCTCCTCTTCGACGCCGAGGAGAGCGCGCCCCAGAAGGCGCTGCGGCGGCTGAGCCAGGCGCCGGGCTTCGTCGCGGAGACGCCGGCCCAGTACCGCGTCCGCAAGCTCTCGCTCGTCGCGGCGCCGCCGCCGGCGCTCGCGGCGCCCAAGCCCGCGGATCCGACGGGCGCGGAGGAGCGGCCCGAGCAGCTCGCGCTGCGCCGCCTCTCGCAGGTCGGGCCGCCGCCCGCCGCGGCCGTCCCGCCGGCGGCCGTCGAGGAGAGCCCGGCGCAGCAGGCGCTTCGCCGCCTCTCGCAGATGCCCGCGGCCGCGCCGCCGGCGCCCCTCGAGGTCGCGCCGCCGGCCGACGACGACGCGTCCGTCGGGACGGCGGCGACGGCGCCCGAGGTGCCCCCGGAGACGCCGACGGCGCCGCTGCCCGAGGCGCTCCCGGAGACGGAGCCCCTCCCCGCCGTCGCGGAGCCGGCCGCCGCGGAGCCGGCCGCCGAGGAGCCGGCCGCCGAGGAGCCGGCCGCCGAGGATCCGGCGGCGGCGGTCGCCGCGGAGCCGGCCGCCGAGGAGCCCGCCGCCGTCGAGCCCGCCGCCGAGGGGGCCGCCGCGGCGCCGGTCGCCGAGGCGCCGACCGCGGAGCCGCCGGCGCCCGCGGCCGCGGAGCCGACGGCCGGCACCGCGGTCGCGGAGCCCGTCGCGCCCCCGGCGCCCGCCGCGGAGCCCGCTACCGAGGCCGCCGAGGCCGCCGAACCCGCGGACGCGCCCGCCGCGGCGCCG